TGCCTCTTCTTTGACTCCCTGATGGCCAGTGCATGTCCACACATGTAGACATACTGCCCTCTGACTTGTCGGTTTCTGCACATGGATCGGATCCCTTTGCGTCGGTGCTCCAGCTCCACGAGCAGATCCCCCGTCGCCCATAGTGGGAGCGTCGTTGCTAAACTTCGACCTAAGAAGATAATGACCCGTTCTTTTTTGGAGTTTAATGTCCTTAGTCGGACTCAATTGCTTCCACGATGATTCGCCTCAGGCCTCGTGGAGCCAATGGAGCTTCGTGAGAGGATCTGCTTTCATCCTCGTCTTCCCGCTGTTATCGATCAAATTCCCCTTTAAGCCGGTGCAGCTTATCACTTGCCACGCCCATGTGTGTCTCTGATAGGACCTCGCATTGCTATCCCTTCGTTTGCATCCGGTCTTTGTAATGGATAGAGGGGCATGGTGGGGCACTAAACCGATGCATTCAACGCCGTTCTCCTGCTGGTGGTCTGGTGGAGGCGTTTGATTCAAGAAGGCCCTCCTTCCTCGTCCTTGGGTCTCTTTCAGCGCCAGATTCATATCTGTCTCTCTCCTTTAACAGGAGATATCAACTTCTCTCCAACCACATCTCAACGCCATGAGCTCCCTAAGTAGTAGCTTAGGCGGTGTCGCGCACCGCATGGACTGGCTCTATGTCTACATCGCCGGCACTGCTTTCCTTGTCTGCGGCTTGGTGGCCGTTGTTCTCTTATTATCCTCTCAGGGACAGAAGGCCGACTTCAACAAAAATGGCGGCCCCTTGACCTATCTGAAGTTTATTTATGCTACATTCCTTAAGCCCCATGACAAAACTGGGACTGGCCAACAGGACGCCCTGGAGAGCTTCTACAAGACACAGGTGCGTGTTTGATAAATCCCACGAGACTTTGTGATCCAATTGCTAAAAAGATAATCAGGCTGGTGCGTACGATGCCACGCGCAAGCGCCTTCTACGTGGCCGAGAGGACATGCTTGGTCTCGTTGCGGCCCAGCTGAAGTTTAAGGCGGAGAACCAAGAATTCAAAGCTGGGAAGGCAGTTTGGGTTGATGTAAGATTATTTCTACCTCTTCAATTACAATTATCTGGGGCGTTGCTGACCATGTAGATTGGTGGTGGTACCGGGTGAGCACAGACGAAATGCCAGTGCTGGTTCGCTCTAACTGTGGTGCAGATACAACATCGAAGCTATGTCGGCTTTCTTACCCGTGAACGAGTTCTTTTCCCATGTCTACCTGGTCGACCTTTCCCCTTCCCTCTGTCAGGTAGCTCGTGAACGATTTGAGCGATTGGGGTGGAAGAACGTCAGTGTCGTCTGTCAAGATGCACGGACGTTCCGCTTGCCGGACGCAGACAGCGTTGACCCACGGGCAAAAACCACACCGGGCGCAGATCTCATTACTATGAGCTACAGTCTGTCGATGATACCCGATTATTATAGCGTCGTTGACTCCCTTCCGGCGCTGTTGAAGCCGTCTGGAGTACTGGGAGTTTGTGACTTCTACGGTAGGTGTCCCCCGATGTTGACTGTTCGCAATGCCAAACTAAAATTAATTTTTTTTTCGTATTGCTATGTTATGGGCAGCATGTAGATGACTAACTTCTTATAGTCCAAAGCATTGTGGATGTCTCGTCCCGCAATTACACCGGGGGTGCCTTCAACCGTCATGTCAACTGGCTGGGCCGGGTGTTCTGGCGTGCTTGGTTTGATGTTGATCGTGTCAGTCTCGAGGCTGCGCGCAGGGATTACTTGGAATATCGGTTTGGGACGGTTGTCTCAGCCAGCGAAAGAAACTACCTCCTCGGAGGAATCCCGTACTACATCTTCGTTGGCTGCCAGAAGGATATCACCTCAAGCCAATCGGGCAGGGAGGCCATTGAGAAACTCGATGCCTCCTTCACTGAATCGCCATACCTTTCTCCTGCGAACCATCGCCAGGAGATGGATAAAGCCATCGAATTCAGCGCACAGGAAGTACGCTCCAAAGCGTACGAATCTGCCGTCATCAACCTGGGCTCCAACCTCCCCCTTCCATCATCTTTCTACCAAAACCACCACTACCGGATATTCTATAATGACCTGCTTCCCAAGCACACGCAGTTTAAGAATGAATACATTTACGCTTTCAACTGGGAGGATCCTCGTGTAGATCACCGTCTGCTTAACATCCAACGAGACGACGTGATCCTGGCAATTACAAGTGCAGGAGACAACATCTTGGACTATCTCCAGAAGAGCCCACGCCGCGTGCATGCTGTTGACTTGAATCCTAACCAGAACCATCTCCTTGAACTCAAGGTTGCAAGCTTCATTGCCCTTGGTCACCGTGATGTCTGGAAGATATTCGGTGAAGGAAAGCACTCCGAATTCCGCCAACTTCTCATCTCGCGACTGAGCCCACACCTCTCAAGCCAAGCATTCCAATACTGGCTTGAGCATGCCCACATATTCACATCCTCTTACAGTCGAGGTCTCTATGAGACTGGAGGCTCACGCCACGCAATTAAGATGGTCCGTTACCTCTTCAAGGTCTTCGGACTTGAAGGCCAAGTCCAGAAACTGTGCGAGGCTCAGACTCTAGCTGAGCAGCGTGAAATCTGGCCACGTATCCGCTCAGTCTTAATGAGCAAGCCTCTTCACTGGGCTGTCGTCGGAACCGAATGGTTTGCTTGGAAGGCCGCGGGCGTGCCTCGTAATCAGCGAAACATGATCATTGACGATTTCTTCAAGCGAAATGGCCTCAACAAAGATATGAAGCAGGCTAAGGACATCAGCGGCCAATCGATTTGGGAATACGTGGTGGATACTCTAGACCCCGTTGTGAAGGACACGTTGATCAGCAACGATAATTACTTCTACTTCCTGTGTCTACAAGGGCAATTCTCCAGAAGGTGAGCTTTCTCGGCGGGCCCAAAAGGCGTTCTGACTAACCGTGACAGATGTCATCCCACCTACCTGTCTCCCAAAGCGCACGTGAAGCTGTCGTCTCCAGGAGCATTTGACGGTCTTCGTATCCACACAGATGAGATTAACGAAGTGATCAAACGGATAACACCGGGCAGCCTAACCATTGCTGTGGTAAGTGTAGCCCCATCAGCTACAGCATGCTCGACTGGACTGACATCCGTCTCAGGTCATGGACTCGATGGATTGGTTCGACCCTGAGGGTAGCGATGCCTCGGTACAAGCACAGAAGCTTAACCACGCTTTGAAAATGGGCGGCCGTATACTGCTCCGTTCGGCTAGTATCGACCCTTGGTACGTGCGACACTTTGAGGAGAACGGCTTTTCTGCGCGACGTGTCGGCGCCCGATTCCCGGGAACATGTATTGACCGGTAAGTTTGACTCTTTTGCGTTTCACGGAGGATTGTGAGAGAAGTAGTACTGACTGAAGTAGGGTGAACATGTATGCCTCGACGTGGATCTGCACCAAGACCAAGGAGCTGGAAACGGTGCGACCAACTGCCGAGCGTTCGATCTCTCTCCTGTCGCTGGATGGGACGGAGAAGAGATCGAGTGTAGAGCACCTTGACCTATAATTACCATTCGCCGATCTACGCTGGTTGTACGAGAATCTATTTTTATACTTATGATTATTACCTCAAATAAAGTTTAGCTCATTGGGCGAGATTCTGCCTGACTAAGAGATGAGGCAGCAGCAGAAGAAAAATTCATACCCTGTGGATTACCAGTTCTCTACCACCAACACAATGTTTGTATGTATCTTTGTAATGAATGAATGAATGACTGTCGATTACCCCGATGAGATGGAGAGTCTCTCAGACAGGAGGCGGTCAAACAGGGGGGGGTCTAGGGTTTGAAGAATGAGATGAAAATGAAACACTCCGGAAACAGTGAAGGTCACAGTAGACGCCAAACTTGTGTTAGGAGTTACCCAATATTTTACAAGAGGTATGTGCAGTTCAATTTATTTCAACAAAAAAAAAAAAAAAAAAAAAAAAGGTGTTACCTGTTGGATTTCCTCGTCCTGTTCGCCACGAAAAGAGCCGGGAGGACATGACCTGAAAGGCAGTGAATCCCCTCCTCCCGTAGCCCTAATTTCTTAATAGTCATCGGTTTAATTAAATGACGGGATTAGAATTTTCTGGTGCCTGACCAACATCTCAGGAACCGAAGCTAATTTGGCTGCAGAGTGAGCGCCCTACCGCCCGTCATCAGCGAATCATTCAAGTCTCAGCCTCGTTCTAGCCCCAACAATCGAACCGCAGCATCGCCAACGCAGTCCCGAATCGGATAACCCACGTCATTCGCCGCTGCGCTGGTCCCTTGAAGACTAAGTTTTGTAATCTATCTATTCTTGGGTGGCTCTTTGACTCCGGCGGTCATGAAAGGAAACACGATGATTTGTTTACCTCTCGTGGGTTCCGAAGGGTAATGCTGGCAGCTGTTCATCTTTCATGGCGACGTGAGACACCGGTCAAGAGCGCATACCTGACAGGGCCGAATGGCCAGTAGACTCATCTAGCCGAGTCCCTTGCACGGTCATCATTGGATGAGATTTGTTTCCCGAATTCTTTTCGCTGAAGGGAAGCGACTGCAGGGAATACGAGCCTATCACCTCGAAGCCACTGTAGAACTCGTGTTTGTGAAACTTAGTCGTCTGTTAATATTTAGGGCTTCTCCTCCCTCTTCTTCCTTGCTGCAAACCCTGCACATCGTTTTTACCTTTCGTACCCATTACGGTCTTTAGCCCTAGAGCAGCGCTCTCCCACACTCATTGCGATAGTATCAGCTATACTTTTCTTTGCAAACGTCACTCTTTAACCCCCGCTTGCCTACCCGATCCTTCAAGTTTGCGCCACATCCAATCTCGCCGCAAACTCTTCCAATTTTTTGCAGATATATCATTGACTGCATTGCGATATCTATCAGCTCAATCCTTCTTTCGAGTTTCTACAGGCCTTTCGCCATTCCCTTGTCGCATACCTGATTTTCTATAGCCACTCAGCCTGAGCGCCGAAAGAATGAAGGTCACCACTATCGCATCCGTTCTCTGCCTCGCTGCGACCCAGCTTGTCGCTGCCGACACCGTCGTCACCTCAACGGCGACAAATACGATCACCCAAACGGTTTACCGTGTTACTGCTGAAACCGCCGCTGAGAGCCTGTCTGCCACTCCTCTCAGCTCTTCCCCAAGCCCTACAGGCTCTGTGGCCTCCAGCTATGCGCACCACGCTAGTACTACGCCGACTAGCTCAACCAACACAGCTAGTCCATCAGCTACTTTGAACTCCGCTGCTGGAACCTTCGATGCCAGCATGCCCGTTGCGCTTGCTGCTGGCTCTATGGCTCTCCTGTTGAGCTACCTGTGATCAAGCTCAACATTTCCATAATCTGACAGCGGTACCCTCGTTGCGATTCTGTGAGACTGTCAGCGATCAGCCACGATCTTTCCGGATACCGGGACTGGCTATAGCGATTGCTGGAGGCTCATCACTGGCAGATAGATCCTTTCTTTTTCTTCTTCTATCCGTTCTCATTACTTCTGTGATACCTCTCTTCTTGAAAAATTTTCTTTCCTTTTCTTCTTCCAAAGGTTTGTCTAGAAGCTGACGACAATTTGGAAGAAGCTGGGTGTTAAGGATACATGGACGTGCTGATATACCCCTTATGACTGCGATGGTGTTTGATACCCTTGGTAATGGGCTATGGCGGGTGTGTTCTTGCAATCAGTTCGCTGCTTGCGAAATAATCGATCCAAATACTGCCGGCTACACACTATGGGACTGCATCGTTGTTGTTACCGATGTAGATAGGTCGATTGATATTGAAATGAACGTACTGGCGGACTCTACATATTTTATTTTTCTTTTTCAATGCTTACTTCGAGTAGAGTCTAGACTACAGGAATGTAACATAGTGATTAGGGCGCGGACGATCCCATCAGATAAAAGAAGCCGAGCCGAGTGGGCTGTTATCAGTAGCGCCTCTGATTGGCGGGTCGCGTGGAGGACGCGTGCCAGGCATTGCAAGTAAACAGTCAACCGTTCGTCCAACCCATTGAATCCACTGAAGTCACTTCCCGTCAGACGGATCTGCATTCTTTCGGACACAATGGATCCGGTGCGCAGCCGGTGATGTGATCCAATCTGCGAGCCAAAAAAAAAAAAAAAAAAACGGTGTCGTCTGCGCATATACTTCTCTTGTCCATTGAACCCCCTCATCTCGTTCCCACAAGACACGCGCCACCTGCATTTAAAATAGTGCCACGACCACACGTTCTTTCCCGTCCTCCGTCTGGTTTTTCCGGCACAGAAACGTGCCAACCAGTGACAGCTTTCGTCTGACATCATGGATAACGAAGTCCCTCTACCCCCGCCCCGGCGCATCCGGCATCGCTCCCCAACGAAAACCCCCGTCGCGTCTGGCTCGTCGCTTCGCAAGACGTATCAGCTCTCGCGCTTTGATGATCGTTCCAGCCAGCCGTCGAGTGACCCCGCGCTCTTTTCGAGTGATGATATCCCGGCGTCTGGTCTAGAGAACTATCATGCGCCTGGCCCCTCCGGGAGCAGGAAACGACGATATCGCGGCACTTGGTGGGGCGAGATGGTGAAGGATCCGAAGCGGAAGAGGGCGGATTTCAAGGAGAAGCGACATGTGGATAGCGGTGTATGGATGGGCAGCGATGAATCCGGGGCGGATTCCCTGTTGCCATCGGAAGATCCATCCATGTGGGGCGAGGAGTTGCTGAAGGATACAAATAATTCTACAGGAACAGGGAGCGGGGCTGATATCCCTATGCGTGATAGCGATCGGTGGACGGCACAAGGTCAGCCATGGACGCAGCGGAGTGGTCTGAAAAAGGTCGAGGAGCCCAAAGAGCATCAGGCGGCACGGAATATTGTCAACGAATGCTTGGAAAGTGGACAGGATAGCGTCGACTTAAGGTGAGTTGGTTTATCCATGGCTACTGTGCTCAACAGGCTAATACCTCGCAGCAATTGTTATCTAAGAATTCTCCCTCCTGGCTTGCTGCGGCCTTTGCAGCATCTCACTAAACTCCCTGCTATCATCGAACCTCCCATCACCGAAGATGTCTACAGCTCCTTACAACCCTTCCTGCGTTTATTCCTTACCGGCAATTCTCTGCAATCAGTGCCTGGAGAACTGTTCGAGCTTGGCTCCCTAAAAGTCCTTAGTCTTCGCTATAACAAACTGACGGAGATCCCGCCAGCGATAAGAAAGTTGACCTTGTTGCAAGAAGTTAATCTTGCCGTCAATCGCCTGCAATACCTTCCATGGGAGCTGCTGTGGCTGATCAAGAAGGGTGACCTGAAACATATGGTAGTCCGGCCCAACCCGCTCATGCAGATTCACGAGGCAGAGATTGCCCAGTGGCATTCGCCGGAGGGCACCGAACTGGACTCATCAGAGGGAACATTGAAGCTTTGTGACTACGAGGGCCCAGCGCCCGAGGAAGCGTGGGCTCCGATCCACGTTGCCACCGGCCCTGTCCGTCGATTTAACATGGAGGGCATGCCGGTCGATGCTCCAGCTAGCGGCTTGAGCGCTAGTCAACCGAATCAACAAGAATCCCGGGTTCCATCCCTACGTGAAATATCTCTTCTGGCGTGCACCCGGTCGACCTTCTTTGACCAGGTCTCAGATGAAGAGATGGCTGACTATCCTGGCTTGATACTCCGCCTGCTCCGACAGGCGAAGGAAGTTTGGAGCGGTGGTGGCCGGTCATGCTCGGTGTGCCACCGGAGCTTTGTGCTTGCTCGCACTGAGTGGATTGAATGGTGGGACTGCAGTACATATGAAAGTGGACTCAAAGGGCCACGCTGTCCGGGCGACAAACTCCGTCCCCTCCCTTTCCGCCGACTAGGTTGCAGCTGGGCCTGCGTGCCGAACGCCGAGGCGGATTGACAGTCTCAGGAAGACATGCAGCCGTGAGAGGAGTAGTGCTGATAATTCGGGGCTCGATGCTGTTGTACAGATATATGTCTTGGGCGGGCAATATTTCTAAATGCCCAGTATAGTGTTCGGGTCGTCTATTTACATCGGGTGTATAACTACCTCATTTTCTGACACACCTAATTGCTCGATGGGGTAAAAGTAACCAACAATGGACCGCAATATAAGCCATTAAGTAGACAGATTCACATTGACACCCGGTGTCATGGAGAATACCCAGCCATGCTCTACTGCATCCTACACCACGGATACATAAGATTCGCCTCTAGACCTCGACCGAGTTCCTCTGATTCGTGCAATCCACAGCCCAAGATGAGGGGAACCCTGCCTAGACATTCTAGGCAAAAAAAAAAAAAAGACAAGAATGACAACCGGAGAATCTCATTCCTGGACGTTATGTTTAGCTCCATTTCTCCGCAAAGATCCCCGCACTATTTCTCGGCCACAAAGACGGGGTAAGAGTCAAGACCACAGATATCATTCATATATGAATAAAGCCATCCCTAGAATAAATGAACTCAATTGACTCCTCCCTAATCAAACATACACACACCAAAATGACCATCAACCCAGACTCCCAATCCCTCCCCACAGCCGCCCAAATCCCCCTCCAAAACTTCCATCTCCCTCCATTCCCCACCGAAGCAGCCAACCTCAAACACCTAACCCTAACATCCGACATCAAACCAACCGACTACGCAGACCTCCTCTCCACCCCTCTATCCCAGGACGCAATACCACCTACTCTACCCCGGGGAATCGAATCCCTAACCCTAGAACTCTTCTCCCTAGGCTATCCAGCCCCCTTCCTCACAAAACTCGGAAAAGCCCTCCCCAACCTCAAAGACCTGACTCTATATTCCCATCTCATTGACGGCGTAAGCGATTCCTCCCGCCGCGACGCAGGGGATTTCATCCACGATGTCCTGACCGGGTCAAAAGATGGGGGGCTACGAGAACTCCATCTCCTGGACCTATTCTGCCGAAAAGGCTTCATCTCAGGAATCGGGGACATTCTACTCGACCTGAGTAGTATTGAAGACGATTCGAAATCCCAAAGCGCATTACGCTTCCTGGAAGTCTCGTATACGTATCGGGGCCATTCGGATGGGGAATTCTTGTCTCGGATTCCGGTGGATGAGTTACCGAACTTGCTTGTTGGGGGGTTGGTTGCTGTTTCGTTGAGGTTGGAGGCGACTACTCCTACTACTCCTGCTGGTGCCGGTGGTGGTTCTGATACTGGGTTGGAGAGGGTGCCTGATGATCCGGCTGATGTGGATGAGAATGGGGAGCGGGTTGGGAGGAAGCCGGAGGGGATTGTACCGGTTGGGTCTGGGGATGAGGGGACTAGGCTTTTGGTGGAGAGGCTGGTTGGGACTGGAACTGGAATTGGAACTGCAGAAGAGGTGGAGTCTGACTCTGAATCTGGGTTGAGGATGCTGGATTGTACGCTCTATACCTTGTCGCTTAAGCAGCTGGGAGGGGTACTGGGGCGGCAGAGACGGTTGGCTGTTCTCAGTGTTAGTGTTCTTGTCTCTGAGGGAGATGATGCGAAGCGGGAATTATTGGACACTTTGAAATTGGGGGGTGAGGAGCTTGAGGTTGTGGAGGTTGTGGGGGTTCCTGGATCGGAGTGGAAGGATGTAAGTTTCTTTCTTATTTGCGTGATGGTTTGTGTTATTATGGTTGATGTGGCTAATGTCGATCTAGGTTGGGGACTCTGTGAAGACTGGAGACCTCTTCCGGGATGCGTTTCCTTCGTCGTCTGATATGTTGGATCTTGCTACTGCTTTGCCGCGTTTGGAGAGCTTTTCGATGACTATTTTGAGGGCGCCGGCCTTTGGGTCTGTTTCTTGGGTAAAGAAGGATGGTAAATGGGTGGATGGCACTGGACAGCCGTAGGAGGGCCGGGTAGGATATCATCGTAGGGGAGTAGCCCTCGGGCATTTGCCCAGACGGTAGATACAGCGCAACAAATACCATGTTGAGGTCTCTATTCAGCGAGTGAAATTGTAGAATATTTGAGACGCAGAAGCTGCTACTGGCCTTTGCGCGAGCGAGAGACTTGGTCAGAAGACTCGAACATAGGACCTACGTGGAGGTGATATAGCGGTCCTTATCTATCCCAGGACGATATACAGATCCCCAGTATCTAGAGCCGGTTAATTGGAGATACGATCCATATTACCCGGTTCTACTTGATTTTGATTTTCTATTTTTCAATTCTTTGCTTTTCTTCCATGATCAACTTGCTACCCCTAGTCTGATAAAGTTTTGGCTAGATGAGCTCGAATCAACTCGAGGATCATCATACGATTTGGAATCATACTCTGTTCCAAGGGACGTAATATCACGCGAAGGATTAGTTCAAGATTGATTCTTGGCAGGAAATCCCGATGTTTGGGCGGATTTGGAGGCTGGGTGGACTCAGAAACCAGAAGGGAGTTAGGGCCCAAATTTGGTGTTCCGGACATAGCGATCGACGTCAATTCGCTGGACCTTAGTTTTGAGTCAATCCGGCCTTGGACTTGGCAATTAACCCTAATCTCAAACGATGTTTTGGATTTCCCCTGTATGTGTTAAAAGGATTTATTATATATGATCATCTGTCACAGGGTTGTATGTCTTCTCTCCTGTCACCCGGCGTTGATTCCTCATGTATTATTTGGAAACCCCGACTCTCCTTCTACACTCATTGTTTCCCCCTTATGATGGCTAGTAATCAGCGCATAAGTGTGCTGTTTCTCGCAAATAGCGAGCATGGCCAAACAAACATTATTCTGGCGATTACGCACGAGCTGCTGGTGCGAGGAGATATAGACGTGCATATTGGCTCCTTCCCTGCCCTTGAGCGACGCATTGACAAGCTCTTGACTGATAATGCCTCTGCGTATGATGGATCATTCCGGTCGCGGATTCACTTCCATCCTATTAGAGGACCTTCAAATACGGATGTCTTTATTCGCACGGGGAAGCGGGGCGCTTTCCATCCTCCTGGATACCATGGAGCGGTACTTGGGTTCCAGTCTCTGTGTGAAGACATCTGGGGTTGGACGGAAGAGGAATACGTAGATATCTACAACTGTTGCGTGGAGATCATTCAGACCATTCAGCCGTCAGTCGTCGCGGCCGACTTCTTCTTTCTCCAAGGAAGAGATGCTGCATATAATACGGGGTATACCGCGATTTTGATCAATACGACATCCCTCACTCACATCGTTCTTGGATTGCAGCCACAGTCCGCTGCGTTGTGGAAGTACCCCCTGTGAGTTAATGCGCTCAACATCTCAGAAACTGCAACAACTAACTACGAACCAGGCCGGGGACAGGATTTCCATACCCTCTCCCATGGCATCTAATCCCACTCAATGCCCTTGCTGTGATCAAAACGGCGAAGATGTACCATGGAAGTGGGCGGCGGCGTGAGATTCGCGAATGGAGAATTCGGCACAAGATCCATGGTCGGTTTCCGTTTGCTGATGCCTGGAGGCCCGACCGGTTCCATCTTTCCCCAGCGCTGAAAGAGCTTGACTGGCCCATGGATGTGCCCGATAATATTCTTCCCTGTGGGCCGATTTTACTTCCCACGGCTTCAGTCCACAAACAGGACCGCGAACTGGCAAGTTGGCTGCAGAAAGCGCCGACTATCTTGGTGAATCTTGGAACGCTATATGCGCCCGATCCCAAGGTTGCAGAGAATATTGCGACAGGCCTCAAGCTCTTCCTTGAGACTTGGAAGGGCGAGAGAGTTCAGATCCTATGGAAGCTCCCCAAACACCCGCATGATGAGGATGATGTATTCATCCGGTCTATCGAGCCGCTGAGACAGGAGACTGAGACTGATCGTGTTCGTATCCACCCCTGGTTCTCCGTTGAGCCCATGGCCATGCTTCAAACAGGGCAGATTGCTTGCTCCGTTCACCACGGTGGAGCGAACTCGTGGTATGAGGCCATCCAGTGAGTCCTCCTTCGCCTACGCTCCGGACCGGGTAACAGCTAACAGGTATAGAAATGGCGTTCCCCATGTGGTTCTACCGGCATGGCAGGATTGCTATGAGAATGCCGCCCGAGCGGAGTGGCTGGGAATTGGGGTGTATGGCAACAAAGCCCGTGCCCCGAATATCAGTGGCCGAGAGTTAAGCAATGCACTTTTAAAGGTCATGGGTAATCGCTCATATAAACAAAAAGCGCTTGATCTTGCCAAACTGTGTCAGAAAAAGGAAGGACGTGTGGCCGGTGCGGAAAAGATCGTCGAGTTGGCGCACAATCCGGAGTTGATGGCTATGCACATCCCGGATGTGAAGATTGACGATCCTCAGTGTCAGCTCAGCGAAGTTCGAAACCGTTCTGGAATGGTTCTCCAGTCGGTCCAGTTGCCTCAGCCGGAAGGCAAACCAACGGTCAAGTATATCTCCCCAACCGTATCACCATTCCTGTTCAACCCAGTTGGAACTAATTTCATGAGTGACAGGCCCTTCCTCAATGACCTTGCAGAGGCAGCACTGATGACTGCCCTTTGCAATACCTGGTTCATCCTACCCTTGCTTGGATATTCGCTTCTCCTGGTTGCCCGTTTGCGATTTCTGATTCTGTTTTACATCATCTATATCAAGTATTTTGCCAAAGCACATGAAGCGGGCACCCTTCCTCTGCGAAACGACACCTTCCGGACTTGTTGGATCTGGAAAATCTTTGTATCTTACTTCCCCCTGCGGCTCTATCGTTCGGTTCCTCTCTCTCCACGGAGGAAGTATATTTTTGGCTACCATCCCCATGGTGTCGCTATTCGAGGAGCTGTCGGCGCATTCGCCGCAGACGTGGCCGGCTTTTCTCAACTCTTCCCGGGGATTACCAATACCCTGTTGATGAAGGATAGCGTGTTCTATCAGCCACTGCTTCGAGAATATCTTCTCTCCGCCGGGCTCAGTGGTGTCTCCCGAAAATCATGCATTCGGCATCTAACACGGGGAGGTCATGACGGTCGGGGCATGGGCCGTGCCATTACCATCACTGTGGGAGGAAGTCGTGAATACAACGTCGCTCGACCCGGCACCATGGAGGTCGTGATCAAGATTCGCAAGGGTTTTATCCGGGTCGCCGTGGAAACTGGCGCCGACATCGTGCCGGTGGTCGCGTTTGGGGAGAATGAGATCTTCGACCGCGTGGACGTCCGATCAAAATCCGTGCTTAGATACGCCGCACGATTGTGGGAATGGTTTGTTGGCCACCAAGTGGCATTTTCCCTTGGCCGGTTTAACATCTTTTGCCCTTATCGTCAGCCGTTGAATGTTGTCGTCGGCCATCCCATTCCCGTTACTCAACAACGATGGGACCCGGACGAGAAATATATCGATCAGTTACACCAGCAATACATGAGAGAGTTGGAGAGGCTGTGGCATAATTGGAAGGACACCTTTGGAACTGACCAGTCCGTGAGGTTCGAGGTGGTGGAATAATTTTGGCGTTGATCTGTATCATAATCTCTTACTACGCTCGGACATTTTCTCCCCCTGTGAAATTGCCATTCTGCCTCCCAACCTATTTGAGCCTATTAAAGCTTCAACCCATGATACATTAGCGCCATGACCAAGACGTCGTTATTGGTTGAATCGTATGTCTTGAAGAGCCCGACTGGGGCCGTGGGGCGAGTCAGGATCGGATCCTTCCTGGTTTTGGTGAAGACAACCAACTTAGGGTTATTTTTTTCTTTCCCACTGCTCAGACTGCCTTGTCAGGGTACTTGACCAGGCTGTGTTTTTTTTTTTAAGGTTTCAGGCGTACCATGGTAAGCGAGGCTAGGAATGCATTCAATTCATTTTAGGTCGCGTGGTGGAGTCCAAAAAGAAGCTTTGGGGACAAGATTAATTAGTGTGCGGAATCTATCAATACGAAGAAATCAAAACACTCAACATAGCCTCAAAATCATAACCACTTTGGCCCCCACGTCAGCCTCAAAAATGACCAACAAAACAACCACAACAAGCGCTAGGATTCTTCTCTCTCCCCCTTTTTCCCTCTCAGGCCTCGAGACGTTGGGCTCGTTGGGCTTTTGCAATAAAACCTATACGGGTCCCCCGGCATTATACCTCCGTCCGCATATACACTTCCCTCATCTATATCTCCAGTGAGCTATTTGCCTTCTCATGGCAAAAGCAGACCGCAAGACGCCACTTGAGGGCGCTTCGATTCCACTAGGCAGTTCTCCAAGTGACAATGGTGCTTCGTCGTCGAGGAATACAAACCATGCGGTGGTAATTGCGTGGAGTTCTTTCGTGGTCACGATTCCCATCCTCGCATTAACGGTGGCATTCCTGGTGCTAGTATTCAAGTATCGTGTGAGCCATGGAGATGCTCCGTTTGAGAGCCTCCGCACGTCTGCGGTGAATGACGAAGCCAGCGCGCTTTATGTCAATATGAATTCCAGTATCCTCCTGTTCTTAGCTTCCTGGGCGAGCTCGGTGGCTACGATGCTGTCGGGGTTTATGTTAACCCTCGCCTCGTTTCCCATCGCCCGTCGATTCTTTCAAGATGTCCAGAGCTCTCGGTTAAATCGCCTGCCGACCCCATACCAATTGGCACTGACCTTGAAGTTTCTGGATGGAAGCACTCTCGCTGCAATCTGGGGTTGGGTCGTCTATCTCATTTCATGGAGAAAGAAACGGGCACCGCTGACACCTCCTTTGACCGCCGCTTCATCGGTTGCGTTACTTGCAACACTTCTTGGGTAAGTCTGTCCAATCTTCTGCAGGTGGCTGGAGATATTCTGACATCCGGAGAGGTTGCTTGTTACCGTAGGGGACACCTGGCTGCACCTGACCACCACCACCGTGGCATTCACTCAAGTCAAGCCGGTCACCAACCAGTCAAACTATGGTTTTGGACTCATACCCGAGTGTCTTACGAGCAACAACTCAGTGGCAGCGCAGAGCGGAGAGCAAATTTTATGTAGCGTTTCACTAGCGGTGACCGGCAGCTTCCTGAGAAACGGAACGACCTCACTCGGGGTGCTGAACGACATGTCCGACCTGGCGACCGTCTCCACATATACCGACCCACAGGCGAACAAGTACACCTTTCTGCAAGCACCGGAAGGGGCATCACTGTCCAACCGAGACTATACAGCGAAAACCTACGGAGCGAGGACACAATGTGAACTGATCTCGACCAAGTGTAAACTGAAAAACAACGCGGCGATCGTCACGTACAACTGCTCCAGTGACTTCGCCGGGAGCTTCACTCAAACGGGCATGAAATCGGCATTCTTCACCAACGCCAGCATGGCTGAAGACATGAGTCAAAGTATGTACAACACGGGTGTGGGCAACCCATACTACTTTGCGGCGGCCGACATCATGAGTCTGGCCGGTGGAGAAGCACCGAACTCGACCGAGTTTCTCAAGAGTCTCCATGGCCCATATGCCTACATCCTGGGCTGCAACACGACAATCTACGACATTGAGTACGATCGGGTGAACAACACCATCACCCGTTTTGTACCCACGATCAGCAACACCTCTGCCAGCAACGTCTGGCAAACGAGCATTTCTCACCTGAACAACTGGTATCCCACGATTGAGCAGACGGCGGGAGCAGCCATTTTGAGTGGCTCAGCCCAGGTATTTGTCGACAAGATCGCCGAGGCCTTTAGTAAAGTCACTATCGCTCTGGGGGCCGACGCGGTCGATGCACGACCAGCAATCGCGGCACAGGATCGAGTGTCATTCCTCGTGGCGCGGCTCCCGAAGGCTCCGCTCATCACGTTGGTCGTGGTTAGTTTCTTATACGTGCTCTGCGGTTTGATTTTCGCCGTCCTCGCCATGGTGGCGGTTCGACATAAGATCCCTGATATTCAAGCCCGCATGAGCATCGCTGGCCTGGTGGCAGATCGATTTGGGGACCCGTCTTCCTGGAGTAAGAACACCAGTGTGGATGAGATGTTCGACGAGTATTCTGGGAAGTCGGAGAAACGCGTTGCGATTGAATCGCCGGATCTTGATGGCGCGCATCGATTCACAACCCGGACATTGGAACCGACTGTGGTTCACTAATGGGCCCGGTAGATAGATATTCCCATAGGATCGAATCAAACTATGGGTACATAGCTAGCTAAGGCTTCAAGAATACATAATGTTTATCTTGTATGATTTCTTCCTTCTATTCTCCTTCGCGGATCTACTGGTCGCTGGCATGGGGGCTCAGTGTCTTATAAAGTATGTACTGGTATTGGGTATCAAAATCTTCATACAAGGATGTCGATCATTTGTGCGTTATTATGTCGTTCTGCTGTACGCACAAGTCAACGTGACGCTTCACTGTCTGGCAGCTAGCCTGGATGTAGAGCGAAGAGCCAGATCTAGAGTACCATTGCCAAGAGATAACATCCCCTGGACCTTTCTAGGTATGTCCTACCATCCTCTATCATATATAGAAGTGGACCATGGATATCAAGCATGTCTTGGCGAGATTCCCCTTGACACAAAGCGATGCATCTGCAAGAGCAGCAAAACATGTCTCTATGAATGAGTGACATATTCTACGTGCCAAGGGTGAAACTTTTGAGCACGGTGGCAACAGAATGGACTCTGCTCGCAGATCCTTTCCTGATAGAAATGACGTGAGAGGGAGTCGTTATTGGAAAGTCGTCCGAAGATAAGGTTAAACTGGATCCCCGGTTTCCTGGTCCAACAGCCCCAGGATTTCCCCGTTTTCTCCCCCATGGAGTGGCTGCCCGAACGTGCCTGCAAATGAGCATGCAAGTTTTGCCAAGCTGTCGGAAGTTAAAGGAAAGGAAATTCTCTGCCCTTTCGAATCCTTCCGATGACAGCCGCAGTCTAACCGGACTCTAGTCGAGCAGTAGTAGCTTTCAGGGGCTAAATTTAGTCTGACGCCAAGACTTAGACGCGTTGATTTTGGAGCTTCAATTCAATCCCGGGGAACAAATCTTTTGTCTTCTTTTCTTTCGTCGTGCTCGTCGATGGCTCTTGTTGTCGCTGTATGTCGGTAGTGGTCTAAGAAGGGGTCTCTTGGACAATAAACCATCATGCCCTGATGTCTGACGGTGCAAATAACAGTCACTATGATCCCTTTCGCGCCGCGTCCAGTGCGGAAATTGCCCTGGAATGTGTCGTGGCAACTTTTATCGGTATCGCATGGTATAATGCCATCGAACTCGTCGTCCTGTGTTTCACCACGTTTAAACGATATGGGGGCTGCTATTTTTGGAGCCTGGTGATAGCCTCCATCAGCATTGTCCCTTTTGCCCTGGGCTATGCGTTGCTCATCTTTAAAATCTTCCCTAGTTACTTCTCGGTCGCACTGGAGGTGGTAGGGTGGTGGGGCATGGTCACCGGCCAATCCATGGTCCTCTGGTCGCGACTGCATCTCGTCGTTCACAGTCGCAAGATCTTGCGCTGGACATTGATCATGATTATCACGGACGCCATTCTGTTTCATGTCCCCGCGTCGGTCCTGGAGTTCGGCGCACATTCCAATCACCAAGCCCAGTTCAACCCGGCCTTTGATATCTTTGAACGGATTCAACTCGTGGCCTTCTCGGTCCAAGAGATCGTATTATCGGTCATCTATGCATGGGCCGCAGTCGAAATGCTGAAACTCATGCCCCGGGGCCATTATAAAGGCATCCTGATCCATCTCTTGGTTATTAATTTCGTCATGATCAGTATGGACGCAGTTGTAGTGGGGATGCAATATGCTGGCTTCTTTCGCCTGCACGTATCCCTGAAAGCCATGTTCTACAGTGTCAAACTGAAGATGGAATATGCAATCCTGGGAAGACTGGTCCATGTCGCCGCCGTTCCGGTGCATCCACTATCCGGCTACCTTCCGACCCGTGGATCTAGTTCTGTATCACGCATATAGAGCTTTGCGGATCTGGATGTATCTTGAATAGCATTGGTTTTGCGATGTATATGGATCACAATCGCAACCAATGCCAGAGCTCTTCTCCAAACCCGCGGCAACGCCTCAGAGATGGAACCCATGTCGGCGGCAAAATGGAAAAGCTGCTACTCCTGAACAGCACGGAGCTTTCCCAGTGGAGGTTCATATAGAATGACAATGCTCGTCGTGCAGTTCACGGAGAAACTGTGAGTATCTCGGCCTGAATTGTCTACGCGAAAAGTGAAAGGCTTCCTGCGCAGTATGAGCAAAAGATTCAAGCCGAGTCTGGCGAAAGTATAGGTTTATCCCGGAGGAGGTCAATCTGATGTTTGCCATTTCCCTGTGTCCAACTAATACGTTTGGTAGCATGCGATAATGCTACATCGTGTCAATGTCAATACCTATGAGAAGTACACGGCAACGAAGTTAATCGGGTATGCCTGAGATTGACGGATACGGAAGGATACGTGTATACATACTTGCCCCCGTGATGCCCCGTGATGTGTAATTGTATATCAAATTAGACAGACCCTCATCCTCGTCTCCTTGAGACACCCCGATTAGGGCAAATATATTCAAATTCAGCAGAGCTAAATTAATCTTTGCCAGGTGGTTACATACCTGTGATTCGATCCGCAGATCGACTCTTCATTTCCTTAGACTATAAAGACTTATACGCAATAGAATTGCGAACGATGATAAAGCTTGTCGTACTTAAGCCTGTGCAGTTTGCAAGCCTTGTGAAGAGAGTCGCAGTGAAACGTGATTAAGGTTCCGATGCTGACAGGGAAGCCCCAGGGGGAGATAAATGACACTCAACAGCCGTCTGGTTATACCGTCCCATGGAAGGTTGCTAGTAGTCCCGGGCTGCCCTACTCCGTGCGTAGTGAGACAGGCAGACTAGTGCAAAAGCCGCTCTGTGGCCCCCAAGAGTGGGCAGCGTTAGACAGTGAGATTATTTTAGTCCTGTCTGAGATTCATTTGATCCGTTAGAGGCCATGCAATTCCTTGCCAGTAAAGAGCCAATCAGGTCCGTTATCAGTAGAACTTACAGCTGGGCGATATAACTGACCATTCAAGCGGAACAAACTATCAATGATGTATTAGCTCTGCAGGAGAGCTTGGATACTGTACATGGGCCAACACGTGAGAGGTGGCCAGAGCGTGCACCCTAATTACTTTGTATGCGTCGAACTAGTCATTGGCGGCATAACTTTGCAGGAAAGGAATGTCATTGATTAACATGGCATGAGGACGCAACGATAAGACAATATTTGACCGAGTGGTTGCTCTACCCAGTCTCATTCTACCGGATGTTGCTCTCCGTGTCAAGCCCGGTTAGGAAGGGGTATCACATTTGAATAAGAGTCTGGTCTTGTATTTCTTCCTTTTGGAAGCATTACTACTAGGCAAAATAGCGTTTAAAGTTCCTCGCTGATGCATAAATTTAATAGTCGCCATGACTCACATCGACCAGTCTGCATTATCTGAGCGCCGTGTGTTATCGCGAAAGTTACCACCAGGCTGCTGGATGAATCCGTGGAAGAGACAAATGACTGATCTCATCACAACATAACCGAAGACCTCTGTTATCTACCGGTTCAAAAGTACGATTTGCCTAGCTGCTTCACGGAATCGTTATTCTCCTTGTTCCGCGGAGCGCTCCACAATTAGTGCACGTCTTATACTAGTACTTTTGCCATGATGTCTGCCCCACACAAATGCAACATTTCCCCACCAGTCATGCATTCCTCCAAATGTAGGAAAAGATGGCAATCTTTCCAGGTCGGACCCCCTGTCCATCGGTAATATCTTGGAGTCCAGAGGAGCCGTCGTCGGCCGAAACCGTGGGAGCTATGAAAATCTTCTCCAACTTCGGGCATCACAGATAGATACTCCCATTGACATGTCATTTCATAATGCATTTGACAGGTGCGGGGCTTGATCCACAATCGCCTGATGCGAAATATCTATTTTTAATTAAGAAAAAGAAAAAAATCAAAGGTTGTGGCTAGCTGTTGACCCCTGTCTATCCCACAGAGAGGTTGTAATCTCTCTAGACTTCGGATTGCTCGATAGGGAGCTAATTGAAGATACGACTTTACAGAAACAGAATAGACATGTCATTTAGAGAGGAAGACAAGACAATAGAAGCTGGCTCCTACACAATGACAATGAAATGTGCTAAAATAGAGTAACGTGTGCTTACCTTCATGGACAATAGTCCCAGAAGCACATAATCCTAAATACAATAAAGCCGTGAAAATATATACATACATGCATCATTAAGCACTGACAGCCAGGTCCGTACGCTCCCTCATCTTGACGGGGATACCTTCGTGTCTCACAAACCAGGAATTGGTGACATGCCACGTGTGCTCGAGGCTAGGAAGCTCCATCTAAAAGACCCTGTTAGAAAACCCTTACGAAGGACAGAGGGGGAGGCGAACCTCAAAGGTGCTGAACAGAGTCGCAATGAGTTTGTAGCTCTCGAGTTGGGAAAGATATCGTCCCATACACATCCGGGGGCCAGCCCCGAATGTGAAGTCAGTACTCTTCATCTTAGTGAACCGTGCTTGGTAGGCTTCATCGCTTTCACCCGGGCTTGGCAGCCACCGCTCTGGGATAAAATCCTCCGTGTTGGCCCCGAATATGGCCTCATTCTTGTTGATCACCCAGGGGTTCATGCCCACAATAGTTCCCGCGGGGATAAAACGGCCGTCGGGAAGAGTGAAACCTCCTTCGGGGACGATCCGCTCGAGCATAAGCCCAACACCAGGGTTAACTCGCATGGACTCCCGCATGACAGCATCGAGATAGGTGAGACCCTGCAGGTCTTTCCACCTGGCTGGGAGGCTGATTTTGGCCGCATACAGTTCATCACGCAACTTTTGATGCACGCGGGGATGCTTCAGGATGTGATACACCGCGGAGCACATTGCGCTGCCGGTGGTATCACTACCGGCCAAAGTGTTGGACAGGAGATAGGTGACGATCGTGTTATCATTGACCAGCTCGGGATACTTCTTCTTGGTCTCCAGGAACTTATCGAGGAAGTCCGTATGGCCACTCGGTGGGGTTCCACCGCTCAGGCGTTTCTGGAGCTGCTCGAGACTGAAAATATTGGCCCACACAAAAGTGGGCGGACCGAGACGAACGATGGGGTTCTTGTCCAGAAGCAAATCCAAGATCGGCATTTGGGAGATCTGCAAGGGTTAGTCGCCTCGAGGTGCAAAGGAAGGTAATTGATTGATCTCACCGAGGCGAAGTAGTCGAGACTCTTGTTCGATCGGCCCAGGAAGCCTTGGTAGTCCGAACCGGCCTCTAGGATGCCCAAGTTCTGAGAGAAGGTAATTTGACTCATAACATCCCATGCAACTATGGGGACCCACGAATCAGTAGAGTCAACTGAAGGAGTATCAGCGATGACTTACAGAAATTAAGGTAGTCCGCCATGTCACAAAGCTGGCCCTTTTCGACAAATCGCTCCCGTAGCTTATTCATGAACAGGTTAATGGTTACATCCACGCCCGGCTCCACGTCCTGAACCTTGGTCATTGAATAGAGCCCCTTCACTGGCCGGATGTATGTCGAGTGCCATTTCTCATCTTGATGCGAGAAGAGGTTCTTTAAGCGCACCCCGGAGACAATCACGTCGTTCACATTGTACATATCACTCTGATTATAGGGCTAGTTAGAGATACATCGTTTACTATGTAAGTCAGAGACACCCACCTTCGTCCACGGATTCTTCGAATTGAAGACGTGAGGGATAACGCTTGGGTCTGAGAGACTGAGAACTTTGGGTCCCATGCGCACTGCAGTTCCGTACTTGCGGTGCAGCTGATTGTGTGTAATATCACAACGGCCCTTGAATACATCCTGGAGGCGCCACAGATTGGTAAAGCTGGCCCCAAATGGCCCTGGAAAGATCTTCAAGGGGGACGAAAGGTAGTTCCAAAGAAAGTGAGAGACGCCCAGGATGACGATTGCCAACCCCAGATCCATTATCAGCTCGTTAATAGATAACATTTTTATCTAATAGATTGTTTCAGCACACTGCACTAGGTATGCAGCGTTCCAGTTACTTCCCTGTCCGTTGTTGACCTGTCTACTCTGTACATTCCGGGTAGATATAGTTGATATCGGACAGGAGGATGTGGGGGGGGGGGGGGGGGGCGAGGATGATATGACCCCCGGACCATTGTAGCACGGTGCACCAGCTCCACATGAAGGAGAGACAGGGTTAAACTCTCGGCACAACGGTGTGAAAGCCGGAACTCTCGAGTCTATCAGGTTTCTGCCTCGCCACCAAAGGAGGTTGCCAGGCGGGAGCGTCGGCCCGGGGTGTTTTGAAGGTGGGGCATGATGAATAGTCTTTGTCTTACTGGTTATTCGTAGCATATATGACAAGTGACTCCTTCGGCGCACAGGGTGCTCGCCTAGGCCATAGATCTATCTACTTGGGAAGGTCTCTGTGTCCCTCGCCGGGAACCCTGTGTGAAAAGACGGACGCCCTGAATGCCGTATACAAGGATGCTACCTGGGACTGACCGATGGATAAAACGGCATATCTTTGCTTCATGGGAGAATTTCATGCCGTTAGTGACACGGGATGTCATATTCGAGGTGCCAGGGGTCTTGATGGACAATTACCATTGGCGGGCATAGGACCGACAAAAATTTAATTTGACAGAGAATCCTCTCGGCTCTAGTCCCCGTTATCGAGTAAGATATCCTGCGCTAACGCTGCCGACTGTGTCATGAGTGAGAATAGTGAAAACGGAGGAGTTAGCTAGCTGGCTTGGCGGTACTTCTGCACAAGCTCTACTCGACGACATACTCTAGTCGGCGTGCTAAAGAGGAGACTAAAGGTCCGACCCGCTGTCGGAACGCTCTGGGAGGATGCTGATCCATGCCATATCCACTTGGCTCACGTTCGCTAACCATACGGATTGGCTCATTTTTTCTTGGTAATGTCATACGTACATTTAGGGCTCGCTACATGACTCGGTTGTTCAGGAAGTGCTACCCCTTGTGGTTATCACCCCTGCAGTGTGCGCACATAGTGGACCATTGTATAGAGCAATATCGAATTGTCAAGATGAGACTTTTAGGCCCCCAATGCTACTCTATCCTTGCCACTAGTAAGCAGCGGTTGACATTAGTTCCGACCTGAGTAGGCAGTGGCCCTGGTCCCGTCGAGTCGTGGTCATGTTAATCTTCGCCGTTATTCATACTCCTAAATACGTAATCCTATAGGATCAACCATGTCACATAACAGGAAAAAAGCAAGGGAAAAGATCGGGGGAAAAGAAAGGGAAGGAAAAGGTACGAATGTGCCTTGTTCGGCGCTACAGAGTCTTAGCCTAAACATATCCCTTTCTCTATTTTGTGACCCCTCAGGAGGCAAAGCTCCGGGGGCGGCGATCCAACTTCTACTACGTACATCTACCCTGGTATTTGTAGCCCTGAACGTCCAGGCACACTTGACAGCTTCTACCCGACGCTCTGCCGGTTAGAAGCTTTCTTCACGTCCTCTGCATGCTTTCTTGTACTCCAAGTCGCTGACGGGCCATGTCGTCGAAACCAATTGACGACCAGGGTCCAACCATCCTGGCTGTGTGCTGGATCCTGGTCTTAATCCCGGCTCTTATTGTCGCCCTCCGGATGTACTGCAAGGTGATGTTGAATCGAGGATTCGGGTGGGATGACATGGTGATCTCCCTGGCCCTGGTCCGTGGCCCTAGCCCTCCGGCTTGACGCTGCTGAATAGCTGATCATCAACCGACAGGTGTTGCTCCTCGTCTACACAGCGCTCACCACCCGGGGAGTCCAGATGGGCGTAATCGGCAAACATGTTGGCGATATTGACGACCCCAGTAAAACGCCTGGAGCGCTCAAGTTGATATATATTGGGATGATTATATGCATCATCAGCTGTGTGCTCAGTAAGACGTCCTTCGCCATCACCCTGTTGCGCATCGTGACGCGCACCTGGCAGAAAGCGGTTCTGTGGTTTATCATCGTCTCTATGAATGTCATCATGTGGCTATGCGCCATTTGCTACCTGCTTCAGTGCAAGCCCGCCGCGGCACTCTGGGATTCCGAGCTCATGCCAACGGCGGAGTGTTGGCCTACGCATATCTTTCAAACGATCGCTCTCACTGCCGGAGGTAACATATAGGAACCGATTCACGCGAGAGGAAATTTGCTGACATATTCCTAGCCTATTCCGGATGTATGGATTTCATCTTGGCCTTGCTCCCATGGTTGGTGATTTGGAAGCTCCAGATGCGGCGACGCGAGAAGCTAGGCATTGCGATCGCTATGAGCTTGGGTATCTTGTTAGTGCGCTCCCATGCATCTCGAACTATGACCGAGTGATATACTGACATGGCAATGTTCCAGTGCGGCAGCGACGGCCTTCATCAAGACCACAAAACTAACCAACGTGTCCAATGTCGCCGATTACACCTGTACATCATCTCCTTCCTGCTTTCTCTTTCGTTTTTGTGCTAACACGACCGTAGATGCTTGCTCAGAGATTCTCATATGGGCATCGGCTGAAACGGGCCTGACCATCTTCGCGGCCTCAATTCCTTCCCTCCGCGTGCTGTTTGTCCGGATGAGTTCCTCTTACAATCGCAGTGACGAGCCGTCTTCCTATGCCTACAGTAGCTCCGCAAAGAAAAGTCGCAATCGCCGGGGTCTGTCCGGATCTCACCAACGTGATCCTTACTACTGTGGGGATACTATCATTCTTCCCGACCGACGAGACGATAATAGTGCCAAAAGTATTCTGGGTAGCTCAGGGATCAAGCAGACGCAAGAGATCATTGTGACATATGACCAGGGCCCAGAGGAGAACGAACAGGTGGCAGATAGGATGGATATTCTGCGGTCAGGGTCACCTCGTTAGGATAGGTATCTATGTATTATATTGCGACTGGCAAGCGAATAGACTACCAAATGTGTTATGGCTATGGTCGGATAACCCGTGAGATGATATTAATCGTCTGCAGTCGCTTGACGAGGGACAGGTCCTCCTAAGCGACTGGATTGGAAACTTGGCAACGCACTCGATACCTTTTTCCTCCCAAAGAATAACGCTATTACCAAAATGAGCCAGCCATTTAGTGATGACTCTGGGACCTTCGGGGGAATTTGCGTTCGATCTCATCCTCCGTGAACCGCCGAGTCTTAGTGCGCAGCATTTGCGCAATTTCATCTTGCTCCATCCCGATCTGGTCCCCTAACGGGACTAGACACTTGGCGAGATGATGATAGTCCTTCCGCAATAATCTCACGGTGATCATGATGTAGTCAATGTCGCGGAACACCAGTGCATTCTCGGTGGTATATCGGTCCTTCTGTTGCAGGAAGGCCACGGGATGGTCCCTCCAGTGGCGGCGAGGATTCAGATGATGGGACGTATGGTAGCCATCATTGTAGCAGAAACGGTTACTCTGCTCATCTTAGTTCACATCACGGCATCTCAGTCCTACGGCGCTTACTTACTGCAACATCGATCAATGTAATACTCGAGCGGAAGTCAGAGTTCGGATCCACCTCGTCCACAAAGGCGTGTTGTCCCCAGTTTCCTACCATCAGCCCCAAGCGCAGTTGTAAAAACGGAAGGACAAAGCAAAAGAGCGTTGGTTTCCAGCCGAGGTAGTTCCATGCCCAGTACATTGAGGCAAGACTGAGAATCTCCCATGTCCCTGCCTTGAAAGCGCAGGGAAAGTTACCCTTGCGGAAAAAGTAGCGTGGTAGCTCGAACCAAACACCAAGCAAGAACCGGCCAAAGTAGCACAGAAAGTCGAATAGGTCATCGCGTTGATACCGGATGGTAGAAGAGAGGTCGTCGGGCCCATTGCCCTCCACGTGGTGATGCTTGACATGGTGATAATAGTAGCTGTTCCAGGTATGGCCCATCAGGCGATCCGTGATATAAGGGAATGTCATGTCGAACCAGCGGTATCTTGGTTTCAGCACTCCCCCCATGTGAATATGCTGGTGCATCAACAGGGTGTACGTCCCCGTATAGTAGCTTTGCATGAGCCAATGCAGGATCCCATGTATCCAACTGAACCTATAATATAAGAGGATTGCGCTAGGGACGGAGGTAGTGAAGTAGAGTAAGATATGAGAGAGCATCACCACGTCGGTCTCATGCCGAACAATTTGCTTTGCAAGACCAATGTAGGGCTGCAGGATCCACTTGTCTAGCCAAGGATACAGGCGAAGATCCCTCATGTCCCATGTGAACACCACGCTGGGCTCAAAATCCGAATGATGAGGGTCATTCAACGCCTGCAGTTTCTTGACCGTCTCTTCATCCTGAGACGTCTTATTTCGTACCACAGCTTCACGATCTACCCGTGGTCTTTTAGAATCCGGATCCCACTGGAGAATAGGGAAGAAGGTGCACTTACCTTGCCCCTCGCTCCTCCGTGTTTTAATATCGTCCAACAGGTTCTCCAGGACTAGCACATCGCTAATCGTCAAATTAGGATCGAGAGCCATGGCAACGACGTGCCCAGGGCAAGAGAAACGTTCTTCTTTTTTACTTGGTCTGTTCAATTTGTTGGATCAGCGAGTCAGCTGACGTCATTATTTTTCTGTCCCTTTCGCAATGGCTTTTTTTTATTTTTTTTTTGCCCCTCCAGATACACTTTTTTCGATTTGTGTTTTTACTTTTCCACTTTGGTGTAAATGAGCCTTCTTTACCTCCGTCCGAGGCCCCGATATATGTGGGCAACCAGAAAAGAAAGAGAAAAAAAAAAAAAAAAAAAAAGGAGCCCCCTTTTTTGGTGGTCTGTGCTTACTTTCTATACGAACCAATCATGACGGAACCCTAACGGCTCCGTAATCTCCATAATCTCCATAATGCTCAGGGGCCTTGTCTATTCTTGTCTGACAGAGAGGGTCTTCTGTGAAAAAAGAAGCCAAGTGATAGCGTGGAGGGAAACATACGATGCTATAAAAAGAATGAGTCTGTTCCGCTGCCTGGAATGTCAAGGCCGGAAACGGCTGCACGGACGAGAGGATAGTTTACTATGTATAGCTCTTCCCTTGTAGTGCAACCATAGCCTGCTCTCTGATGGGGGTGATCTAGACTCTGGATATCTTGGCAAATACTCCTATTTGTTTAATTTCAGCCCTACATGCTAGTTTGTCGCAATGAGTGTTTTCGCATGCACACCTTCCCGCTCACAAGGGGAGGACATGCCCTGTACCGTACCCTAAACGATACATCGGGCTATGATCTCCTTCTTGGTAATAACTGAAAGCCTTTGTCCATCCTATCCTATACCGGTGAGATTGCAAATCTTCCTGAGCGGATTGATTTTCCCCCGAGCGACGGCATGCCGTGGCCAGGGCTTTGACTGGTTAAAATCTCTCCGATGTTCTGCAACCGTTTCGAGCGAGACCCACAAGGCACGTTGCTGAGGGCTTGGCGGATTTTCTCACTTTTTGACTCGATCCAGAATTATACTGGTAGAGAAAAGTCTCCATTGATCTGCACACTTAAAGCACAGATCTTGTATTTGCAAAAGTGCGGGCAGAATACATTGCAAGGTGGCAATATCGCATATAGCGGGTCCAGTCCGTCCTATCGAATCTCGTTGAGCTGACGGGAAGGTCGAGCCGGCCAGAAACTTTTTCCATTTTATTGCCAATTATTGGTGAAGCCACTCAATATCGCCGACATCAAGAGCAGTTTCTCCACTCTCTCGAAGAATGGTTGCTTACCAATGAGATACACTGCCTATTTTCCCTTGTACAAGACATGTTTCCATCGTAGAATCGATGTTCTATCCAGGGTAAACATGACACAATATACTACACCACAGGCTGACAAATGCTGGTCTCAGGCGTGGTTGAGCAAACAGGGGATTAGAATTACTCACCTCTGGAGTGTATGAGACAATGATATAAAATGCTGTCCTGGAACCCCTTCAGAATGGAATTCATTCACCAACAATCAATCAATCCTTGGCGTATCCGGGATCATCACATCTACAAAGCGCAATGGCTCAAACTCGCATCCTTCTAACTGGGGCTACGGGCTACATGTGAGTATGTCCTGCCATGGATCTCTGAAGAAAAGGGCTAATGAGACACAGTGGTGGCTCGGTACTGACTACACTTAAGGCCAGTAGTATCATTGAGGTACAGAATGCACAGATCGACGTCCTCATTCGCGGGCCGAAGAGGATTTCGGAGTTGGAAACCCTCGGTGTTGGAGTCATTGTCTTCAAAAGCTTAGATGAGACGGAATTTATTCGGAAGCTCGCGAGTGATTATGATAGTAAGCATTGGGAAAGGACCCCAGGCAAAGACAGTTCCCTAATGACATTCTAGTCATTATCAACACCGCTTCGGCTTTCCACACTGAATCCGCTATCGCCATGATCAATGGCCTCCATGATCGAGAGATCAAGACGGGCCGGAAAACCCATCTTATCCATGTGAGTGAGGAGATGCACAAAGTTGATGGACGCCAAACCGCTGACAGATTGTCAGACCTCCGGAACGTCCAGCATTGCCGACCGTCCGGTTAGCAAAGTCTACCTTGAATCACGGGAGCTGCACGATACCGACGATGTATATGCGTATCAACAGAGTCGCGAGGCCCACGAGGCCTATAAACAGCGCACTACCGACCTGGCCGTCTTCCGCACGGGGATTGACCTTTCCGTCAAGACGACGATCATCATGGCCCCGACCATCTTTGGCATTGGCACGGGCCCTATCAACCAGCTCTCGATCCAAATCCCCGCACTCATCCGCCGTGCCTTGCACTACGGACACGCTGTGGTCATCGGGGATGGACAGGCCGAGTGGGATCATGTCCACATCGCCGATCTAGTGACCCTGTTCGAGTTGGTCCTGACGAAGGTGTTGAAAGGAGAAGACGTGCCGTACGGAGCTCAAGGACTGCTGTTTGCAGAGACTGGTCGTCATACCTGGATGGATGTGTCTCGTGGCATTGCCGCGGCGGGCTCAGAATTGGGCTTGCTGGCGACGGACGAAGTTCGTAGTGTGTCACTCCCAGAGGCAGCAGCCTGGGCTGCAAATGGCAGTTCGCAAGTGCGCGAGCTGGGCTTTGCATCGAAGTAAGTCTTCTTCACCCGCTACCAGTATCATTGGTTCTAACCCTCTCTTAGTGCTCGGTCGAAAGCCACGCTGAGCAGAGCATTGGGATGGCAACCACGGAAGACAGAGGCGGACTGGCACGGTGCATTCAAGGAGGACTTTGAAGCAATTGCCAAGACTGTGGTTTAAGGAATAATCTGTATACTCTTTTCAAAATCAGAACCCAGGGAATTGATAACCCAGAATGCGTGTCTATCCGGCTATCTTCACTCTTTGCTCATATAATGATTTTTTCGACTCGTCACACCCTGTATACTGGATCTGGCAGTTTTTTGTCCTTTCCTAGTAGAGGCACAGTAGCCCCTCTGGGGAATCATTAGAAAGTCTACAGTGGCACAATCAGTTTATAAATAGCAAGATGATGTATATTCTACCAGGGATGTATATAATAAAACCACATTGAAGAGTGGATTTTGGATTGCTTCACTGGTTTCCGTTATGATAAGTATGTTTCTGTATCTATGAGCAGATGAACCTTGCCAATATTGATGTGTATTTCAACTATGATCGGAATATTTATATTAGGGTATACTCGTCACTCTATACAATGAGTATGTTACATGGTATTTTTTGCTGGTTGAATATGGGGAAACGAAGAACCGTAACATACCAAGGCGGGGCCACTTCAGCCAATGATATAAATTATAAAGTCTCCGTGGTGGAATTTGCAAAACGTGCAATTACCTCCCGTAACTATGGAGGTTGGATTATTAATCAACTCCCAACATCTCCACACAACGAAGCAGATTGAGCGACAAAGACGAAAGTACACACGGCTTCCATGGTCTAACTCACTCGATACAATTTTTGCATTGCGACATGTCTCAACCAGGTCATGCGCCAAAGACCCGAACCCGCAATGGGTGCGCTAACTGTCGACAGAGTAGGGTCAAGTGCGACGGAAAGGAACCCTCTTGCACGCGATGCTGGCAGAAAGGCTGGCAATGCACCAGGGAAAAGTTGACTCTCAAATGGAGGTCGGACTACCATAGTCGTGGGTTAGCATTCGGACGGGAAGGAGTCTGGGGGAAAGGAACGCAGTCGAAGAAGAAACCCGATGTGGTATCAAGTGGGGAACAGAACTGGCATCCCAATAGCACGGTGTATCCGTGGAGCTTTGTCAATCAAGACATCCCGACCCTAAGATGGCTTTACGACGAGAAAAGAGCCCCCGGACACCCGTCATCCATGGAAATTAGTGTGATCGGTCCGAAACGCGATAGGATCGGAGGGTTAGAGCAGGCCCCTTTGTGGTACTCGCCCCCTGTATTTCCCTATCCACAAGCACAGAAGCACGCACTCATGGTTGAGTATTTCATCGATCAAGTCTGTCCTCGGACAACGTCAAGTCTAAAGATTGCTTCCCCTTTCACCTCCGTGATCCTACCATTTTGCTTGAACGGCTCGGTGAACGGGCTCCTAGCGCTTCAAGCACTGACCGCGTGCTACTGGTCCCAGTCTAATCCAGCGCATACAAGCACCGCAGTGCGATTGAAGTCCAAAGTTCTGGGAGAATTGCGCCGCAAGATTGCGGCTGACCCCTCCTATACCATCTCCCCGGATCCCGAAGTCCTGGTCCTGATGATGATGCTGAGTCTATACGACATAGTCGACCAGTGCGACAAAGGATGGGTCGTCCATCTCCAAGGCGCAAAGGATATTATTCGGCTTCGGAGAAGGAACCTGTCCAACCAAACGCAATGTCCGGTGACGGCCTTTGCAGAACTATTCTTCGCTTTCCAGGATGTCATGGGCCGAACTGCGTGTGCCAAGGCCGATTTGTTTGGCCCTTCTTTCTGGGATCAAACTGACCGTTCCATCAACTCGTGGATGGGATGTAGTCCTGAGCTGGTTTCCATCCTCTTTTCTATCCTGGATCTCAGTCGGATCCGCCCCAAAATGGACACTGACTTGGCTCAAGAGGTGGACTTCAGCATGAGGGCTGCTGCCTTGAACAGAAGATTGGGAAGCCTCGTACAAGTCTTAGCTGATCCAGAAGACCGCGCCCTCCAGGCGGTTGCCGATCTCAAGCGGCTAGCATGCACCGTCTATCTACACTGCGCGTTGTACAACGCGGAGCCATCTACCCCAATCGTTCGCAGTCTCGTCCGCAGGATCATTCAACAGTTATCCACCTTACTCAAAGAAAACCTCATAATCAATGCAACATGGCCCATTTTTGTAGCTGCCGTCGCGCTCGATCCTGCAGATGGGGAGAATTGGCAAGATCCGGTCACTGGGGAGCTGGTCTGTGGACGAGCTTTGGTCCTGAGGGCATTGGCCACGATGGCCCAATCCACGGTCACCAGTGTGGCGCGTGTCCGCTCCATCATTGAAACCGTTTGGCAGTCGCGAGACTACGATTTAGCCACCGGATCGTCCCGACGACAATCTTCTCAACACAATGACTGGGAATGGTATGTGGTCCCGCTGAGCGATGCATTGAGCCTGGTATAGCCATGCATTCAAGAGATATGTCTCTGTATCACTCGCGAGGACATCAGTTCTGTTGCAATTTCTGGAATCTGATCGGTGTTATCTTTATTTCCGACCCTTTCCACGGACTGGAATGACGTCAGTCTTCGATCTATCCGGTTGGCCGGTTTATATCAGTCTGGATGGGAGTATCCAATTTACAACAAGCTTGCCATATCATTAACATTATTATCGCCATGTCCAACCTACTTCACCGTCCTGGACTACAATCCCTCTATAGGGTAAGCGTTCCTCAAGACCTACGGCGAAACCTCTGGCCTATGTTCGCCGGTAGTTTCACGCTAGGGATACTTTCGTGGGCCATTCATGACTATCGGGATTGGGTGAACTTTGGTGAGAAAACCGTCTATGATCCGTTTATGGCTTGTGCTTGACCTAACGCCCACTCTAGGAACCGGTGGCACACCACCCACTATTCGCGGATGGCTCAAAGTCAACCGACTCCGTGTGGTAAGAGCCTTCAGCTATTGGTGCGGCGATGACCTGCAAGATCCGTCGGCCATGCCACAAACTGGACCCCGGTGTCTTCCATCTACACTGCCCCCAAGAACAAAGGGGCCTCCATCACTAAAGCCGAGGTGAGAAAAGCAATGCCGGGCTGCATTATGCATCATGCTCTAACATCCAGTCCGCGCGGTCAAGAACCCTTCCCCAACGGCAATTTCCGAAACCCATCGAGCCACAAGCGAGAGAAGTTCAAAGATCCACCCTCACCACATCTCTAACGCAGCGCCTAGGCATTATTCAATCTGATGAAGAATTTCCACTCCCAATATCCTCACGTACTCTGTCTAGACCTATCTAAAACGGAAGGTGGTACGGCTGATGCCATTTATGCACGGTCGGAACTACCGACATGCAATCCTGAAGCAGCCGCTGTCGGCTATGAAATCGCGCATGCTCACTCGGCTGACAACTCCCTGCATGTGTTTCTTTCTCCAGCGGATGCCCGCACTGTGATTGAAGCTGCCTGGGGCCAGCGGTTTGCGGTCCCTTCAATGGTCCCTCTTGGATGGGTAAGCCTGGCGATAGCCAACATCGGTCTGTTACGGCAAGGAAGTGCTAAGATAGCTCCCTCACAGATCATGCTATACGCGCCACAAAACAGCGAGGAGGTAGAAATTGTTTGTCAAATCGTCCGAGCTGCGATTCAGTGGACCACGGGTATGAAGCTGAATCAATTTGCGTAGGAGCGCCAATCTGAGTTAGCAGTCAGATGTTCAACGACGACGAATAGTGGGGAGAGCCTCAACCGATCCACCAGGCGCATTACTCGAGTTAGCACCGTGTTATTTAGCGCAGGAAGTAAACTCAGATTACAACTTAAATAAATATAGTATAAATAGACGCGTCATATAACTTTCCTTTCTCACGTACGCCGGATTTATGGCTCGGCCTCGGAGTTAAAAGATAATGGATATAAGAACTCAACCATCCACTACTGTTTCCGAGACTAGACAGCGATACAAAGCTTGCGGCCATCGATATTCCTCCAGTCATGCCTCCTTTTATCACCCTCGAAGAGCACTACGCCTCGCCCAAAGTGCGCGAAGCAAGCGCAGAAGCCCGCGCTCATTATGCCAACTTCCCGCCTGCGATACTGTCCAGGCTGGAGTCCCTCGGGGAGGAACGTATCCAGGACCTCGATAAAGGAAACGTATCCCTCCAAGTCATTTCCCACGGTCCAGGGAATTTACCACCCCCTCTCTGCTCAGAAGTAAACAATGACTTGGCCTCTGCCATTACCAGGAATCCCACTCGACTCGCGGGATTCGCCATGCTCCCGATGAGCGCGCCAGCGGCTGCCGTGGCCGAACTTGAGCGCTGTGTGACGCAACTGGGCTTCGTTGGAGCCCTGGTGGATAATCACCTGGACGGACAATTCTACGACGATGAACGCTTTTGGCCCATATTCGAGAAAGCGCAGGAACTGGACGTTCCGATCTATATCCACCCTACGTTTGCATCCGACTCCATGATGGAGCATTATCAAGGGAACTACCATGACTCTGTGGCGCTGGCGCTGAGCGCATTCGGCTGGGCCTGGCACGCCGAGACGGGACATCATATCCTCCGGTTATTTGCTAGCGGTCTCTTTGATCGCTTTCCCCAGCTGAAAATCGTGATCGGGCACATGGGTGAGCTGCTGCCTTTTCAATTGGACCGCGTGTTTGCTATTTCGGACCGATGGGGCAGAGAAAGAAGCTTTAGGGAGGTTTGGAGAACCAATATCTGGATCACGACTAGTGGCATGTTTTCGGTGACGCCGCTGGCTTGTCTCCTGCAAACGACTTCCATTGATCATGTGTTGTATAGCGTTGACTATCCGTTTTCGCCGAACGAGAAAGGATTGCAGTTTTTCGAGGAGATTGAGAAGAGTGGCTTGATCATGGGGGGAGATCTGGAGCTATTTGCATATCAGAATGCAGAAGCATTACTAAAGGTCAAGGCGATCAATCTATGAATTGCTCTTCTTGTCGCATATGTTTCGATTTAAAAAAAGGTTGTTAATGCGTGGCACTGTCGCTCTATATCACTCATTGCCTTTGTGGCGTACGTTGGACACCTAGAAGCAGGCCGAGAAGTTGTCATCAGGACACTGGCACATCTGCCATGGAAAGTGCCACCAAGAAGCTGTTCCACTGGGAGAATTAGGGCTTTGTCTATTCCCAAATATAATCCAATAGAAAGCTGATATTATATTACAATGGTATCTTCGCATATTCAACGGAGGGGGGGGACAGAAGATAAGAAACGAAAAGATCTTTAGGGCATGAAATGGTATATGTCAAGAAAGGAAAGGATGGTAAAGCATAAGGAACAGCGAGAAGAGAAGCGAAATATTGCTGAAGGCACAATTTCGACCCTGAAGATAGCCAGCGAAAACGTCCTATGGAATAGCATCTGCCATCTGTGGAGGCCACTGAGAGTGTGCGGTATAACTGGCATAGGTGGAATGACTATTGGCATCATCTCGACTATCGGCAGTACCGCGACGTTTGCTAGTGATCGGATATGTAGCGAACAGACTATGCTGGCTGGGAGTGGCCGCAGTCGTCCTGGACCACATGCGGATGATCGGTCGGACGGTCGCAAGGCTGCCAGCGGTGATGCCCAAGCTCGCTTCAATGTTGGACCAAATGGATATTTGTGTGGTTGCGTCTGCCAACGGTTAGGGTTGGGAGGCAATACAGGTTAGGTAAGAGACGCTACTGACGGAGAAAGTCTGGACTCTTTGCCGAACTGAGAAAAGGGATGCGCACGATAACCGCAGCGCTGGCTCTGTAGGAGGATGTTTAGTATCAAGAACAACATAAACGGCCAGGGCGTGGTGCCAGAACGAACATGCAAGCAATCCCTAAAATCCCCGCGACGGCGACTTTCGTGCGAGGATCCATTTGAAGCCGCCAGATGATGAACACGGGGAGAATGCCCATGGTGAAATCACAGGCCGCCACCACTCCGCTGTACATGTATACGATCCCGAGACGTGCGTCCATGTCCAGGCAGTGGCCTTCCATCCATAGCAGATTCCAGTAGTAGGAGACTGGCTGGCATTGGAAGATTGAGACAAAAAGAAAGACGATCCCCACCGCCGTGGACAGCACCATCACGGCGTAGAGAATCCATGTATGGATGCGCTCGACGGTCAGGCGAAGTAAGGTGATGGCAATGGATAGTCGGCCGATCGTCACGGTGATGATATAGAGGAGCTGGCCTAGCCACCAGAACTATGCACGAGAACCGTCAGTACAGACGCTGGCAACGCAGGACAACCACAACACTGACAAAAAATCCGCGACGGACGTCGTCCGGTCGGTCAGCAAGGTATTCCATCGTTTTCCCCATTCCCGAGGAGGCTCCGAGGAAAGTGCACACGGCGAATGCCACATTGAGTACCTTGAAGAGCTGTCAGTGCGAATCCAGGAGAAGCGGACTGCGAGACTGCTTACCATCGCCGTCACAATCAGGGCATCATCGCACCCGAAGGCGCGCACGATTCTCAGCCGAACAAAGCATCGCAGACAGACCGTCACCAGTGATAACCCGAGGAACACCGCGGTGACTATAATAATGGCATCACTATTCCCGTCTCCCATTGTCCAGTGACGGTGGATCGACCTGGACGTACGGACGGGCTATGGAACAGCCTTCGAATGCAGGGGTTTGAGGGGTTCATCAGGATCTGCAACCTTGCTGATATAATGATTGCAGGCTGCGGAGAGGAGGCAAACTTTATTGAATGAGAAGACCCGACGCGTTGGTTCTCTGGGGTTGCTGTCTACCTCTCCCAGAACCATATCCATCTCAACCATGGCTGCTTCCGCGCTGGGCCGTGGAACCGCGACGAGTCTAGACTGCAACCTCCAGCGTTGATGGGAGAGTCCAAAGGACTGGGGAGATGCTACGCCATGGAAATGTTATGTAACGGCCAAGAGAACTTAATGACACCAGCAGATTCGTCCTTTGGGTGTCTCAAAAATGGATCACTTAAACTCTGCGAATAGGAAACGGAGATCTACGGGACAAACGCTGGGCAGCGATACATAGTGCAAGGTGCATAAAAGTTACCTCGCGATTTGATTCCATCCTATTTGTTAATTTGCCGGTCATCAACCCAGTTCGTACTGGGGTTTCACCGACGGTTTGGCCAGTTGCGACGTCACTCGCATACTAGCACGGATATCTTCATAGGATGTTCTCTCTCCCACCCAAAGGGTTTACAATGGTACGCCACAAGGGATGCGGATCCTCGCCCACAGATATATCATCCAACCTTCTTTGGTTCAGCATGGCGCCAGAGATACTCATGCCATGATCCGACCCCATTCGGGTTCCACCTCCACCAATGCGGCCCGATGAAGCAACGTGGCATGCGGGTCGAGTGCTTCTTAACTCCCATTTCGGACCTTCTCCATGTAGACAATGATATCACTCGAGTGCCTCCTTCCGATGGCGGCCGAAAAGTCTGCTATCTGGGATTTGAGGGCAATGCAGCATGATCAACTTGAAACGTAGAACGGAAAGGTACATACATGGAAGGGGATGAAACGCTGTGTGAAAAACAAACCCATATGCAGAGCATTCTCTAGGCGATCCAACAATCATAACTACGCGTCCATACGATTTCTGATATTTACGTATTAGAAAGTTCGATTGAACCAATTGCCAGTCACATCACGTGCGATGGGCGGACCCTTACCGAGTTGGGATATTTTATTGGTCATCCACTTTCAGGCATGGGGGAGGTTGACAGGAACTCCTCCGGACTGCAGCACACAAAGCTCCACAACAAAACAGATGCGAAAGTCAAACTAAAAAGAGGGACAAGACGATCAATGGTACGGGCAGCGTCATTGATACGTCATTCTCGATTGTTTGGACGTTGGCTTCTTGGCAAGGTCTAAAGGTTCTTAACAGACATGACATGGAATGGACTCGGAGGATACCAAATACACCTGGAGATTTTTCACCCACAAGGAATTGGGAGAAGGTACACCCGAGACCGACCTGCCAATTGTTTTGGGTGTTCGTTGAGGAGGAAGGAGGGCAATTCTGGTCCCCTTCAAAGCGCTTCTTCTTTGTTGATCAGGGATAGCAAGAGACCCCGTGACCAGGACCCCGTGCCCTCGCGCTGATTGGCGGGAAGGTGCATCCAGACCATTCATCGGCTTTCACTTCCGTCCCAATCGTGAGCAACAGCGAACACCCGACTCCTTCATTGTGATGCCGCGTGGATGGAGCAAACGTGCCATCAGCTGGGCACCATTGTTCCAACTGCAGATTCTTATGGTGTTATAAAACAGGAAATCCCCGGTGCCCTAGTACCACCATGGACCTTTCCCCTTCCCACTGACACACGCGACATCTCGAGAGACGGCATCCGAGGGGGCGGGAAAAATGTTTGGCAAGAGGTAATTTGATACGCGCATACCGCGAACGAGATTCACCCTGGCGTCAGCTCAACAGCACTTCTTCAGGAAAACTTCGCAGAAGCCGAACGAGCAGCTCATTCGAGAATTTCGCAATGATTTCCCCCATGTCTTTTCCGAGCTTTCGATCGCTCCGACGCTCCCGCCGGAGGGCTTCGTCACTCACGCCCAACCAGGCGCCCTGGAGCCTGCGCCCTGGGTCGAACAACCGTCCACGCGCTCGAATCCCCTCCGTTTTGTGAATCCGACGAGTCAGCCGCATGACGTATACACACCACTGCCCGATCAAATGTGCGCCGTTCTGCATAGCCCGGCGGGGGACTTACACACCCCGACCATGGAGTGGAACCTGACCAGCTCGCCCTTCCGCTGGACACAAATGGTCAGCGCCCAGACGGCCCGTTCCCAGGATGACCCGTCACCCGCCAATATCGCCGCGTTTCCCTCGCTCGACCCGAGTCAGGTCTTCTCGAATGCGGACCCATTCGCCCCGACATTCGATGCGCCACCTGGCGTCGCGCGCTATTATGACCATGATCCTGGGGAATACGTGGCGCCGGAGGAGTGCGATCGGAAAGAGTCATTTGTGTCATCCATCCGGGAACTCTCGACGGACCATTCAGTATCGCTGGCGTCGAATGTCCCGGAGAGAGTCTCCCCACATCCAGAAATCCCGTACTTGTTTCCCAGTTCTGTCCCGGCCACCGGTGGATGCTAACGTGGGCGAACCATGCAGATTCCGCTACCATGTCATTCTCCATGCGCCCACCGCGATGTTCGACCATGCCCGCGACATTCCTGTGACCTATCTGAACAAAGCCCAGGCCTACACCATCACGGTTGTCGACTCCCGCCCGCCGGTCGCGCCCGCCGAACCAGTCCAATACCGGACCCGAATCGGAATCGCGTTCGAAGAGCCCACCCACCGATCCAATCCGGCCACTTGCTGGCAGCTGTGGCACGACGCGCGAGGTGGGAGTGACGCTGAGCGACGCGGCAGCAGCCCGTGTGCGATAGAAGTGGTGGCGCTGAAGGGAGGTGGCCAAGAGATGCCTGATCCGACGTGGCATCTCGAAAGTGCATCCTTTAACCAGTTTTGTGTTTCGTGGATGAGCTCGGGTGAGGCGCGGCCGTCGGAATGCCGGATGCTCGTGCGATTCCACTTTCTCTCCACGGATTTCACTCAATCCAAGGGGGTCAAGGGAGTTCCAGTGCGATTATGCGCGAAGACGGAGAGGATCTCTTCCCCGGAAGGCCCGCTGGCAGGTGAGACGGAGGCGGAGATCTGTTATTGCCGAGTGAAAGTTTTCCGGGATCATGGTGCCGAAAGAAAGCTAGCCAACGATGTCACTCACATCCAGAAGTCGATTGAGCGTGTCGAGAAACAGATCGCCCGGGCGGACTACCACGGGGGTGCCCTAGGTAAGAAGCAGAAGCGCCGGAACGTCGCGCGCGGGACGACCCCGAATGACCCGACCCGATCGATGAGTCGCTCCCCCAGCGTGTCGACCCCAGGCGACCTGTACAAGGTGTTGTACGATCTGCAGCAGTTGTTCTCGTCCCCCCGCTCGGTGAGCGTGTTCTCTCTACCCGGGGATGAGCAGGACGACCCTGATCAGTTGGCTAGCATCACGTTGGGGAACCATACGCCCGATGGGACGGACGTGCCTGGCGATGCCGACCGCGACGGTCCATCTGAAGACGGTTTGCAGGGTCGACCGTCTCGTTCTCCCACTCAACGGTCATCGAGTATCACGACGGGCCAGGCCATGTCGACAGACCCGGCGCCCGGTGAGATTTGCCGATTTCGACTTGCAGTCGATGGGAAAGCTAACCGATCCTTAGTGGCTTGTTTCTACATCCAAATCCAGAAGAGTCACCGTTCGAGTCCCTATTACCATGCGGTGTACCTGGCCAAGCGGACCGTCCGCGATCTGACGTTGCAGCTGGCCAAGCATGCCCATGTTGACCCGAGAGGCATCGTTCGCCTGGTTCATGTCAAGCGAATGGGATTATCGATCATGGTCGATGACGATGTGATCCAATATATGCTAGAGGGTCAAGATATGATTGCGAGCTTCGTAGAGATCCCCGCAGTGAACCGTGATATGCGTTGCCGGCCTCGGTTCGAGGTTCAATTGACCTATTAGCCATGACGAGGGCGCCCTTGAGCCAGTCAACTTTATAGTGTACTGGGCAATATCCTTCTAAGAGAACCATAAGACACTCCGTACACTTCTTGGGGCCATGCTGTCGCTGGCACCAGTTCTTTCAACCGCTCGGCAGATCTTGCTCCGAGGACTTCGCATGGGCGAATGGATTATCGTCGATCGGCGACTCCTCGATGAACCTCCAGGGAAGCGTAGATAATCTGCCTTGAAAGTCATGTCGTACGTCCGATTGCATCGCTTTAGATAAGTCAACAATTCACGAATTCCCAACGTTTTCGATGATTTTCTTGTGTATTGTGGCTAGCGTCACGGTAGAACTGTGCTCTGCGATATATATAGAGTGTCCATGACGCTAGAGAGGATCGCCCTGGGGTCGCCCGGTAAGGCATGGACTGTGGAGAGACACCTGCATGAACAGTGGGTCATGATGATGGAATGGATTGTCGCGATGTTGAGGTGATTTCATCGATGCGAGTACTAATAGTACCAAGGATGAACCCTCACTGCTCTGCGATTGCATGCTCATCGTCACTGGGTCACATGACCCTGTCCGTAGAAGAATCCCTGATTTCCTGCCCTAAGAAACTTATTATGAGTTCAACATCCAAGGATCAACCTCATAAAGAACTCCGCCCTGTCAGCCACCCGCGGCGTTCCAGAATCCAGACTTCTTCCACGGTAGTCTTTCTTCGGCACAGCCCAACCTCATCATTCCGCTGCGCCTCAGCCGGTGACTTGGGGCCAAGAGCCAATTGACCGTCTGATTGGAACGTGACCGTCGCGTGACGTCAGCCAACCCTAGGCAGTCACTTCAGGCAGTCACTAATCCGGATCCGGTCTGGTTGCCAACGGTGGCTCATTTCGGCATATCTCGTTATATCAGGCGCGCATGCCCTAGCCCAAAGAACGAAAAGAAAACTTTCTGTCCTCTCTGGCGCATTCTCTCCCTCTTCAATCGCTCTATCTGTTCGTTTTGCGCTCTTCGTTTCATTCATCATGGTCACATAGTAAGTCACTCTCCCAGTCGCTTCCCAACTTTCGACGTCATAGCATTGATCGGCGACCACCTGCACATTTGAGCTCATTTCACAGAATCTCGGACTAACCATTGCCAGTTGCCGCGATAGGTGGGGGAACATCTATCGATGTCGGTCGTCTTGGCATAACTGGGGCCGTTGGGTGTTACTGGCCATCATCATTGCAGTAGCACTCCTAGCCTTCTTCTTTTACGCGTATGTTGAATCTCATCGTCGTCATTCTCGGCATGCTTTACTGACAGTTTATCTCTGGTAGATGTCTCTCGGCTCGTAAACGCCGTCGTCACGGCCAACGACCCATCTATGGCACCGGCTGGATCCCCGGCACGCAACCTCCGCCAGGCCAATGGCAGCAACAGCAATATCCACCTCAACCACCACCGGCGCCACCAGGATATCAACCGTCCGCCGAGCATGGATATGGGCAGAACTACGGTCCAAACCAGGGGTACTTCGGCCAGCAGCAGTACGGATCCGAGCTACAGCAACCACCGAACGCATATGCGCGAGACGGCGTATATTCACCCCCGATGGGACCACCGCCAGGTCATCCGAAGTAGAGGATACCGGTGGAGATGCTGCCGGACGACGAATATAGACATAATACGTGCTTACGAACGGGATTGACGAAGTGTCCTTGGGTTTAGTTTGATAATCGGATTACGGTGGCTTCCATTTGAGGAAGTCGGAGTTTCTTTGATGATTTTCTTTTTCTTAAAGGGACGTTTACAACAATTCTGGCGTCTGGTTGGGCTTATGGGATATCATATACCTCTTTGTTGGCAAGTTAATGAAATACTGCTCATTCGTAAAACGAGAACAAAGATGGTTGCGTGGTGATATAGTAGTGCAGAATCTACGAATAAAGAAACCATAATAATCAATTACCCTCATAATACGGAGTAGAAGCTGTTGTACCATATTTAACCGATCTAATGATGGACTAAGATAACCATGGAGATCTCGTACGCTCTACTGTAAAGAAGACTCACTCCGAGCAGAAGTCATTACATGATCTCCCCCTACCAGCCGCTCATCCCCTTACAACTCCTTGGCCTCCCGTTTACTCTCCGTCGTGAGCGTGATATTTGTATAATCCTTCTCCTCGATCATGAATTCGTCATAATTCAGTGATCGGAAGCGGAACCAAAATAATATGGTCTGGATAGCCAACGCCACTGCGGGCGCGCCCCAAATCCAAATTAAATAAGGGTCTTGCGTGACGGGGATTAACACCTCACCCAGTGCGCTGGACAGCGCAGTGGTGAACAGGAAGATGGCCATGACTAGTCCGCGCATGGAAGGGGGAGCGCGCGCATACGCCAGCTCATAGGCCGTGACGTTGCAGAAGAGCTCTGACAGGGCACCCAGAATGACATTTGGAAGTTGCCACCAGATCAGGATTGGACTGACGCCCGCGTCGCAGGATGAGGCGTAGTATCCGCAGGGCGAGGTCTTGTACACGCGCCACTGGACGATGGCACCGATCACTCCGGAGATCATAGCTAGGACAAAACCGAAGGTGATGCGGTTGATCCGCCCGAACTTGATGTTGTAGCGCAACAGTAGGGGGTAGAAGATGTGGCTCAACACGGGTGTCATGACAATGATGGTCAAGGCGTTAAAGTTGTTCAACAGGTCATTTGGAGCTCCGTTCGTCGTCATCGAGGCACCTTGGTTACTTGCGACCGAGCCAATACCGCCGTCGTTGATATTGTAGATCGGGAAGTAAAAGAACACTTCCGTTGCGACTGTGGAGGGTCAGTATTGGATAGTATGTATAGTGTAGGGGAGAAGGATGGCATACCCAAGGTCCGACGAACATCATCTACCAGCTTATCGGTCCATTCCACCTGGATGCCCTCCGTGGCCAAGACACTTGGTCGCGCTGCGCCAAAGAAGTTCTTGCGCCAGACTTGAAACTTGTTGCGTCGCAGGGCCATGGAGATAATCTTCACCGCGTGGTTCAGATCGGAAGTCCCACTCGGTGGCTGTTTGTAGGTCTTCTTGTAAACCAACGCCAGCACCACAGGCAAGAGGAAGTAGATAATCCCCGCCAGCAGAAACGCAAGCCAGTAGCCCACGTACTTCTCTGCGTATGTGGTAGCCAGCATGTAAAAAGCACCGATGTTGACTACCCCGTAGAAGATCAGCATGGTGCGGTTACTGGTCAGTTCGGGGTCCACGATGACTTTCTCCCCGGATTTGAGCACTTTAGTGTAGGCTTTCTTGCTCCGGTGCTGGTCCAGGATGGTCGGTGCAATGTTTGGCTTGAAGATACCAGCACCAAGTGCCAGGATGAGCAAACTTATGATAAATGGAGGTGCTGAATGTGCCGTGCCCTTTTGCAGAACAGATGGAATGGCACCAAAGATCTGGATCAAATGTGCGATACCGCAGATCAGGACACCTACACAAATGGCCTTATATCGACCGACATGAACATCGGCCCACCTGCAAGGATTAGCACCAGGGAACGTGGACAACCATTGCAACCGAGGGGAAGAGTGCAACCCTACCATCCTCCCAGAATTGGAAGTATATAAGCCAAAAAGGCGAACAGCAACACCAATCCGGAACTGGCCTGCAAGCCCATTCCCAACCCTCCAGCAGTCTCCTGCGTGCCACGTGGTGGTGCACCGGCGCCATTCCCGCCTAACAACTACTGTCAGCCAGGTCTTTCACTCACATCTTAATGATGGCAAACATACCTTTCGGGAGAGGAAATTCAATGAAGTTGGAGAAGACGGTCTGCGAACCGAAGTAGGAAGCTCGTTCAGCGAACTCAACCAGACACAGCGAGTAGGATACGATCGGCAAGTTACCCGCGACTTTACGAAGGGTGCTTTGCTCTTCTGGTGTCGGCTCAGGAAAATCATCACTGTCCATGGAACTGGCTGCCGTGGCCGTTACTTCGTAAGTCTGTTTCTCGGGGTCGTAGCCGGCAGGCTCATTGACCACCGAGTCCAAGGCCTGGCTCGGTCCCCGAGCGGCAATGGCATTGTCGACGACGTTTTGTCCGTTTAAGAGAGCTGTATTTAATGGCTGTGATCAGTTAATAGAAGACTTGAGAGTAGGTCGCCACATACACATGGTGGAATAGCCTAGGTTGCTCGGATAATTCTCTGTGGGGACAGAGATTGACAATTCGGATACCACAAGGGGCGAACAGCTGGAATGCGACCATCCTTATAATAGGTCCTACAGGCTTAGCTCGTGCGTGAACCGTGAGACAGTGAGAGGCAGGTGGACGGACTTCCGGCGGCGATAGTGCTAGGTAAAAGGAGATAGACTAGGGTGCAGGAGTCCCAGGGGAGATGGAGAGGACTGGTTGGATATCCATGATGGCGTATGCTTAGCTTCGATGTCGTACAATGTACCATTGGCTCCTTGGGGGTCTTATCTCCTGGCCCTAGTAATGTAGTACCAGGTGCTTCAACGGAAAAACTTGGCTCTATGAACAAGCAGCACGCTAGATGCTTATCAGTAGTAGTCTCTGACCCACCCTAATGACTTTCATCCTGGCAGCTATTCTCATCTTAGTCGTTCGTCACGTCATTCACTACCAACACCCGGGCATTTTATGTTACCTAAACACAATTCTCATTGGGTTGCTCTCAAATCGGCTTGGTAAAATCGGTGGTGGCTCTTATTGCGGACATATACTAGTAGTACGATGCTACCACTCCATGTGTTCTTTGACCCCGACTAGATCCAATCTTAACCGGTCAGGGAAGAGAACAGACCCTCGACTTTGTCCCACCGCAGCCATTGAGAAATATTCTTGCATATTACTTCTCCATCATGATGATCTTACTCGGCCAATGAAGTCAGGTTCATGAGGCCGCCAATCGAATTCGTATGATTTCAAATGATGCTGTTTGATTTGGCTAACATTTGAGCATTTACCCGGCCAGCACTACCCTTCCCCCAGTCATGGTACGGCAAGTGCTCATTAAATAACAATATCTTGTTGGGGCTGATTTAGGCTGAATGTTAGACAAGGCGTTCTTGTCTGTTCCCCCGGACGATATCATGCAAACACAGTAACATTCCTATTAATTCTTTACATATCCATAGCGAATCCATTCAGCGCTTTTAGTATTCTCTGCTCAGGTTTCAGGCAGAACACGTGAAAGGCTTGCTAATGGACTTTGACTCAAACTTATGAATCTACCAAGTCCGCATTAGCATCCCATAATTAACTGATGTAAAAGGGAGGGACTCACCAGCTCAGCAATACTAGCGTACGTGCCGCATCCAAAGACGATCATCCCAACAATGAACACCACGCCATTGTACATAGCAGTTTTCAAGTTGCGCTTCTCATACCATGCACCCTCTCTCAGAAGTACATACCATATGACCGGAGGGAGATAGAAGGATAGACCCGAAACGAACAGCGATGAAATGATGGAGAGTAGCTCAGAGAAGACAGGGATAGCCTCAGCAATAACCCACGCAAGAAGTGTAACGAAAAGCACAAGCCCAAGCCATGTAATCCAGCCTCTTGGGGTGTTGATGTACCGGACAACGGAGTTGCGATATACCTTTCCGTGGATATACCGGCAGACCACGGTGGTGTTGATCGAGCCCGAGATGAAGATCACTGGAAGCGCGATACCAAATACAACTCTTGAGATAACAGGACCCGCTGACAGTAGGGCAGGAGACTGCACCTCTGGCCCCACAAATGCATAGATAAGAGAGCCTGTCAGAGTGTAAATGACGATTTGAATGCCTCCAAGCCACCAGAGAGTTTTGACATAGTCCTCCGGGGTGTGCATTTCTTCCATGAACGATGGTAAACAACCACCGAAGGAATAGGCAAACACAATGCTGTTGGTGGATACGATAGCCTCGGCGAAAGTAATGCCTTCCTTCGGCCACGGAGACCATGCGGCAAGGTCGATTGCAAACCCTCCAGAACCGTTTGCATTTTGAATCCCAGTGGCAATCATAGTAACCCCTATCGCTAGAATAATCGAGGCAAAGTCAATGTAGCCTAGTATGGCGATATCTGCAAATGCCGGTGGAATCGCAAGTATTAGCAAAATTGCAGCAGATGTAATGCTAAAGACGACCGAGCATACGTCACTTTGCGTGATGGTCTTAAAGGCAATGGCACCGGTCAAGCAGTGTGATCCCACGACGAATATAAGCAGGCAAACGAAACTAGCTATAAATAGCTTTGATCCGAGGTTTCCCAGAAGTAGCCTCCCGACATCCGCATAATGAGCGATCTCTGGGTACTTGAGCTTCACCTGGCCAATGTTGTAGCTTGCATACATTGCAACAAAGCCAATACCGATTGTCATGATGACCCCTGCAACCATACCAAGAGTGGCGAATGCATACGGTAAGCCCAGGCTCCCAAGAGCAATGCCCTCAACTATGGAAACGACGGTAAGCCGTTTCCAACCGAGGCGATGGAAGTGAGCATCTCCTTTAATGGCACACTGTCTCTCCTCATCCGAGTGGCCCTCTTCCTCGAGGAAGACCTTGTTGGCCATAACACCCTTGGTAACCTGAGTGATAATGGCGTCGTCCTTCCGAGAATTCTGGCCAGCGCCAGCCCCAGACGATTCCGTTGTTCTATGGTCCATTCGGCGTAATATGACAGACGTGACTGCGACTAGCAGGGAGAAGTAGGTTCCTATTGACAGATGGCAAGGCCCTGGCCATATAATTATAGGGAAGTGAGGAGAATTTGCCGAAAACCCACGCTTAAACGTAAAAGTTTAGGAAAGAGTGGAGCCATGCCCCTCTTCACAGGCAGACTTAATTTATAGACACCCTGTTTTGCTGTTTTTTTCTCGGCCGTTACCTTTGCTTGTTTTCCTCACGGAAGCACCCGTAAAACATGAACCTAATAGGGTTACCAGAATAACTCGACCTTGAAGATCATGCCATGTCGACGACAGTAAATTGGAACCATGGTACAATTCATGTCTTCCAATGCTATTGCTATTATACGCGACATTGAGTTCTAAATTGGTGCGGGGTCGGGACTAAGTTAGTGTGATTAGATTCTTCATCATGCAGTAACTGTTCCACTAATTGATATTGCTTCGGTAAGAAAACTCCACCCTATATAAATGAGCCACGAGTTCTTCGATCCTCGCACAATGACGGCTAAGGACAATGCGTCTGTTTTTCACTGTATCGTAGCACTGTGAGGCAAGAAGCGCAGTAGTGTTAGTGGTGGTACAATAGGCGGATTCAATGCTCTTCTCCAGGTATGTTTTTTTTTTTTTCCATGGCATGATACTGACAGTAATACGTTACGACCGGGGGCCTCGGTTACGGTAGCATACATGGTGGAGATGCATTGGCCGAATTAGCGAAGAATATCGTAGGGCCAAAAGGCACGGTCCTGACATGCCCTGGTGGCGTTTTGTGGGTTACTAAGGATAGGCTCTACTTCATATGAAGAAGCCGATGCAGAATCATAGATTGGCCTCCCGTCTTTTCGCACGGCAACAGCGGCATACTATGGCCTTAGTTACAGCTTGGGATTAGGTAAAAGCATCCCAGCCCTCGTATTTTGGCTGTTCCACAATCAAGGTTGGACGATGCACTACTATCCAAACGGAATGGGATAGCTTGGCAAGGCAGAGATAATCTAATCAAATGATCAGATAAGAAACAGCCCCACAGACTAGTCCCTCACCTGTTTTCGGAGTAAATTTGTGCGAGATGTTATCTGTCAGGTCTAGTTCATGTAACGATACTCCGTAGTGGGAGAAAGGATTGTTGGAGGACTCGTTGGGTCCCTTGTGGCGAACGCATCCATACTGTCACATCCGACGTAGTTCTGCCAGCAGCCAGAAACTACTCTCCACACTGAGTAGACTGAGAGGAAAGTGCCGAAAGCAACAGCTTGTGCAAACGAATAATTTGGAACCAAGTTAGTTCTCGTAAAGGAGGTTGATAGTCAGCTTGACGGCGCCTTGGTAAAAGGGGAAAGTAGATAGGATGTACTATTTTCCTTTCTTGTGCAGAGACCGAGTTAAATGATATAGTGAAGCTTGATCAGAGCTTCTTATACATACTAGTAATGAGTAGCATAATCTCTCGCCGAATCTCGAGGTTTGCCAGGCAAATCACCGTCCATAATTCCCTTTGTCCAAAGCAACCGTCTAATATAGGTTGAATCACGGAAATGTATTGTAAAACAAGGCCTGTGGGGTACTATTTGTATAAAGATAGATAGAGAACCAAAAGAGTATCTATGGTTATGATAAGACCCATGCCGTGGCACTTGAGTTTTAGCACCCTTAAATTTGCCATCGGCTCTTTAACAACAATTGCTCACTAATGCCTGAGGCAAAAATGAGCATAGCGCGTGGCATCAGGCTGCAAGCGTTTGCAGCGTTTGCAAGTTCCGGTTATCGACGGATCGACGGACACTATATTTCTGCGCGTAGTTCGTAGTGATTCTCATCTTATTCTACGGTTCGACTGGTTTCCTCTTTCTCTATATTGAGTATATAAGATTCCTGAGCGGGAATGACTTGGAATTCTATGGATAATGCTTGAATCTATTCAACATGATTGGGGAAGAAGCCGCTTAGGAATGACAGCCCTCGGCCTATTTAAGGTTAGTCAACACTGGCATGATATTGTATATACCAATTGAAGTCGACCACTCATACCCCTTGAATCACCCACTGGGGCACCCAATGTTAGACCGATAGAAGGCGTGTGTGACAACACTGCCGAGGCCGGCAGTAAATTTGTCTACCTTCTTCTCCCCATCAGGCACAATGTTAACCTTAACGCCGCCATCAACACGTTGAACAGTAGCGGCTCCGTGGATGTCCATATCAGCGGCGCTGTCAAAACAGAATTGGTATGTCTTTCCCTTGAAGTCAAGGTTGGTGCAACCACCCCCACATGGGATTCTGGAAGTAGCGTCCTTGTTTTCATTCATGACGTCCGCGTTGTCATGGTCGTACGCAAACCCTATACACTGGAGTTCCGAAGCGCCACCTCCACGAATATAGCGAAATTGGATTCCGAAAGTGCACGCCAAAGCTGTCGGAGCTGTCGCAGCTAGAAGGGCGAGGCTGGGAAGATGCATCTTGTAGGTTTTAGGAGGGCTTCGTATATGTTTAACCTAAACTCTCTCGCATGTTAGCTGAAGAGGCCCCTTACAATCACCGTGAGCTCCAGAAAGTGCTTGCCGGGTAAGGATAAACATAGAAAAGGGAAGAGATGTGGAAAGAAAGAGATAGACTTGCCTGGTATTGACCTTTCTTTTTTTTTTTCACCCTATTTCTCCGGTGTTCGAAGAAGGAATTGTTTTACTTTTGGAAGAACAGGAGTGAAGTAGGATACTTCCCAGTTAAATTCGTGGACATCTCCAGGGTTTATATACCTTTGGCCATCGGACACAATGCAATACACCCCTCGGTCTACCTACCTACTGAAGAATCTAGGTAAGAAGCTGATGCCCTCGCCGAGTGAAGGCTACCTGAATAACTCACTTGGCACAGGTGGCAATTGAGTAAATTTCTCGTTGCTATCTAGCCAAGAATTGGTGTAGCAACTAGTTTCGGTGTAGTGGGATAGAGTGGTATTTGGATGCCTCCGCGTATATGCACCCCACGAATCTGGATTAGTATGAGGGTATAGCCGTAGCCTATTTAGGATATTGTAACGGCGAATGATGAGGATGGTTCAATATATGGCCGTGACCCACGAACTCCAGTAGCGTTGCATTCAACATGGGCTTCGGAGTTCCCCCAGCAGCTGCAGGTCTCACTCGCTAGTACGTCAAACATTTTCTATCCGGTAGCTTTCAAAACATCTTCCTATTCTTTTACCTCGCCGGAAGAAACGATCTTGTTAAGGGGGGCCGTTCGACTGGTGAACAAGGTATCTGATTGGCTCAACCGCTGGCCGCCTTTAGCTATACTATATTGGTACTAGTTATATTGTAAATATACGATAAAAAGTGGATTAGATATCACGTGCAGTATTAGTAATCTGGATATTAATTCCAGATACCGCGTGAGATGAAACTTGGTATGGGCCAAAAGATTCAGTGATGAAATGGTCAGCTATTCGGGGTATAATGAAATTTTATATGGGGGAACTAAGAATTACACCGCAGCCACTTTCGACTCCTGGGATTTCTTCCGGCCGGGGAAAGCAGTACTAAGTCAGTAGCTAGTATGCGTCGACTCCTCGCTATAACTTAATATATAATCGAAAGTGGATGTTTCGCGAACCAAACTACATTCCTCAAGGAGAGACCATATGGTTGTAGAGAGCTATGGCGCACAAGCTCGTTATTAATTCCTCTAGGAGAACGATATTGAGGAGTCAAGCTTATAGGAAAGCATACAAGCCAGTAAAGCATGGTCGACAATGTACAACTGATTCATTTTAGGCTGCCAGTAGCGCTACGTAGAAATTAGACGCGAGAATATATCTATGGCATGATGACCCCTTGTATGCATTCAAGGGGCCTTTAATAGCCATGAGTGCAACAATTGGCACCCCTCCGTTGCTATGCTACAGACAGACGACTCTAACGGAGATGTAGAGATTTTTCACATCAATGAAATGAAAATTGACCATTTGAGTATCGGTATCACACTAGTGAAAATCTATGGACATTATGAAAACAAACATATATAAATATATATGAATGGATAATATAAAAATAATAAAAACAATGGGGGTATGAGTAAGACAATGAAAACCACTCGCGGATTATCCAGCTGAGTGGTCATGATGCCACGACCTCAGGCGTTCCGTCTCCAGGTTGGAACTCCTAAAAGCAAACGGTCCGCCGGGACACGGCTCTCGTCGGTTGCATAAAACAGCGAATCTAATTAGCAGTCTGCTTTTCCTGGCTCTCGCCACTGCTGAGGGCAAGCTCGGCCTTCTCAGCTCCATATGCGACAGGCTGTTCCGACACATCCAAGCCCAGCTCGGTCGCCATCTGAGACATCTCCTGAGGACTGAGCTTGGGCAGGGTGTTGGCGATCTGGTATGGCCATTTGCCTTCCACATGAGCCTTGGCAAAGATAATGTCAATTTCCTCCAGAGCACGGCCAGCGGTCTCACAGTAGAAGAACCAGGCGAAAGGAATGGCAGTAAAGTTGACCAGGGCGAAAAAGAGGTAGATACCCCAGGGACTGGCAGAGGAGAAGACAGGAGTAAACATAACGACGGCAAAGTTGCAAATCCAGTTGGTGCAAGTCGAGGCAGAGGCAGCCATAGTACGGGTACGGAGCGGGTTGATCTCGGGAGGGTAGATCCAGGGCAAGGGGAGAGTCGTGAAGGCGAAAAAGATGATAAAGAGGAAGATACCAACAGCAGCACCCTTTGCATTCTCCTCAGTGTCCTTAATCAAGCAGCCCATGGTGATAATAAAACTGAGACCCTGGCCGGCGAAACCAATCAAGAAAAGTTTCCGGCGACCAACCTTCTCAATCATAAAGAAGGAGGGAATCGTAGCGATAGCATAGACAGTAGCGAAGACACCACCTAGAATGAGAGAAAGACGCTTCTCCAAGTGCAGGTTGTTCTCAAACAGAAGGGTAGAATAGTAGATAGCAGCGTTGCATCCAGTAAATTGCTGGAAGAACTGACCAGAGCAACCAATCATCATACGCTGGAACTCTTGGGTCTTGCCAAAGGTAAAGAGAGTTTTCCAACTGGCCTTGCTATCCTGGGTAGCAGCAAGATCAGCCTTCATGAGGTTGAAATCGGCGAGCACCTCCTCCGAATCGGCAGGAAGGTCGTTAATAGCACCAAGCACCTCGCAAGCCTCCTTGTCATATCCCCGCATAACAAACCACCGAGGAGACTCGGGCAGCATAAGAGCGCCGACGGTCACGAAGACAGCAAAGAGGATCTGGAAGGCCACGGGGAACCGCCACTGAACCGAAGAATCCACATAGGAGAGACCGAAATCAATCCAGTAGGCGACGAACGTGCCGACAGCGATAATAGCACCTTCGAAACAGACGAGGAAGCCACGGTTATGCGCCTTAGAACATTCCGACTGCCAGACGGGAATCGTAGCAGTATCCATACCGTTTCCAAGACCTGAAACCACACGTCCGATAACGAATTGGCCAAGACCCCAGTGAGGACCGAAAGAAACGGTGGAGATAATGGCACCGACGGCCATGATGATACCGCCAGCCACCAGCAAGGGTGTGCGACCAATCCGTTCACCAAACATCATGGTGAAAATGGCACCAAAGAAACAACCGATTTCATAGCAAGACGTGACCGCACCTTGGAGGACCGAGACATGGGCCTTGTAAGAGGGTTCGGCATTTTCGGGGATGTATAGCGGTTGGAATTCTTTCGTAAACTCAGTACCGGCGATAAGACCGGACATCAGACCCTGATCGTAACCGAAGAGTGAAAAACCGAGGACGGCGGTGACGGTGATGGCTAAACGGAGCTTTCGGCCCCGAAAGCCACAGGTGGTTGTCCACATGTTTGATTGTGTGTCTCGACTGTACCTATCCTATATCTCTGGATATCAGGCGAGAAGGGGGGAAGGGGCAGGAAATCAAGACAAGCACCAGGACGAGGAGAAGGTCATTCCTGGGAATTATATCTGGAGCCCTATTTTTTTGGGATCGCCGGGATTTATCTACTTCTTAGGCGTCCGACAGTTGAATTAGCCAAGAGGAAAAAGTCTGCAGATGACGCTAAAGGGTTGGCATTATGGGCATGTTTCGCGAGCCGTCCAGAGAGCCAAGGACCCAATAAGGCTTCGCCAAAGGCTTAGCGTCTCACGCAAGGCTCAGGGGCCATGCGGAGAGGTACAGTAGGATTGCCGAATCAGGACAATGCGGAGGGCCTTGAAAGATGGGGTCCCCATGTTGAAATTTTCGCCCGCACCCGGAAATGGCGCCAGCAAAAGAGAAAGTCGGCCGAATCTGACTCCACCACATGTGCTTTCGCTTTTCCACATGGAGAGTCGGATCGGACCGGTCGCAGTGATGCTTACTGGCTGGAAAGACACCACTCACTGGTTCTTATCCGGAGCCCGTCTGCTTCATGCCGCCCCGGTTGGCTCAACCTTATGGACACGGGTGGATCAGTGCCGTAAGCGGCGGAGGATCATCTATGCTGTTGCTCCAAAAGGAATCATACCCGACCATCCTTCCACGGGCAAATTCGGGGGGTTTCGTGGGTCAGGGTATGGATTTTGCTCTTTCTTTCTCCAGTAGCAGTGCGCCTTTTCCCGCCTGAAATCCTTGGCTCCTGCAATGAACGGCGACTGATTCTTACAGAGTGCTTGCGGCCGATACTAGTATTTTTCCTTTCCAGCATCCGCCTGTACCTTGCCTTTCTTTTTATGTTCACTCTATTTTGCCCCCCAGTCTACACGCGAAGATCGATAGCCCAGGTTGCTACGCCAAAGGGGTGCCGTGCATTATAGCGAAACGGTTGTGGCATGTGCCAAACGTCTGGGGGAGATCAACCACCACACCCTCTTTTCTCCGCTTCGGAGTTGCTTGTAAAAGTTGGGGGCGGCATCAGCCACCTACATCATCACATGCTATAATCTTCATCTGTTATATGGGCAAACCCCAGACCCCATGAATCTATACGGGCTCCGGGGGGGTGTTGGCTGAGTACTGAGACTTAGGCAATTACGACACCTTCCCTGTTTGTCGTCTTACGCCTCGGGAGTCGGAAGACTTGCGTTTCCTGCTAAGCCTTCTTGGCCGAGGGACAAGCCTATTTGCCAATATTTGCCAATATTATGCTCCACCCACGGCCTTTTGGGTGGATCGTTGTAGCAAATTAATGTAACCCTAATGCAAGACGGGTGTAAAATTCTGCCTGCGCGGTGTGCCCACCGACCAATGACAGCGCCGTCATCACGAGCTTTTCTCCATGGTCGGCAGAGTTTTACTTCGCTTTGGGTTTTTGTTGCTTGGTTTTTGCTTCGCTTTGCTTTTTTTTGCTTGGTTTTTTCTTCGCTTTTCTTGTTTGGTCTTGTCTTTTGCTTTTTTTCTCTTGGCTCTCATTTCGCCTACTCTCACGTGTGACAGCCGACGCTCTTGACTAATCATCATCCCATCGTTAGTCAAATTAGTTTCATCCTTCCGGTTGCAGCCTCCTGCCCTTCATGGTATACGAGTCCGGAGAAACCATGGAAAATTTCCACCTGCAAACGGTCGTTCGATAAAGGTCTAAGGTGCTTATAGGTCTGTGCTTGATCTGGAGGCCCTATATTCCCGAGAGATCGTTTAAATCGATTTTGAGGAAGGTAGGCCAGAGAGTAATCATACTGCAGGACGTGATTGATCATCTCCCGACCTACGTAACTCTCTCTATATATATATAAATACTAGCGGTAGGCAAGTCTGTGCTCAACAGTAGGGGCATTGATCGGAGGAAAATACTTCCAATTATACGGTTACATGGAGATCTATCCAGCTGAGCGATCATTACTAGTAGCTGAGCCTGGTTGAAAAAAAAAACCCCCAAGCCGATTATCTTTGACGTACGATCAGAGGGTCGACCTATCTCCGTACTATCTAGACCTCTGTAAACCGCCGATCTGCCCCATATAGAAATCCATGAAACATCCAACGGCTTTTACTCACGTGGCGACTACGTCAACTGTCAAAATCCAAGAGGGGGGGAGGTTCGGGCATTTTGGTCCTGTCCTTACTACTCATACTAGGTTCGGATCAGCACCCTTACGCAGGAGGCTGTCGGACTTACTGCCCAGTGCAAGACCTGTTCTCTTCGCCCTGCAGGTTAGAAGGACCGTCGGGACGATCACAGAGATTGCAGACTACGGAAAACTATCCCCATTCGGCGGCGTAGGACAATGGGGGCCGGTTATTATGCCCATCACGTTAATTCGGATCGGCACCATGCTCGAGTTATCCCATATCGCCTGTGTTGCCCCTCTCGGGTGACAAACGCTTGGGACTGGTTCATACAATGTGGACCAGCCCCGTTTCCCAGGAAATGCCTGACACACAGCTTCCCGATCACATTGAGCTGGCCCACGTGAGTGGGGTTCGAATCTTGAACGACATGATGTTGGCTCCCTTTGACTCCTTGACACCCTGCAGGTCATGTTTGAGTTCCAGTAGTTCGACAACCGTCGGATATCCTGACGTGGTTCGCTGGCGAAACCGGAGATTTGTCCCCAGTTTTAATCTCTACGGAGTATAGTCGGCATTAGCTTTAGGTCGAAGGGGACATGCAAAGTCGAGAAATACGTCCATCCGCGTCATGTCGCAGTAGTCACTGATTCATTCCGACATAATCGCGTTTGAATGGCCATGCTAAAGAGGAAAGTACTCCTGGGACTAATTTATGAATCTCCATAAACGCTTTCCATGAGTACCATTGGAACCGACTTCTATTCGACGTACCCAGTTGGGCGAGGTCCATTCATATCGGTTGGTCCCTCATGGCTCCACGGGTGCGACGAACCATACGGAGTACGGTGCTTTGCTGTAGTGGAAAATGCCTTAGCCCGGTTGTTTAGAAAGTGGAAATAAGCTGGAGACAATATCGACCCGCATGGTCTGAGAGTGGGTCACCTTGCTTGACTTGTTCGGAGGTCTCCAAAAATGACTGGTCTTCATGTTCGGTGTGAAGCTGTAAGGCACCAGCCATAGGGCAATCTCGGAAAATGAGACCGGATAACAATCCTCCTGGACGGTAGAATGCACCGACCACGGCTACGATCACGGTTCGGAATCAAATTGTTACTATGATCATGGCAGGGTATGGAAAGACATTTCTTGTCAAGGGTTTCCCGGCCCCTCTGGAGTGCAAGAGGATTCTGCCACTCAGGTGTGCAAGGGGAATTGGTTGTCGACTATCCACGCCAAAGTTCGCATCGCTCGCGCCTTGTAGCCGTTAGCTGAGCTTGCAGGTTTGCCCATTATATCCGCAGGTATCCTGCCTTGCGTTTGGAATGCTTGTTAAAACGTTATGCCTTATGAGCCGGCAAACGGGAGGCATGAATCTCTGGACATAGAGACCGAGTCAGTGAGATGCCAAGAAGAAAAAATTGATGACAATGTTAGGCTAAGCCGACCGGTATCGATGGCTGCTGGTTCGGCATATAACACGCAATAAGGAACCCGGTCGGTGTCACTTGGTTGCATAATTCTTGTGAGGTTAAATGTTCCGTTCTCCATTCATACTTCCTTTGACCTTCCCTTCTTGGTTATGTTGACGGCACATGATGCGATCGAAATAGTATAGTCGACACCTAAGGCATAAAAGGGCGGACCTTATTTATTCCGAACCGAACCGTCCATAAATCATAGGAGGACGCGGAAAGACGATGATGCGTTCCTTTGCCACGTATTCTACACTCTGTGGGATTTCGGCATAAGTGCTGCAAGTTTCATAATATTGTATATTCTTCGTACCATTCTTCGAGTTGGCAGTCTAGTGGACTGAATGGCCGACGAGACCCCTCCTTCATGTTCCTAATCACCCGCTAGTTGAGAAAGGAACGCGTTGGTACAGAGAGCGTTTGGACCAGTAGCTTTCAATAGTCGCGCTACTAACGGGGGCACATGAAGATGTTTTCCGGCTCTGAACATTAAGGGATTACACATCATTGCACAAGCACGGAGGTCTCTTGGAGGTAGGCAGTTGAAACCGATCATTCGCAGATTATCTATAGCCTACCACTCGACTAATTGTAGAATAACAACCAAAGTCGCTCTCGAATAGTAGAAAAATACATTCCACTGGGAATGAGTTGATCAACTGATGCTACCTCTCCTCTACTGTAACTTCAACTCCTGGTCAAAGGTTATCGTGTAGCACTTACTGTTCCATCTGTGTCTTTACACCTCGTATAGGATACGAATCTAAATCAAAAGCCACAAGGATCTTACCAAAGGCAAGCTGTGCCTGGCGCATACCCATCCTCGCCCAGGACATATTTCAACCCCATAGCCGAAGGACAAGAAGTTCGGATCGCCCGTCAACGCACGGGGATGGCAACTCTGGGTTCTATGGTCACCAAAACGACACCCGTCAAAGCTACCGGGGTTCGGGTAGATGTTGGGTTTTGGTGAAACCATTGCGCGGGCGTCGCAACGACCTTGTCACGACCCGATGTCTAACCATTGCTGTCAAGGTGGACTGGCTGCTGGAGACAGCGAGTCACCGTAACGAAAGCTGGAGTTGTAGTTGGGAAAATTGGACGACAGCCCGAGGAATATACTGGAATATGGATACTTTTGGGGGTATGGTAGTCAAGGCGCGACTTGGATGTTCGTGGCATTTTGGCCGAGCGGGATCAATATATATTTACGTACCGAATCTGTTTACACCGAACGGTTTCTGGCGCAAGGTTTCCAGCAGGGGTATGCAATCGAGGATGTCCATAGGCTATTCGCCACCTGTGGAGTGCAGCGCGGATTGGATTTCACTCCGTAGTACGTCAGTATATTCAGACTGATTGGATATTGCTGTAACACGAGGCCTCCAAGCTAAGCTCAGAGCTACTCGTGTCTTATTCCAGTATATCACATAGTTAGCAGGCACCCTCTCCGAGACAGAGCGTATTCCACGCCAAATCTTCGCGGAAGCCCTCGTTATTCAAAAGGGAAGCACCTGTAGTTGGTCAAAGTTTCCGGCCTTGATATTATGATGAGGAATATTTGCATCTGGACTTCAATGATGCTTGATTCAATGAAAGCTAGGCCAGTCTTGCCGCCTCAAGGCCAGATACTGGGGTCAAACTATCAACGGCTAACTACTAGCCCCGTAGTCAGTCTTTAACCATTGAAATTATCCCACTGCTGTTCTACTCGACCCTGGGACATAATTAGTATAGACTTCTTCGGCGAAACCGATGTCATCGGTAAGCTGCCGAGGACCGTGGAGCAAATTCTTATCAAATCGGAAGCTAACCGAACCGTCGGCAGGCACCGAAAACCTCAACGACTCCAGTTTCTGTTGGTCAGACACAATCTATTTTCACAAAGAAGGATGCACCATCTTAGGGGAAGACCTTATATTTGGGAAGCCGTATTACATACAAGGCGACAGATTGCTATTACGGAGCCTGGGAGAATTCCCTCAGTCGTGTGGAATCTGGCTGTAATTCAAAATCTACCAATTAATCATATACCACTTGCGCGAACTGCAACACAAGCTGCATAGTTGTGGGTTAGGATAGAATAGAATACTAGGAGTTAAGGATTGAAAGTGATCGTATGATGCATACTAGTGATCATCTGTCAGGTCATCTATCCGTATCTTAGTCTTCCTTCCTCCTCTGAGCCATAGCTTCGCAAGGGCCAGAGCCATCGTACCCTCGATCCTACACCAAGTCTGTGAGGTTCCTCGTGCACTAATCCCAAAGCAATTAGCTGCCGGACAGAAACTCTGATTTTCCAGTGGTTAAAGTCTCCTCAGAACCAATTTGGACGAATACTGTCGATCTTGTAGCCACCTATTCCCTCATTGGTGTAAACGGCCCGGACAACAGGGGATGTGTGTTAAGGCCCGGATACGACATTGGAGAAACGTGTGATTCCTCTTCAGGGGGAATCTCACTATGAGCCAGGAAAGTGGATATATTCTCAGAAAAAGGCCAATGATATGCTTTCAGTGATGCTTACTGCAGAGTAGCAAGGGGGCGTCCATGGTATTTGGGGCCGTTATTTGTATTGATTGTGGATACAGTTATTCTTGCTGAGCTCAAAGTGACAATGCCCAGGTATAAAAATGGTCATCAGCTTCGAACATAAATCAAAGAATCAGAAGTTCTCCGTCTTCAATTACAAACAGTCAACATCTGATATCTTATCAACTTTTACCGAAGATGCGTTTCTCGGAAATCGTCGCCATTGCACTGGTAACTGGTGCCACTGCGTATGATCTGCCAGAGAACCTGAAGCAGATCTACGAGAAGCACAAGGTATGCTGTCTAATTCTATTCATATATACTTACAAGCTTCTTTCAATAACACAATTTCCCCCCTCAGAGCGGAAAATGTGCCAAAGAACTGAAAGGTGGCTACGACAATGGCCATTCTCATGATGGAAAGTCCTTCTCTTACTGCGGCGACATCCCCAACGCGATCTACCTTCATTCGTCGAAGAATGGAGGCCAATATGCCGATATGGACATTGACTGCGACGGAGCGAATAGACACGCTGGCAAGTGTTCCAATGATCACTCTGGCCAGGGTGAAACCCGCTGGAAGGACGAGGTTCAGAAGCTCGGGATTGATGACCTGGATGCAAATATCCATCCATATGTGGTCTTTGGAAATGAGAATGATGACGGCGACGACCCTGAATTTGATCCACGGAAGCACGGAATGGAGCCATTGAGTGTGATGGCTGTTGTATGCAATAAAAAACTGGTACGTGTGACTCCATGCATACTAACTACACGTATGAGTCTAATTCTTCATCTACAGTTCTATGGTATATGGGGCGATACCAATGGCCATACTGCAACCGGAGAAGCGTCTCTTTCAATGGCAGAGCTTTGTTTCCCTGAGGAGGACCCCTCTGGGGACAGTGGCCATGAGGATAATGACGTTCTCTACATTGGTTTCACCGGAAAAGAGGCAGTGCCTGGAAAGAGCGCTGACTGGAAGGCAGACAGTACTGAGGCCTTCGAGGAAAGTATCAAGGAGCTGGGAGACAAATTGGTCGCTGGTCTCAAGGCCTAAAATATCAATGTATGTGTATAGTTGTTGGCCTTAGAAGGTCACCTAGAACTGTGTATCTGTATTTACTAGCAGGGGAGATGGTATTTGAGAATCACTACAAGTGCATCTGCTATATCTATGGATTGGTCTCTTTGTATAAAAGGAGAGACGAGTAATTAGATTGAAACCTATAATACCTTTTCCTGCTCCCATCAAGTATAACCCAACGTCGAATGACCCTAGACATGGAAAATCAGTATACTCAGTAAAGAATAAGATCCAATTTAGACAGAGACCCGTTACAAGATCAGCACTCGGATGTTGAAAACGCCCCGAGTCAAATATGGAACATATTGCAGAGGCCTAGCAGGATCCTGACGATCTTACACCCTAGTCCTCGTAGCTTCCGGATGTGACCTCGCAATACTACGACGGGATGGAAAATGGCCCCCAAAATTGAGTAGCAGGGGATAGAACGTGGTCTCAGCTTTCCTGCCCGAACTGTGATGGATTGTGTGGCAGCCTGCATGCATTCATATATAGCCCAAATATTGGCATCGCTACGTGTCCACATTATTTTTCTTCGTCGTCAATAGCTAGATACCGCCAATCACCACGTATCAAAATGATACTCAAGTCAGCTCTTATAGCCGTCGCCCTTTGTGTCGCCATTGAAGGAGCCGTTGCCCTCGATCCAAAATGTGCACCCGGAGGCAATTTTGACCTGTCGTACTGGAATCTTCAGCTTCCCACTGGTAAAACTGGCCATCCCACGACCAAAACTCCATCTCAACTGAAAGGCTGCAGTGGGTACCAGGAATCCGGTGTTTTCTACACCGATAGCAAGGATGGAGCCCTAGTGATGAAAGTCCCCGGCTCTCCTTCGTCTGCTGCTTGCGTGACAACTCCTAATAGCAAACACTGTCGCACTGAGCTCCGTGAGCTTAGTTCCGATAGTAGTGACAAGGCTAGCTGGAGTCCATCTGCGTCGAAGAACCGACTAAAGGCCACGGTTACCGTACCAACACCGGATGATGGGTCCCACGGCACCGTCATCGGTCAGATCCATATCGATGACACCATCTCGAGTAAACCCGTCTGCGAACTCTATTACAGCAAATCAGGCGACCTAGTTATGGGAGTTGAAAAGACGCGCGATGGGGGCAACAGTATCTTCACTAAGGTGGGAAATGTCCCTGTTGGGACAAAGTTTACGTACGAGATTCGATATGAGTCGGACGAGTTGAGCGTCAGCATCAATGGCGCGGCACCGCAGAAATTGGATACGTACTCGTTGGACTCACCGAAGTCCTATTTCAAGGCTGGGAACTATAATCAGGGGAACTCAGCTTCGGAAGTGCACTTTTACGAACTGAATGTTCAGCATTAAGGGAGTGCGCGCGTTGGGGGGGGGGGGGGGGCACCTAATGAGAGGAACCCATGCAACATTTCATGCTTTTTCTATCAGTACGCCGTGTCCTGCAAACCAAGCCGTTGTCACTGGGAAAACAAGCTAATGCCGATAAAAGCCATATATTATGCTGTAGGGGGCATCAGCTTGTCTTGTACTGATACTCATTCCCTTGAGAGAAGACTTATAAATGAGGATTCATTGGTATTAGGGGTACACACCAACCATGGGGCTCTCAGAGTCATGGACAGTAATGTCAATGGTTTTAACTTGTATATTATGCATTGTAGTAACGGCCTACTCTATCGTCGTGCCAGAAATGCCCTGTGTGGAAATTCAGAACCAGACAGCCGTTTCGCTCAATAATGTAGTTTTCATTGTTCGTAACAAGCATCCGAAGCGAATGTGTACTTGCATCATGAACAGCCAACTGTCATTCATCCTAATACTATACCTGGACGGTCGGTATTTTCATTGAACCTTTCCTCTCGAGTCCACACGCCAGATTTCCTCAATCACTCCATTCCGATAACCATAGTAGAAGTCATGCAGGTTGATAGTGGGATCAATATGGCTCGGAATCATCTCGACCCTGTCACCCACGGCCAAATCTGGAGTTCCTTCCTCCCAGCTCAGTGAGCCGTGTTCATCGCCTAGGTTCTCGTGCGTGTACCTCGGGTCTTTGCACTCTGCCAGCCCGCTGTCCGTCGTCAAGGACTTCAGGCCAGTATCGATTGTTACCTTCCTATCTCCTTGCTTGCTAATAACAGTCGATAGTAAAGTCAGACTATTTGAATAGAATGTCCCCACCGCGTTGCGGTAGTCGGTGTCCATGAAAATAAAGGATCCGGGCTGCAGTTCAGTTACACCAGGCACTGTAGCGCAAAACTCAGCGGTTCCCGTTCCACCTGTAGTGACCACTTCAATGTTGAAGCCCTCGTTGCGTAGCAGGGTAGCTGTATCTGTGAGGATCTTCATTGACTCGAGACATTGTTTCTTACGGTCGTCCCAGCTGTGGAGATGCTGCAAATGACCCTCATATCCCTGGACACCAATCAAGCGCAGTTGGCGAAGACCGCTGATATGCCTTGCCAGAGTCATCGCTGCCTGTGCATTGGCAACACCCGTGCGATGCAGACCGACATCCAGATCTACTAAAACGGAAATGGGTTCTGCAATACCCGCCTGCACCAGTGCATTGTTAATTGCCGTTGCGCCAACCTCGCTGTCTACCACAATCCTGATGTTTTTGTGCTTTTTGAATAGTTCCACCAATCTTTTCACTTTCGGCTGGCCAATGATCTCGCAAGTGATAAGGATGTCGTCGAACCCTGCGGCTGTGATAGCTTCGGCTTCAGACACTTTAGCCACGCAGCAGCCTTTGGCTCCTGCAGCGGCAAGCTTTTTGGCGAGAATAGCACTCTTGGTTGTCTTTAAGTGAGGACGTATATTGAGTCCGGTGGGTAGGAGACTGTCGAAGAGCTTCTTAATATTGGCTTCCATCAGATCCAGATCCACAATCATGGAGGGGGTGTCAAGGCTGTCGAGCCTGTCGCCGATTCCTGGGGAGTACATGATACAATTTCAGATGTATGCGGAAGCTCTATGAATGTAGATCAGAGGCTGAGAAAAAGATTGAATAGCTAAGTCGGGTCCTGAACATCCAATGCAAGATATCATGGCATATTAAAAGGTCAAGGGACCCTGACAAGCTACCCCGCTTTCAGTCCCGCACTTCTGCCAAGGTGAACTAAAGCTGTGGGTCATCGGGCAGACGTGCATTTTGCCATTTATGACTGGCTTCATCGTGGTTGCGGGGACTTGCTGAAGACTCTGGAGTATGGAGTTACAAATAGTTTGCCGAAAACGGCCATAGTTTGATGCTGCTTTCGGCGGTCAATTCGCCAACTCTTCCACCACGGCAATGCTTAGATCCACGCACCACCAAAGTGACAAAACCCTAAGTCTTTGTCTCTATTGAGTAGTAAGTACTAGCTCGATATGGGAAGAATTGCCGGTCAATATCATTTCAGGGGTTTTTTCTTGGCGTCCCCCCAACCACCAAGTACATACACCCAGGACACAATAGGCTAAACAGACGGTAAGATACGATGATGGACCTGAGAATAACACATCATTGGCTGATTGCAATGAGAAAAGAGTGAGCTTCAATGCGCACCGCCCCGGATATAACTAACAGGAATGAATTAGCCTTATGTTGGCGTTGTTTCGGGGCAAACATGGCACATTGTAAGACCAACATGCATGCATATCTACAGGAACTGGAGGTGCTTCAGGGGGCTCTGCCTTCAGTTCTACACACGTCTGATCCATCGCAAAGTCCGCCCCTAACCAAACGTGTGAGGCTCGGTGCCGTCGGACCCGCGGAACAGAAATACCACATAGTGGAGAACCTCCGAGCGGGGTGATTGCGGACTCGCGGGTCTGATACGGTTCACATCCGCCGAGGAATTCGAAATGGTCAGTGTGGAATGCAGTACCTGACTTCAGGCTTCTATCCCTGAACAGACAAACTGTCAACTGCATCACGGCTATGAGCCGCGGATTAAGGAAACCATGCTATACTTGAAGAATATAAAAGCCGGTGTTGAGCGCACAATGGTTCCTTTGACCTCTATAGTACTTTTAAAAGCAGTAATAATTCTCAGTCTACTATACATTTTCGTCTTTTGGCAACAATAGAGACCCTTCAACATGACTAGCTCCACCAGCAACACTGATCGGGTTGTTTTTATTGGGGCCGCTGGGGAGATGTGCCGCGTGGCCATCGAACGGTTTGCCACCGCAAGCAATGCGTTGCTTGTTCTAGCGGATATCAACACGGATGCCCTGGAATCGCTTCTCACGAAGCTGCCAACTGGCCGTGCGACAACAAAAAAGCTGGATCTTTTTGATGAATCTAGTTTGCACGACACGGTTGCCGGTGCTGCTCTCGTGGTCCTTGGCGCCGGACCCTACGCGCGAACCTCAGTGCCCGTCCTGGCCGCCTGTCTGAAGGCGAAGGTGCCTTACCTTGACTTTGACGACGACGTGGAGAGTACCACAGCAGCTCTCGCCTTACATGAAAAAGCTCAGGATGCTGGCGTGCCATGTTATATTGGTTGCGGAGCCTCACCGGGAATGAGTAATATGCTAGCCGTTGACGCTGTCAGCGATCTTGACACAGTTGATACCATCGATCTCTGTTGGCTTGTCGGTGACGAGCGTCCCGGTATTGGCAAGGCAGTCCTGGAGCATCTGATGCATATTGCTGCTGGGCCTTGCTTGACGTGGGCGAATGGGAAGCCATCGCTCAATGAATCATGGGTCGAGACAGGGTTTGCACCCATGGTAGGGCAATCTGGGGAGACACTTCTGCACGAGACAGCGCATCCGGAGCCAGTCACTCTGCCACGGCTATTTCCAACCACCTCTCGTATTCGATGCCTGGGTGGGCTGGACCCCCCGCCCTTCAACGGGATCGCCCGTGGGCTTGGGACTGCCGTCCGTCGTCAAGCATTGTCTCTGGACGAGGCCGTCAGCTTCTTGCTCAACCTGGTTAATAATGCACCATCGTACAATGGCTGGACCGATGTGTTGGGGGGCTTGACCAGACACTTCCGCGGTGGCGATCTTACTCTCAAGGAACTGTGGCAGCTGGTTGTGCAAGGGGCCCATGTTTCCGGCCCTTGGCGCTATGCACTGATGGGCATGATTGACCAGATCCGGAGCGGTGAATGCACAGCTGGAGAGGTACTCACTTTTATCGCCTCTTCTGCACGCGGCCAACCAGCGCCATATCGTGGCAGTCTACTAGTGCGAGCGATTGGTTCCCGCCATGGCCACCCTGCTGTCGTTATCAAACGAACTACAAAATGTGGTGAAGGCTCCTATCTCATGAAGAACATGTCATCAATCACGGGCACAGCTTGTGCCGCGTTCATCATGATGGCGCTGGAACCAGGGCAGAAGCGGAAGGGTGTCTTCGCTCCTGAGGATTGGGCGAAGCCTCAGGCTTTCTATCAGGCTTTGGAACAAGTGGGCACTCCACGTGAAGAAATCGTGGAATGCCTTACTTCATGATCGGGATGTTTAAGGGAGAGCAATCGAACGACTTTGATACCAGCGACACCAGCCAGCTCGGCGGAATGTGCCCTATTTCCTATCCCTTCTTGCCTTGCGCGGTGCTAGAGGTTCTTGTCACCAATACTCCAATGTATCGCATTTCCACTTGTCGTTTGAAACCCCAATGACACTATGTTTTATCTTTTTGTTTTACTGTTGTGGTAGAAATGATCATGCTGTTTTGTGCCCTGACTTTGTGTCTTCCTCAAGTAGTAAATGTTTTGCCTTGTAGCTTCGTCAGAACTAGCACGAGATTCCATATGTTCTGTATGCTCTACTGTGATCAGGGTTCAATTTGTTTCAAGCGACCTCATCATGGTAGAGCCACAAGAATACGTGCAACCGTCGCTTACACTAATCGAGTCCCGCGGAGCCCGAGATTGAACTCATGGATGACTGGAGCGCTCCGCTCGCTCAGGCTCTTTAATGATATTAATAGACAAAATGCTTAAGGCTCTTGGCCACGGGAAGTCGATGATCGTGATGTCGAGATCAACTTGAGGATTCCCCAAGTTACTTTTTGGACGTGCGGATTGTTCATGAAGCCTTCGTCATCTAGATTATCTACGTAGGGAACCGGCCAGGGCATAACTGCTATTCCATGAAGACGGCCAGCCACTATCAGAAAATTATATTATATCTAGTACATAGTTTGAACGTTCGTCGTAGTTACAAAACATTATCCTCAATCACCCATCCACTTCGCCGTTTGTCGCGGTCTGTATGTTGCGTTTGAACGCCTACCTCATCTGACTCTGAATGCCTACCGTGGGTTATTCAAGAATGCGACAGAGGAGTAACTCCACATTGTTCATCTACCCACAATATACTTTGGATATTGGTTAAGCTCTTGCGGTCAATCATGGCTGTAAGGAATTCCGGTCCGGCCTCCGCGGATTCCGAGCGGAGAGTTATTGGCCTCCTCTACTAAAGCTGCCGTTCACTAGAGGCCAATCTTTACCAGACTTCCGGGCCATACGGAAGGGAGAAAAGCAGAGTCGAAGTCCTATATTAAGATATCCTAAAGCTCAGTATGGCTGTATGTATCACTAAAAGCAATGGGTAAGGCGAACAACCACCCTTTGCTGTTCTCCTATATTCTAGTTGCAGGAAGATTGATATTTGGGCGTCTGGGTATGCACGGTGGAGCCCTAGATCACCTCAGGTCATGATTTCCTCACAACTCTCCAGGATAATAGTGCTCAAGGACAAGGAAGCTTCAAAGCCGCGGATCCGCGGATCCGTGCTACCTTGCTGTTCCACGCTATAGAGCGTAGATCTAATGGTGGAGCCGTCTCTTCATAGTTCTAGTTCCAGAAAATCAGGTAATCCCTGGCGGTGATCATATCACTTCTCGTAGCGTTGATCGGCTGAAGCTACAACCGTTAACATCCGCCATTGCTATATAACTCTAGATGTCGCCTCAGAACCCAGCCTACCATCCTCCCAAAGTCGACGCTCATCACATTACCAAAGCATACCCGAGACTTCCCATAACAGCAGCAACATGAAGGAGGTTTTTGACGTTGCAGTGGTAGGTGCTGGGATGGCGGGAATACTCGCCGCCCGAGATCTTAGTCAAAAAGGTCACTCTGTTGTCCTTCTCGAGGGTCGGGATAGAGTCGGTGGACGAACTTTTACGGCCGAAGCCTTTGGAACTGAGCTCGATCTGGGAGGCACCTATGTGCACTGGACCCATCCCACCATTTGGCATGAGCTACAACGGCATGGTATCCCAATTTTCCCACCGTTGGATTCAGAAAAGGTCTACTGGTTAGCCGATGGCGATGTCCACTCGGGCACAATGAACGACTACTACGACGCCGTCAATCCCCTCATGTCACAGCTTGTGCACGATGCCCGTTCTCAATTTCCGATGCCGTTCAATGTCAGTGCTTCAGCGAGTGATGTCGACCAGGAGTCCCTCGAGGACCGCATTACCTCTTTGAACCTCTCTGCCTATGAACGTGACGTGTTAGAGGGAGCCATGGCAGGCTTGGTTCACTCGTATCGAGAGCAGGGTGTTGCCCAGCTGCTGCAAGGCGTTTCTGGTACCTTCGGGGACTACAATGGCTTCTTCGAGACTGCGAGCTTCTGGCACTTAGAAGGTGGTACCAAGCGTCTGGCAGACGCTGTGATGTCCGAATCGACTGCCACGCTACGGCTCCGAACACCCATCCAATCAATTTCAGACAACGGCTCTTTCGTGACAGTAACCACACGTGCTGATGAGGATATCCATGCACGGTTTGTCATTAGTGCGTTGCCAATAAACACCCTGGGCGATATAACCATCGAACCCGAGCTTCCTGCCCCGGTGCAAAGCTTGATCGATAGCAAGAACCCTGTCATGGCCAGCAAGATATACGTACGGGCTAAGGGGACTGTTGAGCCGTTCAACGCTTTGGCTCCGGCTGGTAAACACCCGATCAATGCAGCTAGGGTCGAAGCGCGGTATAAAGGTGACACCCTCATCATGTGCATTTGCTCTGATGCCACAGCAATACAAGCGAATGACCTCGAGGCAGTACAAGAGGCTTTGCGAAAGTTTGTTCCCGATCTTGAGGTTGTCGATACCGCTAGCCATGACTGGGGTACCGACGAGTTTTCTCAGGGTGGCTGGGGGTGGTATCGGCCTGGGAAGCTCACAGGAGCCGCCCCATTGCTGCGACAACGCCATGGTCGCATTTTCTTCGCAGGAAGTGACATTGCGTCACTTGGAGCTGGCTTTATTGAAGGTGCTATGCAGACAGGTGTAGTTGCGGCTCGCGAGGTTGCCACGGCATTGGCCGATGGAGTATAGGGACGAGTTCGTCAGGGTCGTGAGATACGTGCATTGTCCCCCCCCCAGTTAATACCGTTCGAGCAATTTAGGTTTTCGTTGTTTTGAATTCCCAAGGATACAACCTAGGCATATTCCAGCATTACCCTTGTTTGGTTTGGACGGGGCTACTGGTTGAGCATTGGGTTGATATCCTTGTTAATCCTGCTGCATTATTGTATTTCCGTTTATGTTACTTAATAATACTAATCTAAACCCAGTCTTCCTTCTGACCGCGTGTGATTCTTTACAATCCCTTCATGGCATTCTCAAAGCCATTCAATTTATAGGTCATGTGCCTATCTATTGCTTCTAGATTTCATCATTTATAAGTGTCAAAGTGCTTCTCGAATCTCGGCACGTTCAATGCCCTTGCACACGCATGAAAAAGCTTGAATAGCTCATTCCATATGTTTCGCCTTCAGAACTCATGCATCGCCCATTGTCGCTGTGTAATGTGAACTGCCATACGCGGTTTGGTAGGTGGACGATTCGGGGTCCGATGATGGATGTTAGATACCAAGGATGATATGGGAACTCCAAATTCAAATTTGAAGCATAAAGAAGCCAACCATCACACGTTGCCTGACCATTCCGTCTCCATCTTTCATCAATTGCAAACGCAGACCCTAGAATCCATTAGATATGTCAAACTTTTGTCTCATATACGACATACCCGTCAGCATTACAGTGTCCGCTATTAATGTTGCCCTCTTGAACAAGACACTGCGGTATCAAGTTAGCATTGGATCATTAAACGAAATTAACCAAAAAAAAAAGGTTGGGGGGGAAAATATACTTCATTTCTGACAAGCTCTGTCCCAGTGGAAAAAGGAGACCCAGTTCTGGGCTAATACATCGATCTTCAATGTCCTGTGATACTATTGAATCTACTGTTATCATTCCAACTCAATCTCCGCCATTATAGCCAATTGTAAAGGGGTTTGAGCCTGACAAGTCATATTCTCCATAAGCGAAACAAAAGACAGCTGAACTGTGGAGAACGTGAAAGCGAGGTTGGGAAACAGCTTCGAGGTTTTGACCTAGGGATCGACAGGTTATCTTCCTCTTGCGCAATTATTGATTTTTAGCCGCTGGGTATGTTCATAGACTTGGCCTTTATTCTGGGTATATCGAAGTATGATTGGAGAAGCCGCGTGGATCGACAACACACACCACTTGCCTAAGAACTTATAGTCGTGTGGTTGCCTGGATCAGATATATAATAAAGGATTTAAGGTAACTATTAATGCACGCCCTCTTGCATTTCGTTGCGCAAAGGTCAAGATTAAGGGTGTGATATCACATTATGGGAGATAGGCTGCCTGTCTTTGCTGGTTGTGACTGGGCTTCCTAGAGTATATACGAAAATTAGCTCTACTGGGATGCGGCAATACGTGATTACTCGTTCACTGGCATATGTCTGTATTGTCGAAAGAGGCGCCCAAATATCAGCAGGCCCCGAATACACTTACAAGCGAAAAGATATCCAAAACGAGACTTTCCAGGTGAGAAGCCTGGGATTACCTTTCCAGTTCCCAAATGAAATCGTTCGTCAAGCAATTAGAATACCAGAGACACTATTGTCTAATCAAAATATCCAGACGCATACATGCGCACTCATACATCATACCTCAGAGGATAGGTGACGGTTTTATAGGGTAGCACGTATTGACTCGCCGTGGATCAGAGAACCCTCAGTCTTTCCCATCGCTCAAGTGCTTTCTGATAGCGAGATCGCGTCCTCTCCAGTCTAGCACGCATACGGGTATCTGCTTCGTCTTCGCCGGCAACCGTGTTCAGCTCTGTATCATCAAGCTGCGCAAACCTGTCGGCGGAGACAATGCGCATTGGACATTTCGGTCCCAGCACATGTCTCTCCATAACCTGCATTGCGACATTGTCGATAAAGCGCCATAGAGCAATGTCATAGTATCCGTCCAGCCTGGCTCGGGCGGAAAGAATCTGGTTCAAGGAGGTGGGTATAAAGTACGGGCCTGTATCTTCACCATCCAAAGTGCCATTGGTCTTACCGTTCGTTGTTTCGTGGTTGGAGGAATGGCCAAGCAAGATTTGATCTGTCAAGCTCGTAAAGGACAGTAGGGATGGATTGCGAGTAATCAATGGACGAGCCTGGTTATCCTCAACCAATTCCCGGAGGGCGTTGTCTGCATCTTTGTTCCATTCTTCAAGAGTTTTCCCAACAATACGGCCCACTTCCAAACGCACTTTACCGTTCGGTATTGCAATCTTCAACAGAATGTTGTAGCAATCCGTAACCATAACCTTGACGTCCTCGACAAACTCACGGGCAATACCTTCCCAGTGTGCTGATAGCTTTCGGAAAAGCTTCTCTTCTACGTCTGGATGAACGCTCCCCGGAAGGCTTCTTCCTTCGCATATCTTGGCCTCCTGAGCGATTGCTGCGTAGAGCCCCTGGCCGTTGGTCACATGCTGCTCCCATACCCTGGGGTCGGAGCTTTGAGATCTGAGCCACTCCAGGTCTTCTCTGTAGTTGGTAAACCTGATGGCGATATTTTCGCTCTTGCACATATCGTCACGGAATTGATCCAGTCGAAGTCGGATTTTGTAACGCAGCATGGCTTTGGCATCTGCTGAAGGTATGTCTTGATGCTGACCTCTTAAGGTTCCCTCGGCCATCTTCTGCATCTCATTACAGAACTGGAGGACGTAATATCGCTGAGCTCGCGCAGTAGTCCTAGACTCCCCCATCCTTTTCAGGGTGGCTTCGCATTCACGGAGATTTTGGGTGATCTCTGTAATAATATGAGGGATCTCCTTCTGGATTTGAGCCCGTCGCTCCTTGTCGATGTAGCTCATCAACGATCGGATTCCAGTCCTATCTTTCGATACACCTTCCCAAGCTGGCTTGGCAAATTCTTTAAGCTCCATATCGTCGCGCTCTACATCAGAGGAACTAGGTTCAGTAGGCAATCTGTTGCGTAGTCCAAACCAACCATGGTCCAAGTGCGGAACAGTGGCCAGGTCGTTTTGAAGCAGTTTGATCATCTAATTTGTCAGGATACGATCGTGTAAGAGGCTTGGCGGCCATACCCAATGGTCCGATCCTTCTTGCTTCCGATCACATTTTGTGAGAACCCCAATGCATCGGGTCTGCAGGCTCGGTATCTCTTCTATCAACTCAAAGGTCTTATGTCGCTCCACGTCCACATTGTCGACGACAACCCTAAGTACCGTTAGTCTTGGTTGCCATGGTTTAGAGGAACATTATAGCAACTCACAGAATGATATTTCGTTCGTTACTTAAGTAAGTACGAGCCAGCTCCTCCGCAACTGCCACATTATTCCAGACATGCGATTCGTCGTTTAATGCCTTACCGGCATCATCCAATGCATCTCCGCCCTTCCCTGATTTCTTTCCGCGTATTAGACCGGGAAGGTCAACAATAGTCCAGTGCATTTCGTCGGGGCCGGAGCGCTCGATTCGAAGGGTCGCATCGCTAAGTGTCAATCTTTCGGTAGGCTTGTTGTCACCGAAGATACATTCCGTTGCCTACCTGCATTAGCAACGATAAGAGCCGACCAAGGCCAGATGCACTGACTTTATCTATAATATCCTTCATGACCTCCGATGTCAATTCCTCCTTCTCAATGGCGAAATTCTGTATCCGCGCGAGAAACTCCTCGTCTTGCTCGGACAGTGGGCCCGGGACCACGGTAGCCTTCACAGGAAGTTCCTTAGCTGCGGATGTCTGTCGAAACGAGATCTGAATAGGGAAGCGAGTGCACATATTGTCCTTAACTGGGAAGGAAACCTCGGTGATCGCCTGAAGGACAGAGCTCTTGCCGGTATTCTGGTCACCGACGACAACAAGCTGATGGTGACCGTGAACATCAGTAGACGCTTCAAGCAGGCATCTAATAAACTTACCTCCGGGAGCTTGATGGTGTTACTGAGTCCAAGCGCCTGAAGCTCATCGATGAAAGCGAGCTGCTCGGAGCTCTCCACCCCGACGAAATGGCGTACTCTCTTTCCCATCTTGGCTACTACGGGGCTATAAAGACTGTTGTGAGAATGATAGTACAGCACTCAGATACTATTCAAGATGTAAGAACGGGGTCAAAGGGGGGTTCTCATATTTGAGGACTCCTAAGCGCCGGCCACCCGATACATACCGCTTACAGGCACCTCGGAACCTGCGGCGCAGCTGCCATGCATTAGGGCATCCGCTAACGGGCACTTAAGTGAGACCAACTCCTAACCCCAGTCTATGGAAACTACTGCTATTTGTTGAATTCAGTGTGATACACTGGGAGTGAGATGACCAGGAACAGGGCGGGCAAGGTATCTGGAAGGGATTTTCGCTCAGGTGATTGAGTTGATACAGGGGTTCAGATCTGCTCCCTACTAGCGTGAAATTTCATTCGTCAATTACTGCACTTGTGTCGCAGGTCAGCGTCCTACATGCAGCGGGCTCATTGGGGAAATTAGATTGCCGTTGGCGCCGTATGACTGTAATCCAGAATCGGGAGAGCTAGAGAGAAACACGTAGATTTTGACAACCTTACATGACGGCAGCTCTTTCACTGACCCACAAGGCCGACGCCTCCGCTCGAGTGCGACCATCTTCACCAAGTATCCTGGCGCCTAGAAACCACTTCCTGCCCTCCCTGCTCTTAAGCCAGGCGTGAACAATGATGATGCCCGGTGATTCTACCGGCGCACGATATGAGATATTCAGGTTAGCGGTATACGAGCGTGGTCGCGGCGCTGAGGATGATGCCTGTTCACTGGCATGAAGCTGGATCGCCCAAGATTCGATACAGCATCCTAACGTCTCGTCGAGAAGTGCAGCGAGGACTCCACCGTGAGCAGTGTCGCGGAATCCATTTCCTCCTGAGCCTAAGTGTACAAGTAGGACGATATCCGGCCCAATCTGCTCTCGATCCAGGTTCTCCCATCTTGGACGGCTACTTCTCAAGATCTCCTTCCTGATGAATGCAAGGATATGTGGGAAGGTATTGGGGGTGTTCATGGTTTTGCGGAAGAATATGTCCGATGAGTCGTCTTTCTTGTATCTAGATGGCAATGTGATGGGCTTGTAGGGGCTGGAATCGTTCAAATATGGGCCACTACATGGTAGACCAGTGAAGAAAGTTAACGATGCATTCTCTGGTGGTACGTTGTTGAGAATGTCAATGAAATTCATCTTTGCAGTCTCAATCCCTTGAGTTATCCTTTTTGTCATTTTTGCAAATATGTCAGGGTTAGACTTGATAACATGGCGCTATCCGGTATGCAACTTATATACGGCGCTGCAAATATCCGATTCAGGGGCCATTTCCGGACCTCGGTCCGCCAGATCACCACATAACTAATTATACATGAGGACATGTGAGTAAGCTAGGTGCCCTTACCAGGTTAGTGTAATGGTATGGATATCATTGTTTACGCTAATGTATGTACCCGAGACCACCAACAGGTTCATGGAATTGTAGGATACTCCCACTTGGCAACAGTGGGCCTGGAGGTGCGAACTCAGTCGATCGATGTCTAGATAATTTGACGCGATTCGGCTGATACAAGAGTTCAGTTCTGTGGCCTCATTCACCCGCGAAAAGGAGAGTACGTAGGAAACACACGATATCTGACGCAATTCCCCCTCCTTCAGGTCCACAGCAATAGACGCTTAATCATGTGTCCGATTATGCTCTTCGAGGGCAGCTCTCCACATACTCGTCCATTCCCTGGGTAACGAGAGTCTTGGTGTCCGATGATTCATGAAACTGGACAACGTCGCTGCAGGAGGTCGTTTGGGCCAGTCTCAAGAAGAAAGGGGCTTTCTCTATCAATCGTCTAGGAATCTCTAATATAACCTTTTCAAACAGTCCTTGGATAAGTGAGTTGACGGTGCATCGTGGTGTAGGTTCGGACATGCTGGATGGGTGGTATAGCTGTAACTGGAAGGTTGTTGTTGTCGCAATTTCAGCATCGATCAGGGAATTTTCTCAACCAACATGCGGCCGCGGAGTATTTAGGTGCATTAATAGAAGATGTACTGCCTGATGTCTGAATGCGACTTGTGCTACTGCTTCGGCGCTTTCCATGGGTGTGCTTCTTACGGAGGTCCTCAGTCAAATAAAGAGTAACTCATTAGATTGACTATGATCGCATCTTGCTTCGACAACGTTCCTTGAACGCTTTTATATTCATCATCACCATCATCATCAGCAGCAGCAGCAGCAGCAGCAGCAGGAGCCTGCTTGAAGGGACCGCATATAGTGGCCAGTAAGAGTCAGAGTTTTCGTTCCTTATCACTGACATTTGGACGTTAACCAACGGAACCAAGAACACGCCTTTGCCTGAGAGATTATTCACAATATATAACTTTAATTTGGAACATTTTTCTGATCAATACCCAGAACCCGCATAAGGTCAGGGATCTCAGTATGATCCCGCGTCGTTTCCATCCGATAGCACCACGTTACTTGCTTTTCTTCCTCACCAGTCCTCTCTGCGTTACCATCAAGCGGTTCAAACAGGAACTCTCCCCCATTTTGCTTGTACCATCCGCCCTTGTGTGCTAAGCCTGATGGTATATACTTCATAGCCTGAAACATTGATTCACCAACAATGCGAGCCATGCCCTTGCGAATATAGGCTGGCTGGCTGCCAAAGGCGGAGGAGCACATCATGTCGAGGTCCTGATACAGCTGCCTGGTGGGGTCCGCGTAGATGGGGAATTGGCAGTTGGTTTCTTTCCCATACATCTCGATCAGGCCCGGATCTCCGCAGCCAATGATGACCACTGATGTCCTTTTTGCCAGATGTTCCAGGGTTCCCGGGGTGATGGATGCGGACAACGCCCGAAGGAACTCTTGGCAGCTCTGTGAATATCTGTAAGTGAGGTCTTCTTTCAAGGAATCTCATTCATTGGCGAGTAGCTGGGACGATAAAGAATGTTTAAACATACGCCGCAGAAAAAGTGTCGGACGAAGATCACTAGCACCCGTTCGGCTACACCAGGCCCAGAATACAGGCTCTTGAACGGATGAGACTTGCCATGTCGATCCAGTACAGGGTAGTCTTGGATCTTGCGCAGTTTTTCTACTGACGGAGGCTGGTCATTGGCCTGGACTTCGCCTTGGACGTTTTGCAGGTCTCCTGTGGGTAGTTGATCACTGCCACTGGTAGCGTCAACAGCCAGCTTAGGATCGGCTGTCGAGGGTGGGTTGGTGGACATGGCTTAGGGTGACTTGCAATAACCAAGGTAGGATAGGTAATGTAGAGGGATATCGTACCAGTATCGCCAGAGCTTCTAGTCTTACACTTAGGATGCAGGGAAGGGGAGAGAGAAAATGGCATTTGCGCGTAAGCTGACTTGATATGCAAAACCCCACATGACCCCACCATAAACACTAATAAATGTAAGAGATACTAGTACGGGGTAGGGCGCCTTAAGATCGTATAGATTACTAGACTACGTGGCTGAATGAAACACGCAAGATTTCTAATTCTGACCGTCCTGAAGATTTAATTCTAGAGAACCCTACATAACTTTTCTTGTCATCACAACTCGAGTCAGACGATGTTGTATACACCCCGTGAAGATAGTACATAACTAGAGAGGGTCTGCGAATTTCAATACAGCGGGGACCTCGGCTGGGAATGACCTCTTCATACGGATTTCTTATTAGCTAAACGCCTCCCCACCCGGTACGATACGATAACTTACTGTTCGACAATTAATCACGCCTGGGAGCAGGACCTTGGCAGCAATAACTATTAACCCTATGTCAGTCCTTCTTCAAGAATCACCGATCCCAATCCTTTTACAAGCAATCCAGGGCTTGTCATTCTGTCGTGGGGCCTGGAACAATGATACTGTTGACTTTTACCCTGCATAACCCAGAGGGAGTCCATTCGAGAAGGGCTAAAAAGTGGAAGAACTACAGAAAGTGGTTTAGTTGGACACATAGGTTGATTATGTAGGGGAAAAGTAGTTCGAGTAAAGTCAAGATACAAAGTACCTGCCCGTGAAATATCTGACTTTTGGGTAGTTTTATGGTTGAATGAGGACTCATAAGCAGGAATATTCTCATTGGCATATCTTCCTTTGTTCGAAAAAATTCTACTGTGAACAAGGACCACTGCGTTCAATATGAGATGCATCTCTTTGACGAATACTTCATTCAGGCTCACCACAAGGATATGAAGGTCTCTTCACGGTGAGAGGCTAATCTTCAATGTGACCGCTGGAGAAGAAACGCCAGGCAAAACAGCGGCTCCGCAGGTGATATCGCGTATTAGATGGGACTACGTAAGGGCACGGTTGACTTCTTATCACATCAAGTGTAGATCAAGTCAAATAAAGCTGCCACCACTCCTCCTTCCGCTTAAATGACTCGTAAATGGTTTCATGGCCAACCCAGCCGTGGCCCTCGCCTTCGAACTCAACCACCTCTGCTACTCTCCCACACTTGTGCATCGCATCGGCCATCATCCTGGCTTGTGCGACAGGGACCACCATATCGGATGTGCCCTGCAGCAAAAGCAGTGGTGCTTTCATCTGCGCCGCAAAGTGGCACGGACTGCGCTTGGTGAGTTCGGCATCCCGGTCCTCGCCCTTTGTTGTACTCAGTAAAATGCGGTCCACATCGTGGCTCTCGAACTTGTATGAATCGGCCTGCAAGGCCCGGACATCGCTAATGCCATAGGAACTAATCCCCGCCGCCCAAACGTCAGGATACATGTGCAAAGCCCGTAGCGTCAGATACCCGCCTGCACTACCACCGTAGATGCCCACGCGCGCCTGATCAATCAAGCCATTTTCCACCAGGAAGTCGACTGCGCTCACGGCATCTCCGACATCAACGAGGCCCCAGTATCCCGAGAGGCGTTCACGGTATTCGCGACCGTACCCGGTGGAGCCCGTGTAGTTGAGAGCGCAAACGGCATAGCCGCGGGTGGTCCAGTATTGAATTTCGAGATTGAGCGCCGGGGTGACGCAGCCATTGGGTCCACCATGGACGTAGACTAGTGCCGGAGGAGGACCCTGATCAGCCGACTGGTAGTTCGGGTTTTGTGGAGGGAAGTAGAACATATATACGTCGCCGTCACACCGCGGTCCGTACTTTTGGGGTGCACGGAACTCTGTCGCGTGAGAGACGTACTCCGGATCCAGCTTGAACGATGCAGTGGAAGTTAGCACGGTTCGTTGCACCTCGTTGGTGGGCGTGATGGATACCAGAGCCAATTCCTGCGGGGACGTTGCCGTCGAACCAACGATGGCGAAGCTGGTCGGTGAAACTCGGTAAATCCCATTAGCACGAGACCCCAGATCCAGGTAGGGAAGATCTAGCTGCCGAGCGCAGGAAGTCGTAGTGTCAATCAGGTATACTCGACTCGTGGCGTGAGTAATGACGGTAGCGACAACAGTCGTTGCGTCAAGGGAGGTATACGTGGAGCTGGTCGGAGTGTTAGTTTCACTACGTATGAAGGATGGAAGTACACGTAGTACATACCTTCCAAGTTCCCATTCAGCTGTGGCAAAGTCCGCCTCTTCGAGACCCTTCAGCGCCGACGGGCGAGGTGCACCGTCATTCACGTTGAATGCATATAGCTGCCAGAACCCGGTCTTGTCGCTCGCAAAGTAGAGCGAACCGTCCAGGCCCCATTTTGGCTGCGCAATACTTTCTTCCTGTGCTTTCCCTGCGACACGTCGCGAGTTGTTAAGACAGCCATCTTCCCAAGTGGCAACGTAGAGGACGGTTCCGGTCCAGGGCATGTCCGGATGGGACCATTGAATCCAGGAGACATACTTCCCCGAGGGGTCGAACTTGGGATGGGAGAAAAAGTCATCACCTTGGGCAATCGTAGTTTCATCACCGGTATTGGTGTTTATGGCCACCAGGGAGTTGTGAACCATGAATGCTTGGGTCTCCGGAGTGGCTTCGCGATGATCCTCCTTGATGGCAAGCATCCACTGCGCATCGATCGGATGATGGCAGAAATCCGCATAGCGGACACCCTTGACCCCTTCGCGGACTAAAGTGACTTTGCCAGAAGCTGGATCCAGCACGTAAATGCTGCTAGAGCTTTCGTCGGAAAACGTGATCAGCCCGTCCGGTCTTATGGCAAGGGAACCGCCACCGAGCTCTTGCACCGTGGCGTGTGCACTGAGATCTTTCGGTAACACATCTCGACTTTCACCGTGCCAATGCTGGATGATCGCATGGCGGCCACCCTCTGTTGGATGGCATTCCACACAGTAGATAGCTCCGGTGGACTCCTAATTCTTGTTAGTCCAATGGCGAGCTTGGCGAGCTGGGACTGGGGCTCACATTGACGACCACTTCGTGGAGAGATATGCTACTGCTTGACAGTAATTCTGGAGTGAGTGGGCTCTTCCAGCGTCCGTAGGGTACCGTCATTTCGAATCGTTGTCATACATCCAGTTGCAATGATTTTTATCAACTGGTCCACACTTGCGAGACGGGAGTTTCAGTTGTCCTTGGTCGGTCAAAGTATTTTTCCGTCCCAATTGCTTGTATAATCTTTAGGTAAGATATTACGAGAGGAAATGATAGGAATATAAAACCTCATATTCAGCTACGATCTGTTCAGTTGCGAGACTGGAAAATAAATTGTATTTGTGGGGACTTACTACGGTACTGTGAAGATGGAAAGGTCTGGAGATTTATACTGACTGGACCGCAGAGTTGGCCTAGTCACCAACGTATGGACTAATGTTTTTCGAGTAATGCTGAATATTACCTTGATATCTGGTTCATCAGAGCTCCATTCATGTAGAGCAGTTGCGAAGGCCTGGGGCATCTTGTGGCGGCCAACATTCTGAAAAACATAATGTTTCTTGGAGTCGCCAAGTACGAGAAGCTATGAAACCGTCTATGCAAGCTAGAGATGTGGCTTCCGAGAACGCTATGGCACTAACGATGCTGAACTGCGACGATGAAGCCAAGGAGAAACTGATGGATGCTCTTCGACGTAGAAGCGATGGAGAATTGACTGGTGAGAACGCTGTCGTACTCGTGATTCTCAGCCACTATCATGATGGCAAGGGTACCAAACTCCAAGCAGCATTATTTCTTCATGAAGCAGAAACTGCAGAGCTTTGGGCTGTAATATATCCACCTCCGTATGACAGCGTAAATTTATGACTAGGGAATTCAGTAGCGTATGTAGGTGAGACATGGGCTGAGATGTCCCTTATCAGTCGACGATCTCATTGTCCCCGTTTCTTGAAGAAATGAGAAGAACACTCAAGCTCCTGACAAAAACATTGTATGTTGTATATTGCTTCGCTATGACACCCCAGGACGTCTTGTTGCCAATCCCACGAGCCTTGACTGAAGGTATACTTAGGAGGAGTGATGAGCATAGATTACCAAGTTCATAGTATCTTATGTATAGTTCGGGCTTCTTCACCTGTGAACCCTATAGATAGTATCTCGGAGACCATGCAAAGTCCTACCGCCAGTGAATACTTTTGTTAAACGTCCATGGGTGTGCAACACAGCCTCTTGCAGCCTTGGACCTACATCGAAAGGTCATCTATGTTGTTAGCATGAAAGAAATACATACTGAATAGTGTCGTGCTTTAATATTTTCTCTCGTATCGGTAATGCACGGTCAACCCTTCGTTAACGGTGGACATCGTGACTGACTAGGTACCTACTAATGTACATCAATTAACAAATATAGCCTAGCGGTAAATTTAGCGCCAATATAGGGAAACGCCTTGGTAATCTGTCTGATATTTGCTGACATATTGTCAGAATACCTTGCGAAGATGGATCGCCTACCAACAGAGATCATCCTGGCCATCCTCCACAAAATTCCCAACGCCCGAGACCGACTGAACCTAGTCCAGATATGTCGGCGCTGGCGTGCCTCATTGCTGGGAACCGCTTTCTGCTCGACTCACCTCGAATGGCCTGAGCTTCGGTGTCTAGTCGTGGCGGCCCTTGCCAATCCGGGTATCAGGTTCTCCATCCGCGAGATCTCGATAAACAATGGTGCAAAGAAAGGTGCACTGGCCCCATTAGGCCCAGCAGTTCAGGATCTTATAGACCTCATCAGCGAGTCGCCCGTAGAGTATGATGCATGGCGCAAAAACCTATCCAGTGACCAGGGTGAAGTGTGGATTGCTCTTGCCATGGCTATTCTCCCCAATCTTGCCACAATCTCAGCCCAGCATAGCTACCCTGGAGGCTGGATCACCCGGATCATTTCGAAGGCCGCGTGGAAGCAATTTCCTTTTGATTGCAACACTCTCCCAGCCTTGCAGCGGTTAGAAAAACTCGAGCTTTCCTGGCGTTACCTTTCCACTGTGTTGAGTCACCGCGACTACCTTCCCTTATTTCACTTGCCTTCCCTGCGCACCTTACGACTCGGGCCAGTACAGGAGCTTCATTCGACCCACAGTGCCGCAGACCATCCGGCCTTCTTTCCAGTTCCAGCTACCTCGCCGGTTGAAGAGCTAACCTTGGACTTCTTTTGTAACGGAAGATATGGGATGGACGATTTTGTCACCTCCTGTGCCAACCTTAAGCGCTTTGTATACCAGCATACGAACGACATTATCTGGGTTTCGCGCCAGGACGAGGAGGATTGCATGGGGGTTGACGCTAGCTTTCGGCCTTGGTGCTTCCACGAGGCGCTCCAAACCCAGAAGCACAGCCTAGAGGTGCTCCACCTGAATGATCTCGGAGATGCATCCACCCCTCGACCAACTCATCTCTACAAGGAAAATGTTGACCCAATCTCCCATGATCGGTGGTTCGGGTCGCTGGCGGATTTTTCCAAGCTGCGGGAGCTACGGATTCGCGCCAGCAACCTTCTCAATCTCCACCCTAAGGAGACAGAGGATATGGTCTGGCTTGGAGATATGCTGCCTAAGAGCTTGAGAGTTTTACATCTAGCAGACTGTAATATTAACAATTGTGCTGTATTGGTCACCCACCTCGAGGATCTTCTTACTCGGCGTGAGGAACAGTTTCCAAACCTACAGTCCCTGCTCGTCTCTCCTGAGCGGGAGGAACCACACGGAACCAGTGTTCGTATCAGGGAGGCCTTCAGGAAGCAATGGACGACCCTTCAGGTGATGTGTGACCGGGTTGGCGTCCGGCTCTCTCTTGGGGCCGGGGAAAAGATGAACACAGATCAGAAGCACTGGTCTCCCGGAAGAATTGTGGATGAGGCTTTGTTAAATTAATCTATTATTTTCAGCCTCCATGGAACAGTGAGAGTCTTACGGACACCAGTCTATAGAACCTATATTTCTCCCCCGTCGTCTTGCACGCCCGTCCACCATTCCCGGATTTCCCGATACCAAGTCCAGCTTTCCACCGCACCAGCGCCGGCAAGAACAGCAAACAGTACTGCTTTGCTCATCTGAGTCTTGAAGCTAAGATCATACTTCCAGTAGCCCGCGTTGCTCTTGTCGTTCGGTAAATTATTCTCTGGGGTGTTGTCCTTGTCGTGTAGAACGTTCCGCGTTGAAAACGATGCTACGGCACGAGGTGCCAAAGGAGCGCGTGGATGGCTATGAACGAGACCATTCAAAAGGCTGGCACGTAAAGAAGCCATGCCGTTCGAACTCGATGAATCTGTGAATTAAACGTAGTCAATATTCAGAAGGTAATACAAGCGAGGACCGGATTCTTCAGTAGTACCTCTGGTGTTATGGGGAGAGTTCTGGAACTGAAGAATCCACCCTTACGCTTGTCGGTGAGTGAGTCAAACTAAATTCAAGGGCGCGGGGTGAAAGCCTTTGGCCCTTAATTAGCCGGTATTTCTTGCGAAACAGGTATAGCCTGCCGAGATACGAAGAAACGCGGGTAAGTTGTTGTTTCCATCGATACGATGTGAATCTGATATCATTGCCAGCTTTCGTTCTATAATACTCCCATCGCGTTCAAGGAATCATAATCCGCCTCAGATTCCACTCACGCCAATCCCTCAGCCTGTTCAATCTCTTCTTTAGTCAAACACCATTTTCTCTGCAACTCTGGGTCAAGTGCCAAAGAATACACATCCTTCGGCCACCACTCCCCCCAGCTCGTCAAAAAGAGCTGTTCTGGATCCGATGGGAGATCGGTCGCAGTAAATGCCCGAAGCAGGTTTTGGGCCCCTGTGGAAACAGTCCATGTTCAGTCGGTTTTCTCGCAATCATTACCATGCGGGTGAGCTTACCCTCGGGAATGCTTTTCGCATCCGGCATATCCATGGACAAGCCCAAATCAGTGGCCAATTTCGTGCTTGGGATAAGGCCCGGTGAGACGGCAATGATCGTGCACGAGGGAAGTTCGCGGCGCCAGTAAAATGCACCGAGTAATTGAACGAACTTTGAGGCACTGTACACGGCTCTGACTCCGGCCTTGGAATTTGCCTTGAGGTCTACGTCGAGTGTTGCTGATATAGCCCGAGTCAGTATATCTGATGTGGACGGTACGGTGTAATGGGTAGAGAATGTGAGCGTACCTGGATCCTGGCCTCTCACATTGCGAATGGCGCCCGAGGAAACAACGACAACTCGCGATTGTGACACAGAAAGAGTGTCACGGAGCAAATGAATCAAGTAATGCTGAGCTATTTTGTTTCATCGTTAGCCACTTCGGTCCAATGCCCTTCGAGTTCATCTCTCTTCATACCCAGATGATTCACTACATACCCCGAACACCATGGCGATCCATTGGGTCCAGGGCCATCGGCGCTATCCAGCATGCCCGCGCAGAGGAACAGATAATCGAGCTTCTGCGCACCCAACTGGGAGAGGACGTTTTGCGCAAACGACTGCACACTGGGCAGGGATAGGAGATCTAGCGGGAAAATGGTAATCGTGTGCTGCTTCGTGTCAAAGTCGAGGCGATCATATTCGTCCTGAGCTTTGGCTGTATCCCGTACTCCTAGGATGAAATTGTACGGCTCTGACTGCTGAAGCAGCTGTTTGATTGCTTCAAAGCCCTGTGATATGTTAGACGAACGACTCGGGAGGGGTAGAAAGGTGAGGGGTTACCAAGCCCGATGAAGTGCCTGTTGCGACGACTGTTTTTGCCATGATTGCGAGGAGAGTTCGTTAGATCTGTTGGTCCGTAGGCGGTCTTCAGGTGTGAGATAGAGGGTGGATGTGTCTTGATATCAACCTGCATCTTTGGCTTTTCAATGTTGTTGTTGCCCCTCGCTGACAAAGAGATAATCATGTGACGTCATCGTATCAACTTCTGTCCCGAAAGAGAGCAAAACAAGACGAGGAGTCGGAAAATCAGGAAGACTGATGTTTCGGCTTTGGGGAATCGACGGTGTCCTCTAAAGAGGAAATTGAGAGGGCGGGGAAAAAGAAAAAAAAAATTGTCGGTCATGATGCGTTAGATTTTGTCTCCTGACACGGAGTTTAGCAGTAATGGACATAAGGTCTAGATAAAAATAGAAAGAAAAAAAAGCATGAATGATAGAACGATATGGATACTCAGGGATGTCTCTTTATCCCGCTATGCCTACATATTGGATGTAGCAATTTCAACCGGCTATTCAAGGGACCAGTCTGGAAGATAGCAAACGGTAGGCAAGACCCACGAAAGACCCCAGAGAAAGAACTGCCGAGAGTTAACTGTCGGGCTGGAGGTTTGAATCTGACGAGGAAACCTACTCGGAACAATTCGAAAGCTTTGTAAGAAGCATGATCGTACAGCCAGTTGTAATGATCCTGGCAAAGATGAAGCAAATCTTCCGTCTTTCAACACACTTCCTATACTCTAATATCATATAATCACAGGTAAGCGGCAAATATAGCAGCTGTATATCATTTCCTTCTTCCGAATCATATCGGCAACCCTAGAACAGAGGATCAGAGAGATCCACTGCCGACTTGTACACGGAGGCGAACCGCTCCACAGGGATCAACACGATCATTTCGCACCTTATCTCAGTAACGATGCAAGACATCAATGCAAATATATATAGTGGTCGCTAGTGGCTGTGCTAGGAAGTCATGCCGGAATATCCTGCCTTTGGTAAACTAACAAGGCAATTCAGTATACCCATTTATACTAGGCTACTAGATCCATAGAGAGAACTGGCAGTACACACTGGACTTTATCAACTTAACTATAGCATTCGTGTTGCCATATTGCTATGCAATATATCGCAATCTGCATAATCGCTCTATATAATCGACGATTTACGGCAAGCCAGTACATACGACCACAGGGTGTGGAGAACAGGGCTTCCCGTCCGCTCAGCCGTACTTAAGCCACACGCCGGGAGGTTAGTAGTTGGGTGGGTGACCACCAGCGAATCCCTCCTGTTGTATGTTTTTATTTTTGTCAATCCTTTGTTTTTGGGCTCTTTTTTTGTTTTGCTATATTTACATACTATGACTCTTCCCTGAACCGCCGCCGTGGTGGAATCTCGGGATATATAAAATTTATTTACCTGGTGACTGAATCACTAGCCAGAGCGTCATGGAGCTTCTTCCTCGTCTTTCCCGGCTTCCCTCGGGATATACTGAAATTGCTGCCATGGAAACCACTTTTCCTACTGCACCCGCCAAATACCGCATCTCTGCCTCCCATTCCAGCACGATCTTTGTCCCGACCACCTTTCCGTACGCTGAACTGTATAGTTCTGTCCAGGGCGAGGGGAGGTAGGAATAATAGTGTTGAGCCAGCCTGTTGCGGTGTTTTTGAATCTTCTCTATATCGTTGTTAACTCTTTGGATGATCTTTGTGATCCCCTTTACAAGTTGACCAAACCTTGTGACTCGAAGTAGCAACGTATATCTTCACAAGATAGATAGTATAGTCTCGATCGGTGTCTGCCTATGTAAGAGTCAGAGAGACGATAGACTCATATAACCAGAGGTGCCGGGGAGGAGATATGAGAAGTACGGCAGAAAGAAGCCCTCTCCTCCTCCCATCACCACCTTGGCCGTAGCGAACTGTACTCTCCGCAGTGGACGAACGATTCAGCGAATTTCGGAGATATTTTCCGGTCTCCAGTCGATCCCCCGTAGGCCCCACTGGTCCATAGCAACCAAGGTGCCCTTCACGACCACTAGATGTATTCTCCAATCGGTTCTGTGGGTAGCTGCACTATTCGGGGGCGATTTTCACCAACAATATACTATACTATATATACACAGCTCCCAAGACTACGTTCCGTTATATCGATATCATTGCTAAATGCGGGAATGCCTTCGTTAATCAATAATGATTGATGTATGTGAAATCGCTCCAGCGCGAAACGGTTCTACTGAGACGCAACACACATACATCACTGCTTGCAGGAGAATCACGCCCAGGAGAGATACTCCTCAATCACACGCGCCCCACGCGTCACATTTATGGAGCGTGCTCCAACTCCTCCTTCAGAGGCGCTTTTACCTCCCGCTCCAACGCAATGACAGCAGCCAAATCCCGCTGGACTTCCGTCTCTGCTCCAGGACCGTCGAAGATCACGGCAATCTCTTCGAGCGTGTGGCCTTTGGTCTCCGGAAACACAAAGTACACGATACCCACGAAACTGACCAGCAGACCAAGGTACACGAAATAGAACTTCCACTGGATCGCACCGAGAGCAATGGGATTCACGAACTGGTTGAAGAAGCCCGCGGCAAACTGCGCCGTGAGGCTTAGCGACAAGCCCTTGGTGCGCAGGTAGAACGGCATGATCTCGACCGGGTAGGCAATGGAGAGTGGGGTATAGGCGATATCATAGGCACCGTAGAACAGATAGAGGAATGCGACGACCGCACTGCCAGCAGCCTGGATGGCCGATTGATCGAACACGGCGGACAGGGCAGTGGCCAGGGAAAAGAAGAGCAGCATCAGCACCGTCGAGAGCATCCAGAGCGGGCGTCGGCCGTATTTCTCCGCGGCGACGGCACCGCCGGCGGCACAGACTGCGTTCCATGCCTGAAGGCCCAGGTTAATGGCAGACTGCTGCGTGGGATTGGTGATGCCAACGGATCGCAGAATGGGTGCGAGATAGTAAGAGATGACACCTGGGCACGAGGCGAATCAGCAAGATGGACACAACCCAGGTGGAGAGCGCTGTACGTACCATTCCCTGCCCACTGGATCATTACCCCGACCAGGAGACAAATGGCCAGGCGATGCCGAGCGCCCTTGGTCGCAATGAATGCCGACCAGCCACTTTTCTGGGCGGCGGAGTTCTCTAGGTCGATTGCGCCACAGATTTCAGAGAACTCGAACTGAACCAAGGGATCGGACGTGTCCCCATTCCCATGGTAGCGGGCGAGGATTTGCAAGGCCTCGTCGCGCCGGTCCTTCGACACGAGCCACCGCGGGCTTTCCGGGACGATGACCAGTCCGAGCAACTGCACCGCCGGGAAGAAACATTGGACCAGGCAAGGAATCCGCCAGGACCACGTGCTACCCTCAAGATAAAGAGTCCCCAAGCACACCGCAGCAGCCAGAATCGCGCCCCAGTACCAAGTCGCCTGAAAGATGGCCGTGACCACGCCCCGATGCCGGGGGTGAGCTATCTCCGTAGTCAGCGGTGGAGCAGCTGTCTGTGCAAAACCCAGGCCCACCCCCATCGCGATTCTCGTTCCAAAGAACGCCCAGCGGCCGACGGTGGCCGCCTGGATCACGCTCGCGACAATCATGATGGCCGATCCAAGTGCGACGGACGTTTTGCGGCCGAAGTAATCCGCGAAGTACGAAGCCGGGATAAACGTAATCGTGCCTCCTAGGGAAATCCCGGAAATGATCAGACCCTCTATGTTCGAGCTTATATTCTCGCTGACATTCTTCGCGACTACGGGCCGTTCAGATCAGCGCTATATACGCGAGCGGTGGAGGACAATGTGACGACGAGAACTCACACATCGGGAGGGTCAGGAGCCCATTCATCAAAGCAGCGTCATACCCATTGGCTGCAGCGGAGGCAAACATAAGTATGAGGCCCAAATTCAGGCGCCGGAGGCCCTTGTCCTTGAACCAGTTGGCGTTTGTGTTGTTGGGCAGCGTCCGGTACACATCCATGCCGGACGCAGAAACAACTCCACCGCCAGCGACCATGATGTCAGTAACCAAGGGTGCTGTTCAGGATATTACCGAACTTCCGGTGGACGGGATAGGCGGTCCAAGTGATATCCTTCAATCAGTATGGAGAGAACGATTGCATTCTGCAACAGAGCAAAGATTCAGGCCACGGTAGGGGGGGGATCGTTCGATCTTATAGACATCATGGGATACGAAGAGTCGGAGATAGTTTCTGCACTTGCGATCCCCACCCTCCTGTTCCCCAGATCACGTTTTTCTCCCTTGCGTGGAGAATGACGAATGACTGGTAGTTGGTGGGGAGGAGGAGAGTAGCATGTATGGAGTCTGGAGTCTGGACTCCGAACACAACAGACGCACGATCAGTGGTGTGAAGACGCTAACCCTCATTGGGTCAAGCGCGCTCCCCCAGATAAAGTTTGGCGGCATGGGCACCAATGAGGAGCCGTACGGCGGCGAGATTCCCGGCGGATTTCTTTGGCCAGATTTTCGGGGAGATTCCCGGGGAGATTTCGGGACGGCGACCAACTCATGGACTGAGGAGGCTGCACAACTCGCTCCAGGGGTCAACATGAGTTAGAGCAACTGGGTTACGTTTACCTCACCGGGTGAACATAAATATGGACCCTCCCTGCCCCCAGTCTTTCCCATCATCCAACTTATCATTCCTCGCAAATGGCGACCCCGCGGAAGACTCAGTCATCGCCGGTGAACAGGGCCTGGTGGAAAGAGGCCTCTGTCTATCAGATCTATCCGGCGTCGTTCAAAGACTCTAACGGGGATGGAATCGGTGATATCCCAGGGATCATCTCGGAGCTCGACTACCTGAAGGCCCTTGGGGTCGATCTCGTTTGGCTCTCCCCGATCCTTCAGTCCCCGCAGGTAGACATGGGCTACGATGTTTCTGATTATTATCAAATCCACGCCCCGTACGGTACGGTCCAAGATGTGGATGCGCTCATTCAAGGGTTACACCAACGAGGGATGAGATATGTCATGGACCTTGTGGTCAATCATACTTCCGACCAGGTGAGTGAGAAGCGATCGACGGGGCAATCGTACCCACCGCAACTACGATCATCAAACGTGATTAATGATGGAAACAGCACGAGTGGTTTAAACGCTCGAGATCGTCCCGAGACAACGAATACCGAGACTGGTACATATGGAAAAAGCCCAAGTACGGTGCCGATGGTGTCCGCCAGCCGCCGAATAACTGGAAAGCCTATTTTGGAGGTACAGTCCTGGTTTTCCCCTCCACAAAGGTGCCCTAGCCGGTCACTAACCCTCCGAACAGGCTCGGCATGGCAGTATGACGAAACAACGGATGAATATTATCTGCACCTGTTCGCGCCGGAGCAGCCAGACCTGAACTGGGAAAACCCCCAAGTGCGGTCCGCGGTGCACCAGATCATGAGGTATTGGCTGGACAAAGGCGTCAGTGGATTCCGCATGGACGTCATCAACATGGTCAGCAAGGACCAAGGCTTCCCGGATGCGCCCATCACCGATGCAAACAGCCAATGGCAACATGGGGCGATGTACTATTGCTGCGGACCACGTCTCCACGAATACCTACAAGAACTGGGACGGATCTTGAAGGAATATGATGCCTTTTCCGTCGGGGAGATGCCGAATGTGTATGATCCGGCGGAAATTGGGAAGGCCGTGGGGTTTGACCGCGGCGAATTAGCCATGGCGTTCCAATTCGAGATCATGGACATCGACCATGGCCCGGCAGGCAAATTCTCTCCGCACCAATATCGCATGTCGGACCTGAAGCATATCGTTTCCAAATGGCAGGACTTCATGTACCAGAATAGGGGCTGGAACGCCCTGTATCTCGAAAACCACGACCAAGGAAGGACCATCTCACGGTTTACCTCGGCGGGCCCAGAATACCGCGCGACGGCAGGGAAGATGCTGGCCACCTTCCTGGGCCTTCAAGGCGGGACTCCGTTTGTGTACCAGGGCCAGGAATTAGGCCTGGTGAATGTGCCAGCAACATGGGGCATTGAGAAGTTTCGGGACATCGAGACTTTGAACCATTGGGACGATATGATGGCGGCATATCCCGACGACATGGAGCTCCACCAGGTGACATTAGAACAGTTCCGCATCAAGTCTCGCGATAATGGACGCACCCCGATGCAATGGACCAGTGGTAAATTTGCCGGGTTTACCACTGCACCCAACGGCCCCTGGATTGATGTGCATGACGACTACGAAGACTGGAATGCCGCGTCCCAGGTGGGCAAGCCACACAGTGTTTTCCAACACTGGGCCCAGGTCCTCGGCCTGCGCAAAGCTTATCAAGACCTCTTCGTATATGGCTCGTACAAATTGGTGGATGAAGCGAACGAGGATCTATTCGCCTATCTGCGAATGTACGGAGGCCAGTCAGCTTTGGTGCTGGCCAACTTCACCGACAAAGACGTGACATGGGTTGTTCCGGCCGAAACCACTGCAATTCTTGAAGATGGCGCTGTGCTGCTGGGAAATTATCAGCGCCACCGCCCCGTGCTGCCCGATGGCACCATCGCTGTAAAGCCATTTGAATCGTTTGTGATTTTTCTAGATAGTTCAAGGGCCAGGGTCGGACCTGGTGGGGGGAAGCTCTGAACCAGTTGGACATCCACAAAATCTGATCACATACAGCAACGTGACCACGAAGAACTTCGGCCGGCCACAGTTCACTATGCATCTAATCTTTCTTCATCAAGTGGTTCGATGACGGGGGAACCCCCACGGTCCGCCGGAGACAGCGCACGAATACGGCGATATGGAATGCCTAATTCATGCAATTTTCTCTGCAGTACCTCGAGGCCATATGGTCTGTGGCTCAGCGAGGACAGTAAATAACATAAATGGTGGAGAATATCGTGCGTTCCCACTGAATTATGGTGCAAGAGGGAGGGAACACAGTGAATCACATCCAGGAGGGTACTTGTGATCTCGAAGAGTTTGATGGCCTGGATCCAGTCAGCTTACGGTATGCCATGGGGATATATATATATAGTTCACCCACCATCCCGGGACCATGTGCTATAAAAGTCTCCTGGGGCACGTTGGAGATGAGCACGATCGCGTCTCTGGCCACATGCACCGGGTAGGTCAATCTCATACTGTCATCAGCCGCAGCGCTCGAGAGGAAAATATTCTTTAAAGACAGCTGCCACAGTAGGACGCGGAGCCACTGTTGGGTAATAGCAATATCCGTTCTCTGTAATGCATGGTATGCCGTAGGCCACTGGAGGTGCTGCCGGAGTTGGCTTTGTAGCCGACACAGCGTCTCCTTACTACACACGATGGCCCTGGAGCTACCGCGATCGAGAAGGACGCCTTCCACGGCAATAAAGAGACCCACCAGACGGTCAAAGGCTTCGACAAGGTGGAGTTCGTCCGAACCATCGCGCGTTGGCGGCCGTATGGAGTCTTGTAGACAGGTATTAATTCCATGCTGTATGGCGTGACCCCGTTCGGTCACATAGAGGAGCCAGAACGCCCTTCGCCTATACCGCTCATCTTCCGGGGCTACATCTTGATAGGTCTCTTCTTTATCCAACCCCTGAAGCTGACACGATGTCACCGACTCTCGGAGCAAGAGCGAAGCGGTCGGTATCTTTTTCTTCGCACCGTAGTAAAAGTGAAGGAACAGCGGCACGAGTACTGCCTCAAAAGTCCCACTTTCCCGGTAATCATACATCGTGCGGCAATGATCTGATTCTTTCGCAAAGTCATCCGCCATAGCGCACTTTGCCTCCGCACTTCCTTGCGTCGCATGGTTGTCCGAGTGACACTGCAACTGCGCGCAAGTCGCGGCGCATACCGCAAAGGCTAAGGCGCGTAGTTCAAAATTATTCACGTTCAGGATGAGGGAGTTGCGAAGGCGAGTAGTGTCCACCACCGGCCAGACGGGATACATCCTCTGCTCGTAAGTTTGCAAGTGAGCTACGACATCTGCCAGGGACAGGTGCGATGGCCATCCATCAGTCAGTAGCGGCATCTGTTCGGTACCGGCCACATCACAAGTTAGTGCCACCCTGGATGAGTCGGTCACTTCCGCGCATCCTGCTCTTGCATTGGCGGGTGATGCGGTTTCGGTTGCACAACGGCCAGCTCGCTCTCGTAGGCTCTGCAGGCGCTTGTTGAGCTGTGTGTAGGTCCCAGCACGTGGACCTTTCGGTCCGGGCTTTGCCATTGGTTTCAGGTAGGAGCATTCAAATCCAGAGTGGACACAGGGTTGACAAGGCTGTCCGCCGCTGCACCGGGTTTTACGGAGAGAGCAGCCATCGCAAGCCCGTCGTCTCACCATGGCGGGATTACTGGCCGAAGATGGTTTCGATCCTCCAGTGGACAGACCAGATCTTGCCTAAGACATTGTAGTGGGCGCATGGAGTGTCCGGTTACTTGGGCATGTTCACCGTCGAAACGTTGTCGACAGCCGGAGAGGATCTGCCCCAGATGAGATGAGACGAGACGAATCCGCAGTCATGTGACCTACGTTCTGGCAAATCAACCTTTTAGATACAATAATCTCAAAAAGGAGTCATGTGATTGCCTATCTCAGTCTTGAATCTAGTAGTCCAATATGCCGAACTATATAGTATTAAGAAGGGGGGATGCCAGTATCAGTGACCGTAAAATAGCAAGAGATATATAAGTTCGAATTTCAATGTACTATTATATATTGTGGAGATACTATGTGGGCCCAAGGTACGACTCAAGTGCCGTTTGATGTGTTAGTGTAATGCAACTATATACTAATTTATGCATTCAAGGTGGCGCTATCTTTTTGTCTGGCATTGCAACCGATACTAATAAAATCGAATCTTTTTCTCTACAAACCATGCCAACAGACCTCATCTGATACCTTTTGTAATACTTCACCTTGTATTTGTATCATATATTCTCAGTAGAGAGAATAAATAAGTACATACGACCACAGGGTGTGGAAAACAGGGCTTCCCGTCCGCTCAGCCGTACTTAAGCCACACGCCGGGAGGTTAGTAGTTGGGTGGGTGACCACCAGCGAATCCCTCCTGTTGTATGTTAGTCATTCTGTTTTTTGATTTATGGGGAAACGTGCCCTTGCCGCTACTACTCTGTACTCTTCAGGCCTTTGAGGCCCCTCAACTTAAGACCCTGAAGCCCCTCTATTCTTCACCCGAACACCTGCATTCCCCTGGAGCGCTCACGTGGGCCCTCGGCTACATCTTCCCTATCTCTGTCGCTCACGTTCCGCTCCCGACCCAGAGACTGGAGTGGCTTGGCTTTTGTTAGGGGCCGAACTTAACCCTCATCCAGCTGACCAGTGATCCCGGACAACTACTAGTAGATACATCGTCGGGACGACCACTGTTTGCTGCAGCCTTGGCTATCTCTCCCCCACAGCGACCTTGAGACTACAGGTTTTTTCGTCTAATGCGGTCGGCTCTCTTCCAATAAAAAGAAAGGAATGTCCTTGCTGCAAAAGTCTTTGACCACCCAGTGACGCAGTAAAGGTAGTCGAGTAGTCACGAAGTCGCGTTCCATATCATTATTATCATTTTTTAAACCAATCTAACCAACCTAACAGCGGCTGCAGGCAATAATTGACTGAAACGGCTAGTATATTAAACATCAGTTACTGAATTAGTATGGGGTTTGTTTGAGGCTTTTGTATGGCAGAATGAACGGTAGAAAAAGCGCGGTCAACTAGCGGTGGTCGCAGACTTTCGCGGCGCCACTATACCTATGTATAGGGTATTTTAACCTGCCCTATGTATGACATCCGTTCTTCCGCTTGGCCTCATCCTCACCCTCACTCGCCCGACCGGATTACTAGCTCATACTATCCTTGTCCTGACTTGCTCAGTCACTCTGATAATCGTCCTTTCGGAAAAGTATTCAGGTTCCAATATCATTTCGTAACTTGGGGGACCTAGCAATTCCAAAAGTCAGGTAGCCGACCCCAGTCAGACCTTTTTTTAATAGGCTTTGCCCCTTCAATTTTCTCCATTGTTCGTGGCTCCTGCGCTTAGACATCTTCTCATCGGTCATGATCGGCCATGATCGGTTGGAGAAGCGAGAAGATCGCTGGGTACTCAGCACGATTAGCGTAACTGGCCGGCGTACGACCATGCAGGTCTTGTCCGTGTTTGTTCCCCCCATGCACCAGTAGCCACTCTACGACATCTTGGTTTCCTGCTTGTGCTGCAAGATGCAAAGGGGTCCAGCGTGACTGCCTCCACTGGCTATTTACGTTGGGTTCTGAAAGTATGATCTTATCCAAGTGCTTTGTGCGGTCCGCGTGCGACAAGGGGAGTAGTACCAGAATATGTAGTGAGAATTCGTTCGGATACCTGAGGAAGGGGCTCTCAGCTCCATCTTTCCACAAAGTATCCAGTCTCTCGAGCGTAACTCTGCGATGCTCCTTGGAGTCTTTGTCTTCAAAAGGTACGATCTCGTCCAGTAACTCTGCCAAAAGATTGAATGCTCCCAGGATGTAACCTCCTTCGCCTCCCAAAATAGCATGCGTTGCCTGTATCTGCAGTCTTGCTGATGGAGCCAGAGTGGCTAAAACATTATTCTCCTCAAGAATGTCGTTGGCCTCCTGAATGATATCAAGACTGCTCGGTCTTGACTTTGTTAGTTTGGCGGTGCACCTGTCGATCAACAACTTAGTGGCACTCTCAAATGTAGTGTCTTTGAGCTTGTTCGTATCTCGGATTGTTTCTGGAGATGTATTTAGTCAGACAAGTCGCAACATCTTGCCTGAGGATGTACCTGCCTCCAAGTGCCCATATGTCTCCTTTGGTTGTCCAAGGACGATTCCTAAGTATTTCCTACCGTCGTCAGCGCAGGTGGTCAATAGCTATGATAGAACCATCTATAAATACCGGAGGTCTGTATCCCGGGGTTCCGATTAACCGAGTAGTGTTGTAACCGGCACCTTTCCCGGCTTCGGAGGCGATGCCGAGATCGCAGAGCTTGAAAGTACAGACGCTCGACTCGGAACTCTGCTTAACAACTAGGATGGCATTGTATGTAAGTCAGCGTTCCAGAGAGCCAGAGATGAGTGAGGGGAACCACCATTTGCCGGCTTGATGTCTCGATGGATGATGTTTGTCCATGAACGTTCAAAGGAGGCACTCCAGTTTCCCGCTTTATACTTCACAGCCAAGCCATAATGAAGATAAGCTAGTGCTGATGCCAGCTGCGCAACTAGAATCCAAACACTTTGCCCGTCTAGTGGCGTCGTGCTCTTCCCTATCGGTGATGGATCTCCAGAATAAAAACCATAGAAGCCGTCTTCGTCCTCTTCGTTGTCAGTATCCGGTGGCCGCCCGTGACGAGTATTCAGGTTGCCAAGATCGCAATACTCTGTGTAGAGGAAAAAGGCGTTCTGTTCAGGATCTTCATCAAAATCCAGATATGTGACCACATTAGGATGTCGAAGTCGATCTAGGATGATGCGCTCAGATTCAAAGTATTTTCGCACATAACCATCGGCGTCATCTGAGAGAGAATATGTCTTCCGAAATACTTTCTGTTCATGCGTTAGCGCAATGCTCGCTATATATAACCATAGTATGTTGGCAGAACTTACTAGTGACGGCTGTGAGGAATCGATATTCACAGCTTTTTCCAGAACGTGGCAGACACATTGGCTGCCTTTCTGGATCCAACGGGTCGCTTCGTCATTGACCGTGTAAGTCTCCCAATCAAGGTCGTCGATTACGTTGTCACTCAACTGCATGTTGTTGTTTCTCTTGGATTCTGCCCCTTTCTCGATCAGTAGCTTTATAACGGTATCATTCTTCCTTTTATTAGCTTCGTCCAAGGGCGTTAGCCCCATGGTATCAACTGCGTTGACATCTGCACCCCGATCTAGTAGGTGGCGGATGATGAGATCATGCCCCTTTTTTGCTGCACAGTGTAGTGCAGTAGCACCATATGCATTTCGAAGTTTGGGATCCGCGGAATTCTCCAGAAGGCAGCGAACAACCTCCGCATGCCCGGCCCAAGTGGCGAGATACAAAGCTGTTCTCTGTAGAACGTCTGTGGCATTGATGTCAACATTTAAGCCAATCAACGACCTCACGATGTCTAGATGGCCCTCCTTTGTCGCTAAGTGCAATGCGTTCCACCCATCGAGCTTCGTTGTTGCACTAGTTGAAGCTCCACGCCGAAGAAGGGATGATACGGTGGATGTCCACCCGCGTCTAGCGGCCCAGTGTAAGGCGGTCCAACCTCCAACAGTTGCCACATTTGGGTCGACCTTCTTGTCCTCCGCCATATGTTCCACAATTTCCGTAAGGCCGAAGTATGCGGAGATATGTAGTCCTATCATTCCTCGATATGCTCTTTCGTAATGGCCGGGGTGCTGCTCGTATATTGACATGATTAGGCCAGCAGACATGGTATTGGCGCTTGAATCAAATAGAGCCATGACATCGTCAATAATATGCTCTAAGGAAACGTTATGGGCATGTTCCCCCCAGTATCTTGCGGCATATCCCAGCATGGCGTATCTTTTCAACCTATCTCCTAAGTCTGCTTGTTCGGAGGGGACTATGAGGGAGAAAGACTTGAAACGGAGACATGTGAGGCATTTCTTGGCAATGACCGTTTGGGGTTCCTCTGAATTGGGCAAAAGATGTTGGAATTTCGGTAGGTATAGCTGAAGGTATTCATTGAGCGTATAGTGTTCCAGAAACACCTGGTGTCGAGCTCGGTCAATGAAGATGAGACCAGCACAAATTTGATCCAGGGTGTCGATAAATGGCAAGTCCTCTGGGTTAAGGTCTTCGCTTCCTATCTGAATCCCGATTGCTTCTAGAAGCTCTCCGATGGTAAAGGGTCTTAGTGCATAAGCTAACCACATTAATGCTTCCAGTGCGAAATGAGACTGGTCTGCTTGGCCATACATGAGACTCTCCAACCGCATATCATACAACGTGTTGAGGGTCTGATTTGTAGACAATGAATGCCTCACTCCCTGGATAGTGCGCTGGGACAGCACGGATTCTAAAAGCAGCCGTGCATTGAGGAACCTGACAGAGAGTTAGCCTTGGTGGTCACTATAATCCGTTCACGTAACTCACACGCCGTTGGACTGATGCAATATTGTTTGCACAACTTCATTACAAAGCTCCGGCCGGTTGTTGAACCGTGATTCGGATAGCCTGGTCTGGATATATTCGCGTAATTCCGAATCACGCGCGAGTATTTCCAGCTGTGCAAAATTTCCTAATATTGCCTTATTCAAAGACGTTGGCCTGGAGGTGACAAAGAGACTCGTCATGGGCAATTTGAACAGGTTTTGGAAATCATTGACGAAGCCTTCTGAGCCATAAACGTACTCATCCAGCGCATCGAAAATGATGAAGACTCGATCGAAGCTAGCAATATCCGAGTGTAAAGTCGACCACAGATCTTCCAAGGGTAGATGGGGTGAGTGGGCGTATCTCTCGTATAAAGCCATGAGCATATCTGACACGCGGCCCGATTGTCGTAGGAGTTGCGCAAGTAAGGACCTGACAACATTCGCTGGTGTCTGCGTTGATCCTTCGCAGAAGTTGAAAAAGGCGAGTAAGACTGGAACTTTTGCCGAAGGATATTTATCGCGCAGATATTTAATGACCATCGAGCTGATTGGTTCTTGTCAGATCCAGAAAGTGTTGTGTTGACGTTAAGGTATTGGTTGCGACGCAGGCTTACCAGAGGACAGATTTTCCGGCACCCGCTGAGGGGTATCCACGATTAGCAAATCTAAGGGCTAGAACTTTTTAAAGACGGCTGTTTGGAGAGCTTACTTACGCAAGCCGCTGCACCAAAGAGCTTTTCCCGGATTCGCCTCCCACTCCAGAAACGTGGAGCTATGAAGAAGCCAGGCTCCAGTTCCCGACTCATATCGAGCTGCCAATTTCTCCAGCACGTCAGGAAAAGGCAGTTCATCGAGCCATTTTCCAATGTCGCTGGCCAGTTTAGGATCAGGAGTTTTGGACTTTGTTAGATCCAGATAATCCGTTGCTATCGCAGGCGCCGATTCGCTTGATTGAAGCAAAGCTCCCAGATTAGAGCGAGCTTCCCGGGTTCTACTGATAGCCCTATTGCACGCCCCGACAATCGAACGCCGGGAGCTCAACCATCGGCGTAAATAAGGTCGATTCAAGTTCCTGTACAGAGACTCCAAGTCTTCGAGCGACTCTTGAAGTCCCCGGCTATTGCGAGCCAAATGGGAGAGCGTTTCGACGTCGGCATCATCAGTAGCCTGTCGTTCAAGGAATTCAGGCACAATCCGGATAATATCTCTGAGAGCCTTTAACTCGTGGACGAGTTGGACTACTTCAAATGGGGGATCTTTCACTAGCGAGAAAGCATTGATGAGACTCTCTGTCCGATGATTCAAGAGGAGGAGTAAAGACAAGGCGTTAATGGCTATCCCAGTTGGCTCCATGGGGACCGTTCGCCTCAAGCTGCTAAGACTGGCTGCTGGCCCTTAAGCCGAAGAATACCCAAGACGAAAGGCCAAACTATAAATAATATGTCCGAGTAGACTTGCTTGTGAAGGTCGGTCGAAAGGATGGTGTGAGGTGCGTGGATGGCGGCACAAAAGGAGGGCGGCCTTTGGGAACTTGGCACGTTGCCTCACTAATGCATTGCGGTGGCTCCCAGTCCATTCCCTGATATGTACACGTGGAACGTCTGAGGTCGGTCGCATGGTGTCGTCAAGAGCTAGATAGCAACTTTTTCTCGATCCATCATCGCATTGAACTTTTCTCCACGTGTATTTTCCCGTTCGGCAACTCGATATCTATAGCCTAGGCGCTGCAATGGAGATAGGTGGTCTAGCCCTGGCGTCTGCCTCCGCCGCTCATGAGCTCTTAATTTGTGGCCTCCGAATATACCGTCGCATTAGGGAGGAGAAGAATTTGACTCGTGCTTTGAGAGAGTTTCAGATGTTTGAACTCGAAGATAGGCAAGCCCAGGTCAAAATCGATATTGCGCTGGCTCAAGGCGTCTTGAGGAGCCCGACGATTGATCAGGAACACAAGGATCGCCTAGAGCGGAACTGGAAACGCATTACGGACCTCCTAGTCCAAGTCGACAACCTCATAGACCACATGATCCGCAACTCATCATGGACAGCGACTCGGACTCGTCATGAAGCTCGAGATAGGCTGCTCTACTTGGGTGACACCAGAGCCATCTCCAACGCGGTGCAGGAATTTCAGTCTATTGTGCTTGCCGTCCGTGAACTTGACAAGGAAGATTCGCCATTATTCCTCTCAGCTAATGGGGGACCCAACGCGCACTCTGGAAGTTTTCGGGAGTAGCAGTGCGGGCTCCTTTATGCGCGAAATCCAGTCGGCAATCAGTGCTCGATTAGGAGCCTCACATCGACATATGGCCACGAGAAAAGTAGAAGCGCCACAACTGCACCACAGACACCGGGACTTTCAACCTTCTTCATCAGGCTATGAAGAGCCAGCATTATTCCTACTTCCTCCACGTAATCTTGCTGACGGCCTGATGCAGGCCTATTGGGATAACAACTGGTCCCTCTACCCTGTGATCGATCGCTGTAAAATTGAGGCAACATATGAGTCGCTCTGGACGTCTCACAACGCGCGCAATTATCCGTTAATTCCAATCAGTGTCATCAATCTCTGTTTTGCAATTGGCTGCTACTACTGCGAGCTCCTCCCACCTCGGGAGCGGAAAGCTACGAGCGACGACTTTTTCACACGTGCAGAATCGCTATATAAGAAGACGGGAGAAACCATATCGTACGAGCGAGTCCAATGTCTGCTGCTATTCGGCATATACTTACAGAGCACGACTTCCGTCTCTAAATGCTGGATGACCGTAGGCCAGGCTATTCGTATGGCCCAAAGTCTCGGAATTCATGTGGCCCAGCATGATCGTTATCGAGAGGCAGTAAGCCATAGGGAGTACCAACGTCGCACCTGGCATGGGTGTATCTGGCTAGATCGGTAAGAGCGTGTTGTTTCCAAATCCTGGCCTGACTTCTTCGCTCACTTGCTAAGTCCACCACTCTAAGTGTTCTCTCATCTACTCTCGGCCGTCCTGGTATGATCCCGAAGTGGCTGTTCAACTCTATCCCACTACCGTCAATGATTGATGATGAATTTTTCGAAACCCAAACGACAGGCTCTCCATTCCGACCTGATGGGCGACCGTGTAGGATGGCATTTGTCGTGAAAGCCATGGAGCTGTATCAGATTCTTGACGAAATCCTCGTTGACCTCTACCTCAAGACCTCCAAGGATGAAGATATTGAGAGCAAACTTATGCGTATTCTCCAAATCGATAGCAATCTCCAAGCGTGGAAAAAGTCCCTTCCAGAGTTCCTCCATCCGCGCGCTAATGCCGAAGCCGATGCGATCCTGAAAAGACAAGCCATAGTCTTGAGAGTTCGGTAGGTTTTCCAGCATTACGTTTCTTTTCCCTGACAGCTATTTCCAGACCTCCATTCTCAATACTCCAGCAGTTTTTTGCACGCGCGCATTCTCCTCTTCCGTCCGACCGTAATCTGTTACTGCATGCGCGATTCCACTGCGGCCGCGGCTACGATGGCGGGTTGTTGCACGGAAAACGAACCATATGGTTCCTACGACGATTGCAGTCTATCTGAAGTAATGCTAGCACAATGTGTCCGCATCAGCTTCCGCATTGCCCGTGAGCTCATTGAAACCTTTGACCACCATCTTAACCGACAGACCTTACTTGGACCGCTGCCCAACTGGTGGTATTCCATTCTCTGTAGGTTCCACATGGCCCCCCGACCTTTCTTCTCCAGGGGCTTCCAGCTGATAAACTGGCCTCCTTTCCTGGCCTTCCTGCAAACAACCAGATGTATACAACGCGACCATGATGATTCTCGTCGAGCGATTTCTAGAAACCAAGGATGGTGCCTCTCCCGCTATTGAATCCAAGGCCGAACGGACGTGGAATGCGGCACTCAGGGTCCTGAAGTCCTACGGGGTCTTAGCCGACTCAGCGACCCGATGCGTCGCGGTTCTGGAGATCTTTCTGGAGAAGCTTTTCCTCCGCAGCAACAACAATAACAACGGTAATGGTGACAGCAGGGATACAGACACTGTAACTACCACACCGCATCATCTCGACGGCTACGACTGGGATGCACTGTGGGCCATGTCAAACTCCTTCGGTCAGGAGTCTAGTTTTTCGGATTCAAATTTATTCCCGCTTACGTTCGATGGTTATATTTTGTCGGATTTGCTGTCGTCGTCGTTAGAGCAGGGGTTTAGCCCGGCTGATAGGTAAGGCAGGACTATGTCCGAAGCTATTGATTTATAAGTTTTCTTGGAAGCAAGTGTCTGGGAGAAAGTACACTATACGCCAATTACATTTTACTAGGGAATAGAAAGAATTAGCATACCATACCGTAATGCTAGAGAAATATAGCCATCAGGTTAGCCGGGCACTGTTAAGAGTCCATTTCGCTGTTTGGTCAGGTTTGTTTAAATACTGTATCTAAATTTCTCGCTGTGGCACATTTGTTTATGCTATGTAGGAAGTAACAAGTAATCCTAATGTACAACCACTTGCTGAATAAAGAAACTGAGTCTGATTCTTTGAGAAATAGTTCAAATCTAGGTGATCCTCCGCTTAATTTTCCATAAGTGAAGGAATGTTGACTGAAGAATTCGGGCTTCAGATACTGATGTGCCTCCTTCAAAAGTAATCTATTTAGTAGAGCACTTTCGCTTTTTAATCTGCCTTTCCTGTTCAGCCTGATGTTGCTCAAGTTCATACTTTAATATTGTCCTAGTATGCAAAGCTTGTTCAGTGCCTTTCATTATTTGATTTAGAAGTGCTTTGATAGGCGAATCAGGACTACTATATCGATTTTTAAGCAATGGTTTGAAGCTAGATTCTGACTTTTTTTTAGCTGTTTGACTGTATGAGGTGTTTTAGGCGCTGAACTGCCTTGACATTAGGTCTACTACCCGGAGATGTAGGGGTCTTGAGCTGAACTGTCAGCTAAGATAGAACGCTCTCAGGAAATAGCGAAACTAGACCAGTAGCTCTAAAAGCACTATAAATATTGCTGCTGATAAAGGCCTCTGTATAGGCCTTGGGAGATATATCCGAAAAAATCAAATTTATTGACATAATCAAGCCTCGAGATACCAAATAACATTTTCAAGTGGCAGGAAAAGTAACAACCCTTTGAGCAATAATGATCCAAGAGGACCACCAGAGCTTAGGAAGGTAAACAGATCCTATCCGAACCTCTATTCCAATGTATCTATTGGTTTATAGCTCAGCTGAAATCCACTGCGCAGCAATAGTAACCTATCCAACAAAATTAATGTTAACAACAATAGTCAGGCAGACCCAACTGCAGACCCTCGAAGCCCTGCTGCCAGTGCTGAAAATACGGATTATTACTGTAAATTTCTTAATAAACTGGTGGACCCAATACAAAATAAAGATCAAGTGAGGTTAGCTTGTATTGTTGGTCTTATACCATCTGATATATCTCAGAATAACGTTCTTGGAGCGATCCGGAGCGCAAATAGTTAGCGCGATATAAAAGGAGCAAGTTGCCTATTTGGAACGATGTTCACCATCTCAGCCAAATAATCAGAGCCAGTATAAAGTACGCTCCTTTGATCACCATAAAGCTTCCTTGAAATAAAGGGCAAACGTGTATTATGGTAGCTAGCAGGATAGCAAGTTTAGTGCTATAGGTAGACTGAAAGGTAAATATCTGTCAGTTAGTAGAGAATACTGCAATAGGAGAAAAAATAGAAGATGTGTCAAATATGATGACTTGTTTAGGACGGAATTCCACAGTGCTGATCACTGCATGTAAGCGGCAAAGTATTTAGCATATAATTGCTTTAGACTAAAATCTACAGATTCTAGTCAGGATAATTATCCGTACTATTAGGGGGATAAATGTGGTGGGATAACGTATATATATGCTCTGGAATTTTAGACACTTGCTAACGCATGGTATATTGGGAAACCAGCCCAGGTTATTCTCACAGGAACTTGGTCGGAAACGAATCATTATAATACCCTTAGCCCAACCTCGGTCTCTCTACACCTCTACCGGCTTCAGTATCACCGGCTATGCCGTACAGCCTTATAGCCATGTTTTACCATCGTTGATGCTTTACGCCTCACCTTTATATGGCTCAGTGATATAGTCGACCTGAACTAGTCCACTATTTCGCTCGTGTTTTATCTTCACCAAGTTTAGTAGCCTATTTGTTATTGCCTTGTTCTTGCGTCGAGCCAGTTGCCACAGGACCCACCATCTGGAACTGATAATACGCCTTTTTTGAGCATAAACTCTGCTACCGGCTTCGACTCCTGAAGGAGCTGGTTGAATGATAGGGTCCCCGGGACCTTTATCCGCCAGAGATCCCGCCACATGTCCTTGCGGAGTTGCCCTAAAAGAGGACATTCGATCATGATATGTTGGGGGTTCTGGTTATCTAGCCCGCACCCACATCTAGCATCGTGGCAGACATTGATGCGGGTAAGGTATTGTTCAGCCCTACACGCCCCGTGCGCAGCTGTATGAGGACTGAAGTGGCTGTTTTCTATAGTTTTCTAGTACCGCAGGACCTGCGGACTAGATACTTGGATAAGATATTTTATTGGTTAATTGGTCTTCTCCTTCTTTTAATAAGATTGTAATAATTAATCTAAGTTTGCTGTAATTTAATCTGGTTTTGGAATACCTAGTAGCTGTAAAGTTCTAGGAGGATATTCTCTCTCTACCTGAGTATCTTGACTACCATGCTGCTAGAACTGTGTTAGGAGACTAGAAAGTGTCCGGTTTTTGTTTTTTTATTTTTATATATTTGATTTTGCTATTCTTGTTATTTTTAATATCATTGATTGGAGCTTCGCCCTATTCACTCCTTCTTCTTCTTCTTCTTTTTTTTTTTAGAATGCGAAAATTTGTTTAAATACTCTTGACACTACAAATCATCTATTATCTATTGAGTAAGTCTTTCCCTCACCCGCCGCCATTGTGGGAGTCTAAAGATATGAAACCCTTATTGATCCAGTGCCTGTGTCACTGGCCATGGAGATAAGGACGCGCGAGAGAAAACACAAATCCATTGGTCCCATATGATACATACAGTTATACCTAATTTCTATAATTCTGTCAATACTCCAAAGTTTGTCTCTTTGTGTATCATAAAATCTTAAAACTCGACTTATACAAGGGCTGCAAATGCCGTGAGATACTCTATTAGATTGACAAGGACTAATGAAGAAGAATGAAATATAATAAAAGGAACCAATACTAGAACTAAATCGAGAGAGAAAATACGGGAACGGCCGATAATCATAGCCAGAAGAAGAAAACGGCTTGTACATCCGCCAAGCCAATTATTGTTGATCGTATGAACTGTCACAAAGCGGTGAGTGAACACAGACTGTCCCTTGAACTTCTTTGAGCGTGAGTGCCGCAAGACATGGAGAAAGGGTGGGGAAGACGAATGCCAATAAGGAGAAGCCAACCGGGTGGGATTTTAGAAAAATACCAGCTTGCCTCCACGCAGCTTCGACCGAAGGATACGCCAAGTATATAACCATCAAGATCCCCAGTTCACACGAAGGGAGCCAAAACCCCAAACCCAAAACCAAAACCCCTTTGACGAACCAATGCTCCGCTACGTATACTCCGTCGAAGTTGATAAGTCGGCCCTAGACGGTACGGGCTTTCGCACTACACTCCCTATCCGCATCCACCAGGAAGATGACCTGGCACGGGCTGCCAGCGCCCAGCTCCTCAAAGACTATAGCGCCGCCACGGAGCAGAAGTCTCTCGACCTGAGCTTGAGAGCAAGTTGCCCTCTTGGGCATTTCGCATCCCTCGTGATACCCGAGTGTTGTCCCAAAAAGCTTTCTTACGCAGCTAAGATGTTTGAATATATGAACTTCGAAGACGGTCAGCAGTTCCGCTCCCCGATGGGACCATTGCTAAGATGTTTCATAGATCAACTCGACTCCCCGAAATCAGCCGCTGAGGTGAGTTGACTGGCGGGTGCCGGGTGGTCCCTTTCAGCATGCGCAACTGACGCCGACCAGAGACATAATGTATCCGAGTATATCGCCAATGGGGAGCGAAGCGGCTTCGGTCAGATATGCGGGACGATTTGGGGATTGCGCTCCAAATATCGGCGGCTGCAGATATCTCTGCTGGTAGAAGGGATCTGGCTGTGCGGAGTTGGCATCCTGTCGATGGTAGCCGATTTCAAATCTTTCTGTCGGATGAACGCGCAGGAGGCTAAGGCCACATCGCTAGACGAGTATCTGGTACAACGACTGACTGGCGGTGGTTTCAGGTGCGTAGGTCTCACCGGGTCTTGTGGTTCTCACCCTAACTGATCGGACAAGATACCTCCCGGACTTTATTGGCCATATGATGGGGATGACACTGGTCACAAGTGAGAAAGTGGCAGTGCATGATGTCATCCACCCCTTGCAGATTGCCATGGTGCTCTCAAACGACTATTTCAGCTATAAGAAAGACAAATTGCTGCATGAACGCCAAGAGCGGCAGGGTATTGTCTATAATGCGGTTGCCATTGTCGCCGAACAAGACTCACTCACCGAAGAGAAGGCGCTCAAATCGATTCAAGACAAGATTCTTCAGGCTGAGCTAACCCACCACAAGGAGCTAGAAAACTTGAAACAGAACGGGTCATGGTCGCAGAATATGGAGGGGTATATAGAAGCCTTCCGCTTGGCGACCGGTGGCACACATCTGTGGGCTGCTACAACGCCTCGAATGGCCGTGGACGCCCACGATACCCGGTAATGATCGGGCTCAGCAGCTGAAAATGCTATCGGCCTGAATATACAGAAAAGTGTTCAGGGTTGCAAGGTTGGCTATGAAGTAGCAGAGCCTACACAGCGGCCACGGTTACCGTCTGGATAACATCATGATCCGAAATACGTATGCTTTCTGTAACAATCTACTTCTGTATATATTTTATTACACCGCTTAAACATTCAACAGCTGTAAGATTAGATTTTGTGCGAGGTCTGCGAACGGGCGACTGGAAAGATGCCGTGCTTGTCCTTGGTTCCATTACTCAATATTAATAGCCCGCCTATATCTTCAAAGCTGGGCAATGAATTGCCTGGCTGCTTACAGGCTTACAGGATCTCAAGTACAGGATGGTGTATAGGACAAGGAAAAATGTGTTCAAGTCTCATCAGGTGCTGGAGCTGGACTGCAATTCCTCACAGTTCGGCTCCCCCTCGTCCATGGTGTACTCTTTGACGAAAAGGGTCAGAAGTGCTGACCCTGCAGTGAGTGCTGTGCACATGATCCAGACCACGCGCAGACTATCGGTGTAGGAAATCCTGAGTGACTGCTTCTCGTCCCCATCCGGCATCATCTGCAGAATCTGAACAAGCACCGCAGCGTCCTTGCTGTACTCGTCAGCATGAGGCGCGAGCTTTGGGAAGAGCAGCAGATTCTCTCGCATTCGATTTTGGAAAACGACCCCACCAATGGCCACACCAAGAGTTTGCCCGAATGATCGGAAAAAGCTGGACATTGCCACCGCGATGGGAATATGTCTTGGGTGAGCGGAAGCTTGAATGCCGAACAGTAGTGCAGGGAAAAGCGCACCCCCCCCGAGCCCAGCAGGGAGCATAAGCAGGACCCAGCCGGCGACACTGGTCTGAGCCTTGAGAATGCATAGTAGAGCTATCCCCAGTGTGGCCAAGGCCCCACCCACCCACATAGACCAGCGATATCGACCGGTGATAGTGATCAAAATACCCACGATGACGGCACTGGGTGCGGCCATGAACGAGAACGGCAGCAGAGCAACACCCGAGAGGAGTGGGCTGTATCCCTTGACGCCTTCAAAGTAAAGGGGAAAATAATATAGAACACACCAAATCGTTAGCCCATGGATGATTGTGCCGACATAGCTCACTACCGTGGTGGGCGATTGAAATATGACTGGAGGGATCGTGGGGTTCGAAGCAAATCGCAATGCATACACTGCGCAGGCAATCAAGCCAACGGTTCCGATGAGCAGGGGAACTACAGTGTGGAAGGAGGCCCAACTATACATGATTCCCCCCCATGTCACTGGGATTAAGAACGATGTCATACTTCCAACGAAGAGTGTAGTTCCAACGTAGTCGATCCGCTTGAGCTGTGCTTTTATTGGCTTCTTCGCAGTCTGTGGGGCATCGAGGAAGAGAGCCACCAGGACAATCGCACCGACAATAAAAGGTAAGGTGATATAGAATATCCACCGCTGAATATAATGTGAGATCAGGCTCCAACATGATTGTGAACGAAGACTAGCGGAGACTCACCCAGCTCAGTGATTGAATAAAACCGCCACCCATGATAGGGCCTGTCACAGAGCCAATGCACAGCATCGACGAAAGAATCCCAAAGTAATGGCCGCGAAAGCGCAACGGCACAAGATCGGTGATTACTATTTCCGTTAGAGCCACGACTCCACCACCGCCAAAACCTTGAATGGAGCGTGCGCAGAGGAGCCAGGTCATGTTCAATGCGCTTCCTCCAAGGGCGGAGCCCAAAAGGAAAAAGGCCAATGAGGTATACAGCAATGGCTTTCGCCCAAAGATGTCCGATAGCGAGCCGATTATGGGTTGGAAAACTATCTCCGCTTTTAGTAATTATAGGAGGCCAGGCGTATCTTGGAGATTGCCCTACCTGTTGAGCATAGCAGGAAGGACGTTCCAGACCAAAATGCCTCGATTGCGGAGCCATTAAGGCTCCTTGCGATAGCCTACGTTGGTCATTTTGGAGCTGCCTGAGGCCTGTTCTGCAGCTTGCTTACCGGTAGTGCCACTGATATTGAGGTTCCCTCCAAAGAAGACAACAGAGTAATGATAGCAAGAGGTGCAAAGGAGAGGACAAGTCTATGATCAGGACGGAATTGGACACGGTTGTCCGACCTCCTTTTGTCCACATCCATCACTTCTGCTTCACCGTCAGATCGTCGCTCTGACACAACATCGGACTCCGCCAGAGGCACAACCATCATGTCTAAAAGACAACCCTGGAGATTAATGTCCTGTCGATTTGGAGCTCTGAATTAAATTTAGGACGGATAATAATGCATCAATCGACAATATGGTTATCCTGAAAATTGCGACTGCCCACGCAGCTATTATATTGTTCAGGGTCTACGGCACGTTACCCCTGGATGGTTGTACCGGGACCACCACTGCGATCATTAGCAATTAATCCCCACTGCTCCGTTAGAAACTCTTAATAAACTATCAATTGGTACAAGCGATAACTAGTAAGTTCAATAGGCCCACTGCAGAACCTTCCATCAACCCTCGATCACCGACCACCGCGCATCTCTGCGTCCGAGTAGGCTTGGAGGCCACGGACAAAGTCTGTGTATTGCATGCCCGTCTTGGAATTAATGTGGCTGGACAGTCGTCATTGGTATCATATCCATCACAGGGGTGTTGGTTTATGCTTACAATATCTCCGTTGAGGAAAGTTGCCAGGGAGGATATCCGCAGAGCGTTAATTCCTGGCTACAGACAAACAGAAGATCTGTGCCATTCCCGGCAGCAACATGCAAGGAACGGTCGATCAGGTCTTCAGTAATTTCGTGTGGCGCCAGCCTTCCTGCATGGCATGCAGTAGCCAGTTCTCGCGTTAGATTCACCATGGCCTCACGGCTGTTATTAGAATCTAGCAACGTGATCTGAAACGTGCTCTCTGGTCCAACTGAGCCCGGCTTTGAAACATCAAGAGGAACATCCACTTGATGCTCAGCAAATATGTTCGTGACCTTGGTGTGCACGGCCGCCATCTGACTGCTAAAGAAACCTTTGGGCGTTTGCGTTAGCAGGCAATAGTTGTATTGAGGGCAGGTCCACTGGCAAAGCTACCTAGCCGATCGTAGATGGTGAGTTTTTGTATGCCAAAACGCACACACCAGAGAGCAATATCAGCGATATTGTCTAACATGTATTCATTTTCCGAAAATCCAACATTTCCCTTTGGAGTCAAGATACAACCCAGATGCGGGGGAAGTTTCTCAAAGGAGCTAGGATTGTTGTGCTTTGGATAGGAGAACAACATTATCACGGACCCCGGTAGTAGACTGGTATGACAACCACACGGAAAGGACAGAGTTGTATCCAATAATTATACTGTAAAAGTCGGTTGGAGTACACAGAGGATAGACAGTTCAATGACACATAGTCTTTAGGCACTAATGCAAGGGGCTTTCACTAGCCATCTGACTTATCAGTGTGGATTCCATCCAACCATTCTCCAGATGGGTCAAAACCTGGTACCCTCAATACTGATAACATGGCTATGAGTTAGAAAACGTGGAAACAAGCGGTGATAGATCATTGGTATTTTGTGGTAGGTCACCAAACTTCTGCGTGAGACCTGTCAGATAGCACAGTAAACAAACTTTACTTGGGGGACGCCCACTCCAAGGAGACGAAGATCCTTGCCTGATATGATCAGGGGTATACTTCATAGCGGGGACCTTTATGTGGAGCAAGGACCAGGAAAGAATTTTACATGTATACTTCGTATTTCAGACCAATCCTGACTGCTACAGCTTCTGTATGCGAATAAAACCAGGTCTTGCATTAACCGATACTTAACGCGAGAGGTCAATTCTTGTAGCATCCTCCTGCACAAGACTTAATTCTCACCGCTATACTCCAGATCAACAGCTCTATTGATTAAGATCTCCAATATGAAATGTTAATTCTAACTGAGGCTAGAGTACGCGCAATGGCGCACCGCTGGCCAAGTTTGAAGGTATTCTCATACACCCCACAAGCCGGACAGCCATGTTCTCAATTTCCACCGTAAAAGCATCGACACAACGGCAAAGCCTCTTAAACGAGGCCAGAATGTGTCCAGGATGAGAATTTTGGTTTCCTGATGGCACTGCCACAGGAGAAAATTGCTGAGACGGCTGACTCCAGAGGTTCGAATCAACAGGTCTAGTGGAGGATGGTCTGGGATGTGCATATTATTGGATAGGCTCTGGGCCGTTATGCTTTGCACACATTGGCATGTACCGTTCATTCGTTGGCTTGAGATGAAAGGGGTACTTTAAACGTTAGCCTTGACAATGGCCCATGAGGTGGACAGGGGAAATTACCTCTTTTCTCGCCAGCCATCCAGTGTACCGTCTTCTGCATCGACAACAATGACATGATCCTTAGGTCTCTCTAGAAATTGCACAACGGTGTTCCTGATTGCAGTTGTCATCTCATCCCTCGATGTGTATGCTAGGCAGAGATTGAAAACGTAGCCGTCCCCCTTCGAAGTGGCCGAAACTGCATTTCGAATGGCCTCTTTCACATCTGATGGAAGCATTTCGTGATTCCCAGGAACGTTGAACTTTGCATTCCACTTTGTGAGCAGACCATGCGGCCCCGTCAGCCGAGCTAAATGTATCTTAGCCAAGTCCATTAGTGCGTCCACCTCGGGCTTTGGGCGGTGAAAATTATCCAAGCTGAAAGCATACACTGTAACGGCACGAATTCCGATTTGGAAACATGTTTCCAGGTTCTAGTTGGTGAGAGATGTAGGTGGCAAAAGTGAATGAGAGCCTCGACTGACCTCTTCCAGTGCCATGAGCCCCAGCTCATGTCCCTTGGCTATCTCCATATTCGACGACTTCGCAAATCTTCTGTTGCCGTCCATTATAAACCCTATATGTCTAGGCGTCGGCCCGAAGCGCAGCAAATGAACACAAATGCATTTCGCCAGCCGGTGTAGGAACGAGAGAAGGAATGAGAAGATGACAAGGAGATTCATCTTGGTGGAAGATAGCTGGGCGATATCGCAACGTTTGGCTGTTAATTAGGTGTAGGATCATTTGGAGTTAATTCCACGTCGAGGAGGGCTCATTGCCAGCATTATATCAGCATTACGGAAGGGCAATGCGTACAGTGTCTCTTGATCTGCGAGGGCTATTGGTTAAGAGAAGAATAGTCTCAACCTACAGAGCGAATGGAGGAAGACTCTCCCCGGGTGGGGCAGTATCTGCAAGCACCCTTGACAGCTCTCATGAATCTTAAAGAAAAACAGTAACACCAACAATAATATTATGTGTCCTTTTATGGACACTAAAAGGAGAAAGAAAAAGGAGAGAAAATGAAAATCGAATTCGTTGCCATAGACCCTGTCCGTCTCCCGAAGTACGTTTATCCGACGATCAGTCATTTTCTACAGATGTCGTTTATTCGATCCCTGTGGTTATGGCATGTGGCAGAAGCGCCACGAATAGAGCTCCATGGCCACTGATACTATGCTTCAGATAGTTGAAGGATAGCCTACTCATATCCCACCCGGTCCATAACATTGTCTACTTAGGCAGGGCTAACCTGAACTAACTTTCCTACCCGTATTTATGATTCGCCAAACCTTTTCAGAGATTTTAGAAAATAAGGGAATCACAAGTGTGGTCATCCGTTTGTAAAGCTACAGTTCATTAGCGGCGAACACAATTCTCTTCCCTTCCTGTGCTGATAAACCCACTGACTTTCCGTATATCGGACGTACCAGGCAAGGTATCCATCCAGGTAGCAGGACGAGGAAAAGTTGATGAGCAGTCAGGAGGTTCCGGATACAGCTGATTGATTGCATCCATGGCGCCCTGGAGAGTCGTTGTTCGAGAAACATCATCTTTATCTCCCAGCTCATTGTAAACTTGATTTATCCTTGCGATTCCGCTCGATTCATGCAGGAGCTGGATTCGCAATAAAGGCTTTTCGTCATCCGATTGGAAGGGACTTATGCTTGATGAGAATAATATATCTGCCCGAGGAGCTGTTGGATACAATATTGGCTCTTCGCGGGCGAAAGTAAGGGGCCAGGTCTGCCCAGTAGATCCACGGATGACTCTGCCCGATGATGTAAATCTTTAAGAGCGCTTCTGTTGCTTTTGAAGTATATGGGGTACTTGTCTGGTGATAAATCGATTGACCTGGTATTCGTACGCAAATACACCAGTGTAATATCTAGATAATCCCCCGAACACCCTCCGAAGACTTTGGCAATATCACCCCCAACACCATCGGTCTCTTGTTAAGATTCAACATGCTGGATCGCAAGCTTTCTGGAATGGAGCGAGGAGAAAAGATAAATTATACCGGGCACGAAAGCAATACCCAAGCGTCACATCGAGTGAATATTAAAGCAAGGTACGTAGAGCTGTAGCTGTAGATGCTACTTCCATCATTCAAAAATAGCTAATTTTTAAAGATAGTCTGATAGTAAGTAGTCACTGGTACCGCGGTGCGCAAAAGAAAAAAAGTGCCAGGAACCGAAGATCATTTCGCATACGCTATATGATTGAGCGTCATTCTCTGAGCGCAAGCGTCCGATCAGAGAGATACCCGTATGTATTCGGCTAATCAACTTCTACGCGTGCTCTACAATTCACATCTCTTTCGTTAGAGTTATCTTTAGTAGCAAAACTAGTCTCAACTTCTTTATACTTCTTAACTATTGAGTATATATACTTAATAGATCTGGCCCTTTAGACTCGAGTCTAGTACTGTTAGCAGTTTTGTATCGACTGTATCCCTGAGACAACAGCAGTCTAGTAATAGCTTCTGTTCTGCCAAGACTGCAAGCCATTGACGATGGAAGTCAAAGATTAACTTCAGGTTAGCAACCCTGGACGCGTGATCTGCTAGCTGGTCTCAGACTTGACAACGAAGCCCCGGGTGTAACATATATTTACCACCAAAATATTGTTAACAGCCGGAGAGGATCTACCCCAGAGAAGATAAGATAAGGACGGCAACACAGAATAACACCTGATGACTAAATCTATGATCCAACTTAAGTCTATGAGGCATAAACAGTGTTTTCCTGGACATAGTCGCGGAACTCCCTCTTGCCTGAGTCCAATTGCCGACTGACCTGCTCCCAGCCTCGCTTATTGAAAAGTGACTCATGCTCGTTGTATGAAATATCGAACTCAATATGTTCTTGTGATCTCTTTTCGATATTGGTAATAACCGTGTCATCTGTGATATCAAAGAGAATAGTGCGGGTGTCTGCTGTCATGTCAGTTCAAAGCTAGCTTGTAAGTAGATTTGGATTATACTTACAAGATTTCACGTCTCTAATTTCCGGTATCCATTCGTACCGCTGGAGTATAATAAGCTGCGACAGACTATCCGGAATGTGGGCTTTCACTTCAATTGCTTTCACGACTTGTTCCACCACCCTCTCCAGAGTTTCAAGGACCTCGTCGTGCGGGGCAGCAAATCCTTCCAGCACTGCTCCGATCAAAGTAGGATGGAGATCGCTGACCGGGGATGAAATATGCTTCTGTACGGTTGAGTTGCCAAACTGTTGAAGCCTAAATTTTGATCAGTCACGAGGTCTAGTTTATCATTGATATAGATACCAGTCAACTTACCAAGGCGTACGTGAAATGTCGGCGTTGGCCACCCGAGCCACACACCCGGCACGCTTAGCAGTGGCTACCAGCGAGTCATCTTGAGGAAGGTTCTGGCTCTTGTCAACAGTAGCCCACCATCTCAGACTTGCCCAGCTGCGGTAGCTCAGAACCTCGCTTCGGTACTGATTCAATACCGACTGGGCTTCCCCGGGAATACTATTCGCTAGGTCGATGTAATGGATAGAGGGAACCACAGCTGTATCCTTTCTCGCTTTCTGTAAGGCCGCTTCGGGATCAGAGCTGTAAGGTAAAACGCTCAAACCCTCTTCTTGGGGCGGTGGGCAGACAACTGGAGCGCCAGACATTGTTAGGCTTGTCGTGACTGGGTTGTGTAGAAGAAATAAAAAAAAGAAAAAAGAAAAAGAAAAAGAAAAGAAGGGAAACTTGGAAGTGAAAGTCAGCTCCGGGCTGTAGACGACTTTAAAATCTGAATAGCTACATGTTTCACCCGGAATGGACGGACTTTTTATATCCTAGCCGAGTTATCAGAGCTGAAAACAAGTTGAGCACGCTGTAAAATTCTCTACCTCGGTATGATGTGCATTACGACTCAGCTGAAAAGTTTGTGGGGCTAGCTGAGATCAGCGCCGCAATGGTTATGCTAAAGATTTTGTTGATCTCTGTGAAGCACTTCGCTTAAAGATGGTGGGTGGAATCCTGAGCTCAGCTCACCGTTTCAGCTCACCAATCCAAAGCCGTGCTAGGATCTCCCAATCATCCACGGCACTTCTGGAAACCTCAGTGGGACCCTTATCTGGCAATTGCGATCTGCACTCCTACTTGTGGAACCTCGTCTCCGTAAAATAGTAGGTTTCTCACCAGTGCTCGCGCTGATCTAGACGATTAGTAGCTACACAGAAGTACACGGCATTCGATCACAGGCATGCAGGATCAAAGGAGGACAGAGTAATTCAGCGGCTGGCGTGCAGTTCTTTTCAGTATAAATTAAACTGGTAATAACTAAACCAGAGACTGGATTATTCCCGTGCTCAAACTATATTTACTCTCTCTTCTCTTGGCATGCGTAAATTCGCAACCAAGAGACTGTCAAGGTCTCAGCCGGATTTCGAGTCCACAGGTCATGTGCACCTTAGACAACGTCGGGTGCCCTGTGACAGCGTAGCGTAACTGGGTTGCCTCAGGCAACAATTACCCCGCCGCCAGTGAGTGCACTGAACTCCGGATAATCCTAACTGGTATAGACAATCACCAACAGCACTGACGAATTTAGAAATATCTAGCGCCTCACGATTGACAAGGATATCGGCACCAATCGAGCCTTGCATCATACCAGAAATCGACAGAGACGGAGAGGTTGAATCCTTCCACTGACTTGGCCTCATGGCCTACGAGTTGTGGCTAACAGACCACTCCAGTACGATTGGTAGTATACTCAGTGGTCTCTCAACTTGTATTTTAATACTATCTCATTACTAGAGAAGTGGAGAAGATTTGTTACAGTAGTATTTAATAATATTATAATAGATCTAAATCGTAGTATAACAGAATTTGTTAGGTATTATCCACTAGATACGGCTTTAGATATTTGATAGCTATATCTAGGGATGCGCAGCCACTGCTACCTGACGTCGGTTAAACCTCAAATGGGAGAAATAGTATTAGGTTCTTTCTGGCTTTTTACTTGAATAACCGTATACCACTTGGGGTTTTTTTTTTTTTTTTTTTTTTACATGGTTATTTAGATGATTCGCTAGTATTACGGTGACTCTTCACGATGTAATGTTATACGGCTCGCTCGGTAAGGTATATCGACCGTCTTTCTTATATCTAGAGATTTTACGGTATAGATAAACTGCATTATCTTAAATCCTAATTCAAAACACAGTCCATTTTGTGCTCAGTACGCGACATTTGTCGATTCATTATGCCGAGTAATCTATTTTCGTACCGGTTTAGCCAAGGATTCATTTTTGTATCACGATAGTGACCCCTGTCAAGAGCCGAAACAAACCTTTCATGCACCAGCTGCATACTGGTTGCATGCTTATTGGTCTGTTTCATCGACTGTACATGTAACGCTACCCTGAATAACGGTCATTATCGAATGGTGTCAACACCGGTACATGTCAAAACCGTATAGCAACGTTGGTTAGGCTAGTCCAACCAAGATTCGGAACCACGAAACACTCAAAAAGAATATAGATATCGAAGAGCTTCGTTCGCTTTATGCTCTTTTATTGGAGCATAGTACCAGCTTCTCCCTGAACCGTAATTTTGTATCCTTGTTGAAACAACCCCCTTTCTGATGGCAGAGTTGAATTTGAGGTATGTATGCACTATGCCCTCAGGCACCTTGGCACATATTATTGAACCACTTTCAAGAAATTATGAGCTTCCACACTGTTGGGATCCTCAGGCGTCTCCAACACCCGCAAGGACTAGCTATCCGCATGCCGGGAATCTCAATATGGCGCATATCATGTCGCACAACATGGTGCTTCATGGGAAGACATTTCTATAAGGCTGAAGTTATCGAAGAGTATGTGCTGATCGTAATTGCTCTGCGTACTTCTACTATTATCATGGAGTCTAGGGTTAGGCCTTGTCTATCTTCAGCCACTCACTCCTTTAGCTGTGCGGTGACGACTTCTGGCCAATCTGGCTGAGAAAGGCGGGACCGGTGAGCGCTAAGCTTTCTTTCATGTTACTATACAAACAACTGTTATCGTACATTGATATATAAAATCGTAGTCTCCAATGCACCTGGTGAATATTACAAGCCCCCTTTTATTTGAGCTCGTCTGAATGTAGTGGAGTTGTACTCATGGAGACAGAGCTGGACTTGAGGTACACCAATGCTAGGGGCCCGAATATACAAACTGCAACGGAAATTCTCTTATTAAATTCTATATACATGACATTCCCTCCGATTTCTGGGAATTAGAAAAAGGATACTCCATATTTGATTGTAATCAGTGGTCCTGCAATCCAATGCTACGGAGGCGTCCATACCAAGGGTTGCAGCTCAGTTGCAACTGTTCATGTGTGAGTCAGCTTGGCTCTAATTCTATCCCCAAACCAATAAAACCCATATGGAACAAGCACCATCGCCACTCCAATAAAGGCCAATAGCCACGACGCCCATTGCAACCCCAGCCGGTTATACATCTGGGTTGTGAACAGCGGAAACGCAGCTCCGCCACCTGACCGCAAAAAGACCTTCGCGGCCAGCGCCGACGCCGCGTACTTCTGATACGAGTCGATGATATAATTATTCACGGCGTAGTAACACAGCACCATTCCGAATCCAAAAGCGATGCCAGAGGACGCTGGGCCAACCCAGATGATATGCTTGAACGACGTCGCGCCGAGAATAAACATCGCAATGGGGATGAACGGTGCACCGAGTAAGGCCCCAACAAGACGATCTTCGGGCGTGGGCACCCGCGTCCGACACACGTGCTTGAAACGCTTCTCGATCATGGGCGTGATGAGGAGGGAGAAGCCCGCGCCAATTAAGATAGGAATGAACATGAGGCCGATCTGGCCATCATTGTACCCGTACAGTTTGCCAAAAACGACCGGGTAGGCGAAAAAGTAAGCATAAAGATAGGCGTAGATGAGCACGATGTACATGCACATCAAATCGAGCACAGGTTCCGTTAAAATCATCGTAATGGGTCGGATGAGACTGATGCGGACGATGTCGCGGAAAGTTGGCTTGGCTTGCTCCTGCTCGGTGATGATATTCACGTTGCCGGTTTCCTGGCGAAGTTTCTTTGCCCGGCGCTGGAGGATAACCGGCGCATATGTCTCTGGAATGAGCCCGACGATAATCATCATCGCTCCTGCGAAAGCCATGTTGGTCCAGAAGAAGAGATCGAGCCGATGGGAGCCGACATTGATCCAGCCGCAGACTATGGGGCCAATGACGGGGCCACAATATGGTGCGGCAGCAAAGTAGGCAATGGCCATACCGCGTTCTTCAAGGTTCCAGATATCGGCAATGGTCCCGCCAGCCAGGGAAAGACCAGAACTGGAGAAGACGCCGCACAGAAACCTGCAGGCCAGGAGGCCACCGATATTGGGCGATAGGGCGCACGGGATCTGGAATATGGTATATAGCGCCAGCGAGATAATGTATACTGGCTGTCGACCTATGATTTCGGATAAAGGAGACCAGAGTAATGGGCCCACAGCAAACCCGCAAACCATGATGGAACATGTCAGGGTAGCCACTTCCAGAGAGACGTGATACTTTTCTTCGATCAAGCCCAGGCCCCCAGTGACAATCGAAGAGCCATAGGCAATGCAGACCACCAGGGCCGACACGACCATCGTGATATACCAACGATACAAACGAGACCAATTAAATGGGTTGGCCGGGTCGTTAATCTGGAAAGTCACAAATTCGTACGGCTTACTTGCCTTTTCGACATTGAGAGTTGAAGGCCGTGGCGCTCCGATGGCAGTAGACCGGATGCTCTCAAGAGTCCTCACTGGAACCAAGCCTGTTTGTGTCTCAACAGTGTATTCTTCCGGGAAGAGAGGCTCTGCTGGACGCCCAAGTTCAGGATAGTTGACACCCAGTGGTGGACAATCTTCCGTCACTCTCGACGCTTGAAGAGTCTCCCGTGTTTCTGTCCTCAGCGTATTGAGACCGACTGTTTGGGTTTCATCAGACGACTCTTGCGACATGATGAGCGCGTGGAATGTGAAATATAAGCTTTATGAGTGAGAATGCAGAAATGAGGTGCAGAGTCTTGAATGTAATTGAAACGGGTAGATATGTGCTATATAGTCCGACAACAGATGGCCATTTCAACATTCCCAGCATGGCTCAGCATATATATTTCTTCGGTTGACGATGGTTATATAGTATTTAAATCGCCAGCACAATGCTTAACCGCATCCCGCCGATCCGAGATTAATTGATTGCCGAGTAATGACCTTTAACCCTGTATTTTGATTTGTTAGCTGGGTAAGCTCGTTGAAGTGGAGTACGCTATGTGGATGCACTATTACAGTAGCGTGGGAGAAACCTCGGCACCGAGAAAGCTACGAAGTAACAGCCAGCATCTTTCTGTGCTTTATCGCAGTCCATGGGAATTAGCGTTTCCTTTACAAGTCAAGGATGGCCTTGGCCTGGATCTCCAATGCCCACGCCGGACACCGAATTTTTAGAGAATCTGCCACAGATCTTTGTCTGACGTTTGCAGAGAACGTGAAATGCGTTCACCCGTCTGAGTAACGCAGTGATATGGATGTTACCAGTAGATGAGGGATTTAACCGGGTAGCAATCCCGTTGGATATAGTGGGGACATCCAGTGGGCCGTCACTATTGATAGGTAAACGCGTCTCCAACACCGAATCTTCGCCAGTCTAGAACAGAAAGCTTCTATAGTCCGAGATCCATCATCGCCCGGTCCAGCGGATACTCATATCGTTCCAAACCGTGTGATCCCGTCATTACAGTCTCAGCATTTCCAAATTTGCGGGAATTTGGTTGTAAAGTTGAGTCATGTAAACGTCGTCCTTTTGGAAATTCGTCCCCTTGTAGCTACAACACGCAAAGGATTAGAAACCCATTTCGACCTGTATTAAGCCATGTCACTGGAAAGAGTGACGCAACATGATATGATTTTTCCTTTGTGTCAGCTTGCCAGACTTGTGGGGCCTAGCATATCCTAGTTAGCTGTTGGTTGCTGAGTAAGAGCGATGATCTTCAATAGATCCCAGGAGAGTAAATTAAACAGCAGTAGGGTCAACAATACCTTAGCCACACTTGGATGTTGCAGAGGGAGGTAAGTCGATACCTAAATCCAACCGCCGCAGAGCGCTAATGATACGATTTAACCGACATTTCAATGAAGGCTATCGCATGTGGATATCGGTTCGCGGCCCAACATGATGTCTTTTGACCAGAGAAAGACACCCCCCGCACAGTGTTCAGGTGGGATCTCTAGCCAGGATCTACTATGAAATGTGATTATAGCAGCACTGATACGGATGCAGCAATAGTGACAGCAAATAGAATATCCAGAATGGAGCGACTGTTGAGCCAAGCGAGCTACGAAGCAGATACGCTCCAGCAGCACGCACGGGAAATGGCCGCATGCAACGAACATAAAGAGCGTGTTATTCTTGGACTGCTACGGGAAAAAGAAGCCCTATTGCGAAAGATTGAGCGGCTTGAAGCAGACAGCCAAGCCTGGCAATTGCAGAAAGCCATGGTCGAAGGGCAGCTTGAGCTGCAAAAATACAAGATTCAATGTACTTCCTCGGAGAAAGTTGGGACATACTAGAGCTCTAGGCAGGAGGTGCTCAAAATTGAACATGTAACAAGATCGGCTGCCACAGAGACCAAATGAGCAGTTCACAATTTCGGAGGTTTTGTGTAGACTTTTGGTAAAGCTTCTTCCTTTGCGTCTATAACATTTAGCAGCGGCGGAAAGTTGGCAATATGCTTCAGTCTAGCTATTTTATAAAGATGATTATTACAGTTCAAGGGAAGCTCAGTGAACAGTTACTTTTCAATAGACTTGGATCGTACACATAAATGCTGGGATTCATTGGAAAACGGCTTTTGTAGAGACAAAAATCTGCTCTGTACTGGAAGATCATTGCGTTACTTTCAGTGAGGCCACAAAGAATGAAGTAGGGCCCACCCATCACCTGTAGGCAAGAGTCGCAAATAGTATGATACTCCGTTTGGCTATTATAATATATCAAACCAATTCTATAAGACCGTAAAAAGCATACCAAAGGATATACCATAAGCCAGTGGGGCTGGCTGATTTGAGGGTTCAGAGTCAAAAGAGTACTAATGATGTGATTGCTTCTGTCGGCCGAAAAATCCCTCGGCTCGTCGCGGCTGCTGAGGTGAGACTGGTTCACCTATCACGATCGCCTCTCTGTCAGGAGTAGTATAGATTTACTCTCGGTCTGTGTTGATAACGAAGCTGCTAGGAAATGTATGGAAAAAATACCTCAATCCTTTATCGGTAGAGGATCCACATGTCTCTATAATTCTATTCTAATTTTCATATGCAAAAACCAAGTTCAGGAAGAGAGAGGGAAGAACCAATGAAGCTGAGCCACAGGACCTTCAACTCAGCATCATCTACTGCCGCACACTTCCTCGGTGGTTGGGCTAGGGGAATCTATTCTGAAAGGCTGTGTGACAGAAAGCTCAGGATATCACTTGATCCTTATGTATGGGAGCGACTGGCTAAAGAGCGTCTCTCAGCAGATAGTTTCGGATATGTCTGGGGTACTGCTAGGGCGAGAGAAACGAACTATAACAATTGAAAGGCTTTCAAAAAATGGGGGATGGTACCGTCCCATCTGATGAAGTCTGACTTTCCTGTTTACAAACCACGTTGTTTGGTAAGGGCTATGAGTATCCAATTGCGGTCGCACCAGCCTGGGTTATGCGGATATTCCACCGTAATGGCGAGCTTGCTGATGTGTGACAATCAGCCTTCTCATCTTTCAATGCTGGGCCTCCCACATTCTACTAGTAGCAGCAAGTTATCCGTAAAGCCAAGGTTGCGAAACAAACTCGATTCTGGACCCCAAAATGGCATCATCCACCCTTTGTGCATGTGATATACCCACTTTATCAAAGCCAGGCTTCATAGACTTGAATAGCTAGGCCGTAGCTACCGGTGTTTGTGTGGGTTCTAATAGCTTAGTGGCTTGGAAGGCATTCGAAATTCAGTAGTGGTATCCAAAGATTAACCCCCAAAAGATAACAACCGCACAGAAGCCATATACCGGGAGATTAGTACTTGGGTGGGTGATCACCAGTGAATTGCTTCTGCTGTGTGTATCGTTTTCTTTTTTTTTTTTTGTTTGCTGTATATCTATACGTCTTTTTTTATTAATCAATAGGCTCTGGTCTATTTATAGTATAATTCTTCCCTATATAACCCACTGCTGCTGTAGAGTATGGAGCTAGGAATATGAACAAGTTGAAAAAATAGACATATATTTAATCGGCAACTAAATTACACGTTATATATATACGGACACGTGAGAGAAACCGCAATGTAATGGATTATTACCTCTATCCTTCCTAATGTGCGGTAACATTAACTTCTGTACCTTCTGCAATCGTGTCTTGTACGTAGATATCCTGCATTTGACTGTTAAACTACGGTGAAGTTGGACTTTTCTATCCGTAGAGTAAAAGAAGGGTCTTGTGCTTTTATTTTATTTTGTATTTTTTCTTTATTAGACTATTTTTGCTTGCGATGACTCCTGCAACAACATCTTCAATCGTATGTCACGCATATTGAAGAAACTCAGTTGCAAAAACTCACATGGCGAAGCCAAGTGTTGGCTGAGGTGACAACTTGTTGGGAAACGGAAGCTATTGCTCTCGTGGTAAAAGGATAAGATGCTGTAAGAGACACCTTAAGCAGGGAGTGGGAAGTTATAGTAACTAGTCGTTTCTTTCAGATGCTAAAGTTACAAGTCCCAGATAGTTTCTATTCATGCCATTACCTCACTCGCACAATATTCTGCCACGTTAATACTCTGCAGTATGGTGAGGAAGATCGGCAGCTTACACAAGGGGGACACATTGCAAAAGGGAGCGCATCTTGGTAGGTGAGCTGGCCAACGGCCTGGCCGTTAAGTATAAAGGATGACTGTATAGTGAATGAAGAACGTGTGGCCAGCCAACCTCGCTGCAGCTATGTACAATTGCTTAATTCGGAGAGCAGGGGATATTGATCCCGATGAACTCCTTTTAAAGGTTCTCTCATCTGGAGTCAACTAAATCTGCGTTCTACTTATATGGCAGAATAACCACTAAAACGTCAACTCCTCCCCTTACTCGATTGATATATTGGATGATCAATCCCGTTAATATAAGTTGAGGTGATGTACGGTACTATCTCCGTGGGCCTGTGTTTCACTGGACGTTTTCAAATTCCGGAATAAAACTAAAGCCAAGGCTATAAACTGGCCTAGATGTTGAATCTACCGCCAGATTACTAATAAATGTAATAAAGACAAATGCACACGTTTCAAATCCTGTCCAGCTTCACTCCTTGGGCCGCATGCTCTTAATGTTCCCATGGGTTAACAAGTCATAGTATCCACCTAGTTGGGGAAGACTTCGATTTCGGATCCTAGTTGTCGGGGAATACAATGCGATCAGGGTCGGCAGATTGAGGTTCAGGTTCCCGGGCGCCGAGACACTCAGCGGCACTATTGTAGACGCTGCCATCCTCGTCGGTGTAGGGGAACTTCATGATGTCATTGGTACAGTAATACTTCGTTCCAACACAGCGCTCACTGCCGCGGTCGAAGGTCATGCACGAAGTGTCGCTGTCGGGTGCGGGCTGAAGGAATGGCTTCTTGGCCTTCGGCTCTTGGGCTGGCAGATCCTGCTTCTTCTGGGTTTGATCATCAGTGAAGATTATGCAAACGTAGGTGGTGATGATCTACCTTGGCATCTACAGGAGCATCCTCTCTGTCAGACAAACATTCCTTCTCGTCGGTATATTGACCCTGCGGGTAAAGTTCCTCACGGCAGAAAAGTGCAGTGCCATAACATCTTTCCTCCGGAGTGAGAGCATATGCGCAGTCAAAACCGGTACCTTTCATCCAGGGGAGTTTAGGTGCATCAGCGGGACGACGCTCTCTTTGAGCAAGGCACTTTTCACGAGAGCCAAACTCTTTCTTGCGTTGCGCCTCGAGGTTACACCACCCAATCGTTCCCATACAGTCTTCCGTCAATGCCAGACATACACTACCCTTCTTCCAGGGCAGCTTTCCCTCTGTTTGCTGTGTCTGTTGGATCCACTGTCAACAGACTGTACGGAGTATGAGTCTCAAGCATAGGAAAGACGAACCTGAGGGCCTGGAAGGGCTAGGACGAGTGGTAACAGAGTCGAGAAGATAACGGCCTTCATTTTGTTTAATCAACGAAAGGGGTGAAGGGTTGCAGATCAGAGAATGAACACTTCTGGTTTATGTGTGTGTGTGTGTGTGTGTGTGTGTAGATTGAGATGCTCCTGGGCGACTTCCATGCCATTATATATCTTCTACCGTCATAGATATAGACCTCATTTTAGCTGAATCGATCAGTAAGATCCACAACATGCGGTAATTATGTGTCAGCTGGAGTCCCAATGTCGTAGCACTTTGTATCGTCATGGCATACCTTTGCCTTTCGTTGAAGATAACAGATCCGGTAAGTTGTCGTGCGGTTGACATGATAGCCTTGGCAATGCGCCATCGGCTAAGCCACATGTTTTACGTACTGGGTCGAATCCCATATATGTATAGACTTTAAAGTTTCCGATACTATGCCTAGGAGTTATGCTTTTAAGATCGATTAGCTAAAATGTCTTAGAGTCGTGTGACAACACCCTTCCTTAGTGTCATCGATCGCCGAGCCAAGTCCAACCAAGGCCTCGCTTGGGTGGAGAATGAATATCCTTGCCGCAGTGTTCTAGAACGAACAAGGTATATCCAGGCATCCAAATTCTTCCCAACATATTAGACTATGTGCACTAGCGTCAGAATGTTGCAAAGGGACAATGGGGCTATGCTCTGTTCCCATCATCCTTTTCTAACCCCAAGCGTTGGCCGATAGACTTCATGCAAGCCGGATTTTCGACGCCCCAATCAGGGCTCTGTAGGCCTCAAAAAGGTACGACATCTATACAGGCCATGTTTTTACATGCGATAAATATATAATATTATATCAGCTGTAGACAGCGACCTTCCCTTCCTATGGTGGGCAACAGGGAGAATTGCAACCTAGGCTATTCACCAACAGGCGGAGCATGTAATCTCAGGTACCAGACACTGCTTTGCCAAGCTCTTCTTCTAAGACCCACTTGGTTACAAATGCGCGGAAGATAATTCCGCTCGAATGCGTTTGAGCTCTTGGGTTGCATTAGCCATAGTGAAACCCCACAGAGAGATAGTGTTCTTTGCATTCTATTTTTGACCGCCTTCTAGGACTTGATCGGGAGTCATGCAGTACAAGGTTGGGAATCAAGTCTAGAACCATCCTTGAACAACATTCTAGGCATTTGTAGCGTCTGAAGATAAGCCACCCATGGGCTGTTTTGAGCCTCTTGTTTTTGGGGGGAATAGTGTCAAACCGTACCGGGCTTTACCCCTAGCGCGGTTGGTAGGTGTTAGGGAGGCTTGGTCCCGTCACACTAGCGGCGTTATCAAAGAGTAAGCTTTAGGATTCCGGGTCAGTATACATTCTAATGAATGCAGCGTTGTACATAGAAGAGGAATGACATATTGCTTCTACATGTAGACTGAACTGACATGATGCTCTGTCCTGTATGTGTGGTAGCCGTGATCTTCCTGAATGTTTACATTGCCATGGATATTTATCCCTCAGTTCGAAAAATGGATAAGGTTTGCCTTGGCATGTTGCAAAACGTGGTTTTTATACCCTCAAACCCTACCCTCCCGTCTAGGCATTTTCAACGACATTACAAATACAAGATCGTGTAACTAGGGCTCATTGATTTGTTTCAGAAGAAGTCAAGGGAAGTCATTGGATCTCTGAAATCGGCTGATCCTCCCCACCAGTGTCTTGGGTTACTGGATAGGCCAGACCACGTTGCTCAAGTATTTCCGGTTCCAAAATTTGGGCTCTGGCCGTTAATGAAGTGGGTCTACGCAGACCGCTACTACGAGAGGGTAAAAAATCTCTAATACCAGACTAGTTTGTCAAAACCCTGTCCCTTATAGTGGGGAAAATGCCAATTTAATTGATCACGCCTATATTCTATGATTTCCGGCTTAGATGCGGCCGGTAGTTGGGTGGGCAAAGCAAAGTGTATACTAGTTTGGATTTAATATATACGGAATTTGTTAAATTAAACGAGCACCTTGTGCGAATTCAACTTAATGTTGCCGATGGGTTTGACGTTCCATCCACCCCTTTTGCTCAATCCCAGTTGTCTTCGAGGTGTTTTCCGAATCACACCACGCTCGCTGTCACGGTCTCATCATGCATGGCCGTGCTCTCCTTCTCTTCTAGACCTTTATGTTCGATCTGCTGCGCTAATACGCTGGCCTCGGTGACGCGGTACTCGGATCTGCTTGTGTTACCGACGAACCACGGAGTTTCAGTGAACAGTTTCTTCATCTCCTCGAGGGGCAACTGTTTGGTCTCAGGAAGCATGGCCCAAAAGAAGACGGCATTTGTGAAGTTGCAGACCTGAATGTGACATGTCAATTACCAGTGAAGCATCCTCCCAGGGTATATTGATATAAGAATGGATACTAACCGCAAAGAGGATGTAGAACTTCCACCCAGAATTGGCCATTCCAATAGGTGTCACTTGGCCAATCATTGTGCTTTTAAAAAGCGGGAGAATTAGCTTTCAGCCAAACGCAGGGCTCAAAGACATACTTGAACGCGAATGATACCATACAGCCTAAAGCTACACCCTTGGCTCGGGTTGCGGTATCGAAAATTTCCGCAGGGATCATCCAGGCTACGGAAAGGTCATGAGCGACTTCTGCGATTGAATAAAAGAGAAAATGGAAGGACTGGGAAGGTAGAAGGGACATACACAGCGAACCCATACTGGCGTAACAGAAATTATATAGCCATGTCATTATAATAAAACCCCAATGGGCACCGGTGTTGTTCACTGTGGGAGGGAACCGGGCGAGGAGAATCGTGCTGATCACATATGTGAGGCACATGGCCAGGTTCCCACCCACGACCAGTTTACGACGACCCATCTTATCGACGACGAGCATTAAAAGGAATTCACCGACAAGGCCGATGATCGAGTTGATAGCTTGGTATTTCAGGGTGTCTGTTCCATCAATGCCGATTTGTTTCTGATGAAGAATGACGATCAGTAACGTGCCTAGATAGTGAAAAAGGCGGTCTCACAAAAATGGTGACGGAGTAATACTGAATCGCAGACACGCCTGTCATTTGGGCACCAGCTTGCATGGCGCACGCCAGTAACAGGCGACGGAAAATGGACTTTTCGGTGATCCAGTCTAGGAACTTGACCTGGCTATGCTCCTTCTGTGCAGCAACCTGAGTTTTGATCTGTTCGAACTCGGCGAGAATCCATGGATCGGATGTATCACCGCAGGAATGTAGTCGCGCCAGGGTCTGTAGACCCCTCTCGACCTGGCCCTGGCTAATGAGCCATCGAGGGGATTCGGGGAAAAGAAAAATCAGAGCAGATAGGAGACCAGCTGGCACGACTTGAATCCCCAACGGTATGCGCCATTGCCGGTTGTCCGAGAAACTGACGTACGTGCCATAGCTGATCCAACTTCCGCAGACGCCGCCAATACCGAGCATGAACTGCTGTAGGCCGGTTACTAAACCTCGGATCTCGGGGTGTACTAATTCCGCCTGGTAGATGGGAATGATCATGGTAAGAACACCGATACTCATGGCTGTCAGTTATTAAACCGAAGTTCACACACAAAGGAAAGATTTGCGAGGGGAACTCACGACATGCCCGCTATGAAGCGGCCTCCTAAGATGTAGGCATAGTTTTGTGCACCAGACTGTAATGCACCTCCTAGGCAAAAGATCAGGCCGCCAGCTAAGATGGTTGCTCGGCGGCCAAAGTAGTCCGAGCATGGATATGCTATCCCAGCGCCGACCACGGCACCTGCCGTGAGCAGCGATGCCACCAGGCCAACTTGGGTAGTACTCGGGCTGAAGGAACTCAGAAAGGAGCCACTAGATACCACTAACACAGAGAAAGAGAAAGACTCGTCAGTTCCACCAAGCAAATGGGGACAGAGGTGCTCGGAATTGCTTAGCTTACCCTCAGCCACGATGGTCAGGTCATATCCATAGAGAAACGATCCAAGGGCAGCAAATGTGCCCACCAAAAACTGGTATACCTTAGGAGGAAAAGGCATCTTGTGATTTCCCAGATCTGAAATGATCTTGAGCATAGGTAAATGATGAGAAGCTTTGCCTGCCACCAAAAATCGAGGGATAACCCCAGAATTTAAGGCATGTAGATCTCCATGCGGGGGATCTCAGCCGATCCCTGGTGTGGGATGAAGACTTTGGATGACAACAGTCAATGCAGAACTCAAGATGCGATCATCATTTGGTCCCACTAGTCCGGAGTAATGTGGGGTTGGCCTTCTTTACGCGGAGAGGCCATTGAACTGCATAGCGATTTAATATAAGACCAGTTCCTTACTCGGAAACGTTCCGGCGGTCCCTACACGAACGGCGGAAAATCGACCAATCACGAGGCCCAAACTCCGCAACCATTTGACCCTAATGGTCCATTCGTATGATCCAGACAATAACTCAAGAGCTGATCAACTTGAACGAGACGCTCTTCGACAGTTTCGGGATAATAGACAGCGAGATTTGGGGAAGTCAACGTCAGCTCATGGAGTAGTACCTGTTGACCTCTCCCCATGTCGCAGTTTTGCGTTTTTCTTTTTTTAAATCCGTCTTCTGGAGAGAAAAACCAAAGTGTATGTCAGGATCACCACCCAAAATGGCTGAGATTACTGCACTGCGTTTTGAACAGCACTCGACGGGTCTGGGCATACAATGCTCTTCGCCTCGTATCTCATGGACCTTTTGCCCTATTGACGACTCTATCTGCGACTGGACACAATCTCAATATGAGATATCGGTGTACCGTGAAGCCGGACCACCGGCCGAGTTCATTGTCGATAGCCATACGTCAGCCCTAGTTCCATGGCCTGCCGCCCCATTACAATCTCGAGAACGAGCCCATGTTCGAGTTCGAGTGTGTGGTATTTGGATGGATAGAGCAACCAAGCGCAAACACTCAGGTTGGTCTGCCTGGTCTTCGTGGGGAGCAGTTGAATGCGGCCTCCTAAGTCGGCAGGATTGGAATGCAGTACCCATCTCTTCGTCTTTCATTCAAGCGAGTCATGGAGATGAGCCACTGAGGCCGTTGCTCTTCCGAAAATCATTTATATTGCCGGCCACATTTAAGTCTTTGCATCGGGCGCGACTGTATATCACGGCATTAGGGGTCTATCGGGCCTATATCAACGGATCAAGGGTCGGGGATCATGAAATGGCGCCCGGGTGGACAAGCTACCGTCATCGCCTTGCATATCAAGTGTTTGATATTGACTCATTGATCAATCCAAATTGCAATAATGTGCTGAGCATCGAAGTCGCCGAAGGCTGGTTCGCTGGCCGACTTGGATTTAGTGGTGGCAAGCGAAATATCTATGGAAATTGCATGGCCGTTATGGCCCAGTTGGAGGTCGACGGGATCAGAGGCGAGAAATTCCAGGTCACGTCAGACAGCAGCTGGAAGTGCCACCGGAGTCCTATCATGAGCAGTGAAATCTACAATGGCGAATTGTATGATGCGAGAGCCGAAGTGGGCGACTGGAACCGACATGGTCCGCAGTACCTCGATGAGAACTGGGAGAAAGTTTCCGTTCTAGAATTTCCTAGCGCTCGACTATACGCCCCAAACGCCCCTCCAGCACGAATCACGGAGTGTTTGACTCCTCGGGAGATCTTTACCACCCCGAGCGGTCGGTTGGTTGTTGACTTTGGTCAGAACCTAGTCGGCAAACTTCTCATACATTCCATGACTCTGCCCCTGGATACAATTGTAAGATTCACACACGCCGAAGTGATGGACACCGACGGGGAAGTGGGAACACGACCACTTCGCGGTGCAAAATGCGTCGACACGATCATATCATCTGGGCAGAAATTAGTCGATTGGTCACCAAAATACACATTTCATGGCTTTCGATACGTGCAGGTGGATGGGTGGGATCCTCGAACCGCGCCGGACTGGCGGACGAACATCAGGGCGCTAGTGATTCATACCGATTTCAGACGGACAGGGCGGTTTGAATGTTCTAACCCGCTCATCAATCAATTGCATAAGAATGCCTGCTGGAGTATGCGCGGGAACTTCTTGTCCCTCCCAACAGATTGCCCTCAACGGGACGAACGACTTGGATGGACGGGAGATATCCAGATTTTCGGTCCATCCGCGACGTTTCTCTATGACTCCACCGCTATGCTCTCCGAGTGGATGGAAGATGTAGCTTGCGAGCAGTCAGATTACCATGGCGTTCCGCCTCTCGTGGTCCCCAATATTCTGGACCATGTCTGGCCTTCAATTCCCCAAGCCGTCTGGGGTGATGTGGTGATCATTCTTCCCTGGATATTATACCTTTCGTCTGGCGATCGAGACATTTTACAGCGACAATACTCCAGTATGGCCATGTGGCTTGACCAAGGAGTTCGGCGAGGGAAGGATGGATTGTGGGATCCTCAGCTATGGCAATTGGGCGACTGGCTCGACCCTCAGGCGCCACCGGACGAGCCAGGGGACTGCCGAACCAACGGCACTCTGGTGGCAGATGCATATCTTGTTCATGTCACATCGCTTATGGTCAAGATTAGCACCGCCATCGGTCGGGATACGGAGAGTGCACACTACAGGCAAGAGGCTCAACTTCTCCGTAGCCTTTTCCGAGAGAGGTACATCACGTCATCTGGCCTGGTAGTTGGAGATTCTCAGACCGCATACTCCTTAACTATAGTCTTTGGTCTTTTATCCGGCAAGGATCAGCTTTCTATGGCTAGCTCTCAGCTTGCCGACCGGGTGCGTATAGCAAAGTTCCGTGTAGCCACCGGCTTTGCCGGTACGCCCATCATTTTACGGGCTTTGACGGAGTCTGATAACCTGTCACTGGCTTATCGAATGCTCCTGGAAGAGCGCTGTCCGTCGTGGCTATATCCTATTACTATGGGTGCTACCACGGTCTGGGAACGATGGGACAGCATGCTTCCAGATGGCTCTATTAACCCCGGTGAAATGACTTCTTTCAACCATTATGCCCTGGGCTCTGTGGTCGCCTGGCTCCATGACACTGTGGGTGGCTTGCGGCCACTTGAAGCTGGCTGGAAGTCTGCACTGGTATCTCCAAAGCCCGGGGGTTCCTTGACTCATGCCACTGTATCCTACGAAAGCGTCTACGGCCACTGGAGCTGCACGTGGAAACTGGTTCCTAATGCAGATCGAGATGAAGGAATGGCTCTCTGCCTAGACCTGGTTGTCCCGCCAAACTGCCAGGCATTAGTACAGATTCAAGCCGCTGAAGATGGATCTGGTGATATGGAGAAGAGGGTGGGCTCGGGGAGGCATCAGTGGAAAATTCCCTTCAGCCCTAGGCCATGGCCACCTCACGCGACTGCCCCATTCATAACAAATCCGGGGCAAGGCTTATAGATTAGTATATAACTTACACTAGTGATCAAAGCACCCCAGTATTTCCAGTAGTTCAAGATTCTGTACAACATATATCTCAGTCTACATCTCTTTTACTAGCCTTGAGCCTATCACACTAGTTCCACTGGTGATATTCAAACTAGATAATATTGTAAAAATCGTTGGAAGAAAGCATTCCCGGTCTTCTGAAGGAGCCCCATCCCACTCGGTGATTTGCAGTTTTGGGACAGGGCAAGTCTCCCCGTATTTACACTTTTTATTCATGATTCGCATTTCTCAACACCCCTGATAGTGGACCCAGGGCACTGCGGGGGAGTGGATCTGGTGACTGCAACCTTGGAAGCCTCCTCGGAACAGCTCTGACCGAACATTTCACAGTATTGGGCAATGCTGGGGTAGTGTCTCATTGGGCCTTTATTCCATGTGACTATACTGTCACAGGAGCCCCCCCCCGTCAGGCATTTCGGACCATGCGGGGAGAGCATTTCAGGGGTCGCTCTGCACCTAGCTGTATATATAAAGCAGTTCCCGCGACTTCTGTGGCTCATTAGATCAGACCCAGTTCTCTGTCTTATCGAACTCACCTGGCTCTTTTGATTATCTCCTTGGATATGATTTTGTGTACCATTTTATCCTTCGCCGCTGGCGTGGCGGCGTTAACACTTGATATCGCCTCGTCTGGTGGAAATCAGTCCAGCCCTCTTCTCTACGGGCTGTTGTATGAAGTTAGCCGTCAATTCTTCCTCCTGGCCATATCCACCATTATCTTCACAATGTTGAAATAGACGCTGATATACCTTAGGATATCTATCACTCCGGTGACGGTGGTCTCTATGGGGAGATGATTCGCAATCGAGCCTTTCAAGGATCCTCATCCAATGGAGCCGCAAGCCTGGACCGTAACACGGACTATTGGCATCCAATTGGAGGGGTCTCGCTGGCTATCGACACATCCTCACCCGTGCTTTCTTCCAGTCTCCCCTACCAGCTGCGGATGGACGTGCCTGCGGGGACAACGGGTGCCGTAGGATTCTACAATGAAGGCTTCTGGGGCTTCGATGTGGATGCGAGCAAGGATTATATTGCCAGTCTCTATATGCGAGGCAATTACTCTGGCACTATTGACTGCTTCTTCCATAGCAATACGAGCGACCAAGTCCTCGGTTCGACGAGCATAAGTATCGAGCAAACGTCATCTAACGGCTGGGTACAGAGCTATTCCTCGAGCTTCAAGCCGAGCCGCACTGCGTCCGATGCTAACAATACGTTTCACTTCACATTTGATGGATCGACGCTAGCTGGGCAGAGTGTGTACCTTAACATTCCCAGCTTATTCCAGCAGACGTTTGAGAACCGCAACAATGGCGTGCGTGAAGACTTGGCCGATGCGCTGCGCAACATGAACATGAAATATGTCCGGTTACCCGGTGGAAATAACATGGAAGGCAATGGCTCGCCCTATTATTGGAAATGGAACGAAACTATCGGTTCACTCATAGACCGCCCAGGCCGTCCAGGCACTTGGGGCGATATAAATACCGATGGATTTGGTCTTCTGGAGATGATGCAGATGGCGGGTGATCTTGGTCTCGAAGTCATTCTAGGCATCTGGGCTGGATTCTACCTAGACGGTGAGACCGTCTCTGAAGCTGATCTGCAGCCATACGTGGATTCTGTCATGAATGAGTTGGAGTTTCTTCTGGTAAGGTGACCGCTGCCTATCACATTCGTCTACGTCTACGCATACGGATCAGGGCCTGAACATGTCAAGGCCTCGCTAACTGGATCAGGGAGACAAATCGACCACTTACGGAGCCAAGCGAGCGGCCTTGGGCTTCTCCTCGCCTTTCATCATCAATTGGATTGAAATTGGCAATGAAGACTATCTGAATGGGGGTACTGACTCCTACAATTCATACCGGTTCCAGGCGTTTTACAACGCCATCCATGCTGCATACCCAGCTATCAAGCTCATCTCGACCATCAACCCAAGTCCAGTGACAACCAATGGCAGCTCAGTAGATCTCCATATCTACGGTAATGAGGACTACTTTACGTCTCTTTTCGGCACTTTCGACCAAGCCAGCCGCGAGTACCCTGTCTTCATCAACGAGTACGCAGCAACCGGCGCTGGCTCTAACGCGAACCAGGATGGCGCTCAGACTCTAGGCATGTCCTGCGCAGAGGCCATATTCCTCTTAGGCTGCGAAAGAAACTCGGATATCGTTGTTGGCTCAGCCTACGGTGCACTGATCAAGAACTACAACGAAGCCCCCGACACGGTGGCTGCTATCAAGCATACCGCCAACGAAATTCTCTACACAATCAGTTACTATGTCCAAAAGCTATTCGCGGAGAATATGGGCACGAGAACTCTCCCAGTCACCGCAACCAATGGAGGATTTGGCCCTGTTTACTGGTCTGCAACGGCGAACAGTTCTTCCACTATTCTTAAGCTCGTCAATTATAATGGACAGACCGGATCGTCTAATGCTGTAGTGGTCAATGTGGAGGGCTCGTCCAAGTCTAGTGCTACTTTGATCTCCCTTACTGCGCCCAATTCCACAAGCGTGAACAATTTGCCATCTTTGGGAGGTGAAAGCAGTACCATCACCACCACAACATTGGCGGGATCTGGTGGCAATTTCTCTGTCAGCTTCAGCAATCCTTATGAAATTGCTATTTTGGTCATCTAAGCGATGCTACATGAATGATGGCACGTGTACGAGCCTTTGCTTTCTAGCATGATTGAGGTAAACCATGGTAGAAGCGGAACTGGGAGAGGAGTCTTTGTTGACTTGATATAATTAATATTGTTGATTCTTCTACGATTAGGCTTGGATTGATTCTCATCATTATTGTACTTCTCGTATTGATGGCTTATTAGGGGTTATATTTAATATGAATGTGCTAGTATTCTACTTATATGGCGGTTCAACTCAGCCACGAACACATCGCAAGACGTGCCGGTCAATAGAACGTTCTAGCTGACTCCAAACTCTGGCAGGCGACCTTTTTGAGAGAAGAATTGTGCCTGTGTGGAGATAATTTCCATTTCCGAGGCCGTAGGTGGAGTGATTGCCTTGTCATCAAGTGGTAGGGCGTACTCCAGAAGAAATCGCACCATCCAACGATCCAGCCGATGGGTTTGTTGGTGATGAGAGAGGAGAAGGCAATTATTTTGAAATTCCATCAATCGGTCAATCTTAGACAAACCGTTAGTGAGACGCAAAAAATATGGTACACAAAAGGGACGGCTCCGTTAAATGGAGCAAAGGGATCATTCACCATGGTGTTAACATTGGGCCAGTACTCTTTCAGCTCGAGTAGTGCCTCAAAATTTGCTTTGAGGCAATGGTGAGACTGTGAAATTTCATTTTCCTCCCCAAAGAGGAGGGTGTGAAGCAGAACGGAAGAGGAGACAATTGCCATATGGCCGACCGTTGGATATATGGCCTCACATCCTGCTTGTCGCCTCCCACGGGCAAGCCATGTACTATAACTAAGCGCATGGTGTTTGCATCGAGCTGCAAACTGGCGACCACGCATAGTCAGTGCGGACTTGGGATCGAGATACTGGTAGAGAAGTAACGTGGCATAGTGATGAAAGCCAAGATGGAGGCCCATGAAGATGCCCCCTGTGCCTCGCTCGCTGTGCCCTACGAGGTTCGCTTCCGTCAGTTGATCCTCTTCTGCGAGTATCCTTTGCCAGTCATCTAGTCGTTGGGCAAGATTCTCTATGTCCCGTTCCATTCGATTTGGTTGTAGCTCTTTATTGGTGGCCACGAGCCAATTCAGTTCTTGAATTGGACCAAAGATCTCATGAAGCGTGGCCATGTGTGCCCACAAACCAGGGCTCTTGCATGGTTCGTTCGGATCGTGCAAGACTGCATCTGGATCCATGCCAGCAAAAAGACTTTCATCCATGGGCATTCGGTCTGGCCGAGGCCAGTCCTTCATCTGGCGGGGGAAGCCCAGGCTCGACGAGCACCAATTGTCCGCTGCAAAAAGAGCCCACCAGATTCGGATCCAGAGCTCGTGTGAGACTGCGTTGCTATTCCCTTGGTCCGCAAATGGTCGTATTAATTGCATCATCGTAATTGCGGTTCCTAGTGCCTCGTTAGATGAAGGACCAACACGATCTACCACGGATATACGCGGATTTGGACTAACATACGAAAGAACAGAAACTCTGACGAGGGATTGGCATGGGCTACGCATAGGTTGGCGACTAGAATGCACGTTTGAACATTCTCTAGACAGACCCGCTCCAGATCCATCTGGAGTAACCGTTTAGCCTCGGTGGTGAGCAAGGACTGGAGGGACCGCAGATTCGGCCGACTGGAGACATGAGCCCCCATGGCGCAGATCGCCAGAAGCAAAGCCTTGCCGATTCGGCGGTCGCGAACGTCGATCCACAACGTCACCGGATGGAAAATGCAATGGGGCCGACCGTGAATCTTGGACAGATACTCCTGGACGAGCAGCTCAACGGACTTCTCGTCAGATAGAAACTCCTCTAACCTGCTGGACCCATTCTGCGACTCCGCCGGTAAGTTGGGGCGGGCTTGGAGTTTCCTTGTATCGGCCAGCTTGGCCTGAGAGCGGGAACATGGAACATGACGGCGCAGACAGCGGGTACATGAGGATCTTGATTGCTTGGAATCACTCTCCTTCGCGGGGACACACTTGCGCTTAGCATCTCGACATTGTAAACACGATCTCATCATGAGTGGGCGAGTCAATTGCAAGATCACATGGGAGCAGTTGGTTGGCGGAGGGTCGCATAAAGGGTAGGGTTAGTAAGAGTCACCAGTCACCCCGCATTTATATCTCAATATCACATAAATTAAAACTTTCAACTTTTCCTCATTTGGATAAGTGATCTTACGGGAATGAAAAAATAAAAATAAAATACTAATAATATTTCTAAGCGGTAGCCTTTCCAACCTATAATTCCATAGTTATGCCTCTCCCTCCTCAATTCGTCTCATTTCATCTACCATCTCCCGGGCAAGCTGTCGTGTCTTTCGGTCGAGTGCAGTAACCGTGCTGGCCCATTCAAATCGTTGTCTCCAGAAGGCCCATCGCTCTTTCGACCATCCCTCGCTCCCTGTCCACTTTGTCGGCCATTCCCTGCCCAGGGAGCCCTCCATTCCATAGATCTCTTTCCCACAGAGCAGGATCCATTGGGCTGCACCCGGGATCCATCCGTTGAGGGTTCGGATGTCAATTTCCTCGAGGAAGTGATCCCGTTTGTCGTTATACTCCTCGTCAAGTTCGCCCTCATAATCCTCAACGTACCCATCCTGCAACGATTCCAGACATTCCTCGATATCTGCATGATGGAATACTTCCCATGGGGCTTTCTCGAGTGTCTTCCTCATGACCCAACTCGCGTGATGGAGTTGACCGCGGCCCTCCGGACGAATGCCGGTATTATGGAGCTTGGCCGTGAAGGCATTGATGTTAACCCAGCCTTGACGCTTTTGGTCTCGTTGCGGATCGTAGAATGGGTGATCCACATCTACTCCATTAGCTTTCATCACTCATGGCATTATGGAAGACCTACAATCGAACACAAATTCCACCAAATATTCAGTGAGCCCATTCAGCTGGTGGAAAGCTCCGTTATGATCGGGAAGCCGCTGGAACTCAACCACAAAGTCAAGCAGTCGGTCATTCTGCTCGGTGAACTTCTCAATCGCGTCAAAGAGGAGCGGCCAGAGTGACGTGTAATCTGGATTTGGATCGGACTGTTGGATGTAAAGCGATGCAGCCTGTTGTGCTACTTCGGATGCGGGAAGGGAAGGGTTGGTCAAGAGAGATCGGAACGCATCAATCATATGGGCCGGAGGAGGCCAGCCATCCTCGCTCTGGGCCTTGAAAAAGGCTTCGTATTCGGGATTCTTGATCGGATTGTGCATGGCGTTGTCAGGTCAATCTCCGGGAATTGTGAGCAGAAGGAAAGAGAGGAGAATGAGAACGAAAGAAGGCCAAGACCGAACCTGAGAGTGGAGGATGAATGAATTTATACCCATCCCTGCTCTTAAGAGCCGCGTGGGGCCAAAACTCCCTCCAAGGCTGACTTGACAGCGCAGCCTGCGCAACAAATGCAACCAAAATGAACAATCATATCACTCCTTTCGCGATTCGGACCCCAAGATGACTATCACATAATATTTCTGTCTTGTGAAACTCCAACGAAAGGCGGGTACAGAGACACCTAACGTGTGTCCTAATGTCTGCCCAGTTCGACCATCCAAACCACTAAAGTTTTCCACATGAGTCCAGTACAGCCTTAGGCAGCATGGGGTGAGAGTGTTGATACTTCTTGACTTTCTATAGAGGATGTTCTGTTTTTCGTGAGACCGGCGAACTCGATCTATAACCCCGTTCGCACGTTTCTACCTTAATCCCAACCATAATCTCACCATGTCTCTGGACCCTGGTCGACATGTAGGATGGCGTGATATATTGAACCGCTATGTATGATTACGTTGCATGTAAGCGTATCTCTTCACCTCACACCGGGTGTTGAAATTAAGATATAAAGACACGATCATGTTCTGCTGTGTATTTTCCGACAGGGCACAACTACCCCATCTCAACAAGCCAGCCTCGGTTGCAAAGACATTCTCGCAATTGATAACTTGTTCTTGGATCCACAATGCCTTCCTTCTTTCACTCCGTTGCTATCAATGCCCTTCTGGCTGTTGCCATACTGGGTGAGGTTGCCAGTGCCTATCCTCAGCTTGCAGTCGCCGATGTGAGCGTCCCCTCGGAGAGATCCACCACACCGATCATGTTTTACGAGGAACGCGATGGCAACATCGTGAAGCGTTCCAAAACATTGAAAATCGGTGCAAAGCCCGAAAAGGCCCATACCTGTCCCAAGACCAATCGCTACGGAAACCCGGTTGAATACTCGTCGGGGCAGCTTCAGAAGGCCTTCATCCAGGCAGCACAGTATGCCAACGATGGTAAACAAATCGGAGCCAGTGAGTGACTCTTATATATTGCACGGTGGACGACCCTGCTCACTGCCACATAGGAAAATACCCGCATTATTTTGGCAATAATGAGAAATTGCCCTTTGACTGTGGAAAGAAGAAGATGGAATTTCCTCTTGATAAGGACAGTCCTGGTAATGTTTATGGCGGGCAAGCTGTGACGGATCTCCCAGACCGTATTGTATTCGAGGTCAAGGAAGAAAAGAAGGAAACGCGTGTCAGGTTCTGCGGAGTGATGCGCCATGGGAATGATGGAGACTTTCTCAATTGCCCGTAGAGCTGATCGAGGAATCTAAAGAACATTCCCGAATTGGCCATGAAACTTAGCGGGGTACGAAGAGATACTTGTCTATAGATTAAGCCAAGCAAAGAGATTCTAATATACTATTGTTAGTTAGATTGCTCTTCTCGTTGAATTAGATAGGGTTTGGACTACACAAACAGAATGCGCTGGTCACAGTGACTGCTGACTCTGCTTCACACGCACTCATCCTCAAACGCCCCTTTTCTCATCTGGCTGACAACGACTGACTGTTAACCGCACTTAGGCGATACACCGTGAGGGTAGTAGTATTCGGATGGCAGACCACCAACGAATGCATTCTGGTGTATGTTTGAATTTTATCCGGATGTTGCCCGATTCTAGGTCTGATCCTAGCACTTGTCTTTTGTCCGATATTTGAATAACCTTACGAACGTTCATTGGGACAAAGGAATCCCTCTGTATGATGCCACCATACTAACGCCGAACGGTGTGGATAATATCACTGTGGTGGAGAAGTTCCTTCAGGATCAAGACCTTGTGAGACTTAACGTGGGACTAGAGTACCATAGCTGGTTGCTGGCTCTATTGACTAATGTTATGTAGTGGCTGCCAGAGACCTATATATCGTATACTTCGTGCCATGAGATATCTCGGTAGTGTACGATCTGTCCTAGCTCCATCACTCTGCAGGGATCACAAAATCGATTACAGAATGAGAATAACGCCTGTCAGCGAGTAAGCAACCCAGACAGCTGTGAGAACCCCAAGCTTAGGGGGGCAGAACCTAAGTCCGATTAGCAAATATGACCTAAGCATGTGTGCAGGAATACGTACTCTTCCGAACTAAGACCAATAAATCCACCCCAAAAGAGCCACTGCGCAATCCAGAGAAGCAGCAGGCTTGGGACCGTGGCCACATACCATTGCATAGATGCTTCTGGGAACGCCAAGTGATTTCGGCCTTCAAAGGAGAAAGTTCCATACTGGTGCACCGTGTCATATCTTCCCTCGCTACTTCTTAATGGTGTGCCTTCGGGGCCGCTACTCCTGTCCATCCCATGACGTGCCCTCTTGTCCCTTCGCTTCGCGCGACGTTCATCCGAGAAGGCCATCGGCTCATCCGCGATGTTCGATGAGCTTTGTTTGTGTCTCTGCCCATGTCGTTGGTGGCAATTACTAGATGCAATCAACCAAAACATGGCCCACATGAAAGAAACGAGCGTCAGGCCAACGATAATAAGCCACATGAGTGCTCCCGCATACATGGTTTTCGCCGAGCCCCCTCTCTCCGCTCCTCCGATACCTCCAAGGTAGAAGTTATGTTCTCCACCATACCCGACAGTCATTATCATGTAATATGAGGAGAGGATCTGGAGGATCAGTTCCGCAAACAACACAGATGTGGCTGCGGAGAGTTTCATCGCTCCGGGTTGTAGAGCAATCAGCAAGATCGTAAGCCACGCAAGCCGAGGCATTGAACACCAGAAGAGCATCACTTGAAAAATGGGAACGTTCTCATAGCCAGAGGTGCTCTGAACAAACCAGGTATTGAGCAGATTTGCAAGGAGTTGCAGAGCAGCGATTAAGGTCCCTTTGAAAAGCCAGCACCACGGGTGTGAGTGCCATAGAGAGCCCGGGGGGATTCGATATACGCCTAGTCTATGCCTGAAGGCCACAGCAACGAAAGTGGCTATATTGACTAGAGCGACACTTCTGAGCTTCCACTCATTCGATAGACATGTCCCCGTTGCCGTGATGCTTTCCAAGCGGGTGATATTAGCACTATCCGAATTGATGGACGGCTTGATTGCCCATCCCCATGGAATCATCTCGACAGGGGAAGGGGTGGCTAATTGACGCCAATCATCTGGCAAACCATGCCAGTTTCCCACATTGCCACACAGATCGTGGAGCCACTTGATATAGGCGATTCGGGTCTCGAATTCCTGGCACAAACCTCCGCAGGAATTGTAGGTGATGCTGCGGCAAACGCAAGCCCTGTCAACGGCACGCCTGACTTTGCAGTACCCATTTGAGTCAAGGTCACAAGCATCTGCTGAGCACTCATCTTTAAGCTCGAGCACCTGCTTCGGCATATCGGTGACAGACATGGGCCAATGCCACTCTTCGACGGGAATGTACGCGAATGTTGTGGTTTTAAGTGCGTCTGTCCAGTTCTCGGGTAAGAATGTCGACCCGCATGTGGCATTAATCCAGAGGCGCTCCTTCGTCAAGTCCAATTGTTCTAGCTTTGAACAAGGCTCTTTTTCGAAATCGATTGTGAAGGAACTGCAGAAGCACGCTTTATCAAAATATTCACCATCCCTGATGGGATGCCCGACGAGATCGTATCCAACAGTTTCAGAATCCAGAGCGATCATGGACCGTAGGGATTCACTGTATTCCCAAGGACGAGCAGCATTTCCGGTGTGTTGGGTAGTACTTGTGAAACTACAGGAGGCCATTACATGCTGAAATGGCTCCATTGATGGAGCCGAAAGGGAGCCTTTCAGGCATGCTGGCGCCTTGTAAATCACGTCCACGGGTGCGTATCCTTCAACTAGTGAGGCAGGGGAGAGAATTTGCAGCTCGATCGCGTCGCCGACGTCGACCAGCCACGTTCGACCGGTGATGTTACGAACCCATCGATACAGCTGCGCTTTGGCGAGAATGGATCTATCACAGTAGGCGTAATAACTTTCGATGGCATCGGGGGAAAATACATTGCTGAGACAGGTGAGCTGAGTGAGCCATTGGTGCTGCGTGCAGATCAGTCCAAAGTGGCGGGTGCATCGGTGGTCGGTGCATTTCGTCATGGTCTCCAGCCAGGTGGATTGATCTTGCTGGGCGATGCACTGAGGCATAGAAGCCAAATCTTCCGGATTGACCCAGCCATCGCGGTTCTCTTGGGGGGAAACGGTACGGTCCTCCTCGGTGTAATTACTATTGGAGCTCTGGGGCGCTTCTTCTGTAGTACTGATGTCAGTGCCAAGGATAGACGGAGACCTTGGGAGGGAAACTACTAGTAGTACCTCTCACATCAAGCCCATAAACCACAGCCGCCCACAGCACAAGATACGCAGTCAAGATGTTCATCTTGTAGATATGGCATCAAGGCACCTTCTTGTGTTTCGAAAGCTACGAAGGGATAAGTACGAACTCTGTCTGGTGTGCGGGGTTGTTATGGCATGCAAGAAGCATCGGAGGAATATTGGACCGAAGGGATTTGATGAGTGTGAGTTGCTATTTTTATACTGAAAGCATCTAAGATGGTTGATCTAATATATGACTTCTTCTCCCTAGCACACCACACGAATGAGACATACTTACACTCTGATTAATTTACATGTTTCTCATCGCCCTAGTGCCTCAACCATGAAGGGTCTGAAATATCTATCTCCATGTACATCTTCGTGTGTAAATCAACAGATCACGAAGGAGCCCCATCACAATGGGGCACGAGGAAAGCGAGAGCATCGGTGCGACGAAACACTGCACATCACGAACCTGTGCCGTGAGTCAAGTCACGGAACCAGTTTCAGGTCCTCTTTGAAGAAATGTTGAAGGTGGCTGAGGCAGTCGTCCAAAATGCCCCCAGGAATGGATTGATCGCCAATTAGTCCGGGGCGTCGCGTCTGTTCCGGGTAGGTCACGTTTCATTCCCCGGGGACCGGACACACCTGACTTCCATACCATGCGTCTCCTAGTAATCCTCATGCGATGAAGTGATTTCAATCCCAGTAGATCTTGATCTCAATATAACACTTTAGGGGGTCTTTGCATAAGGAACTTACTATTCTGTAAAATGGCGGCGAATTTCCGTGACGATATTCCCCCACCTGGTATGCCACAGGATCCACCGTCCGAACTCTATATTTTTATATGCACGGGAGGCAGTACGCGGCATTGAATGCAAGCCGACTGGTTTCTAGACCCTCCAAAAATAAAAAATCTCCACAAATTGGATGCTCAGACTTACTCGGAAAATACGCTGAATGGGTCAGGGCCTCAAAGAATAGTCACGAAATGGGTCTCGAAGTGGGATGGGCCCTTCGGCATCACCATGGACGGGACTCGGAAGGAATGCCTCGTTCGTCTCAAGGATGACGGGGCCCCGATCGAACAGATGGTTAGCCAACCAATCATCTCTCAACCGAGCCAGGAGTTCATTTCGCTCCCAACTAGGTTGACCATGCCAATCGTATTCTGCGGTTGTTCGGTCCAATTGAGGTGCGGAAGTCGAACCCAGCATTTATCATATCCCGCACGGGAGTTCGTCTGGAAGACTGGAACGAGGAGCAACGGCAGGCAAGTCTCGATCGGCTCCAAGCAAGTCTCAGCCCAGTCGGCTACTCTCGAGTCCTGGGTGCTTTGCAGACAAGTGACTTTCTCGGCGAGTTATGCAATGCTAAATCCATTCTGAACAGATACAGTTATCAGTAAGGTCCACGGTTCTTACTTGAAAACCTGCCGGCTCATCCTTGCAACCCGGTTTCTAGATTTACTCTCTACGGAAAGCTATCTACCACCGAACCATGGGGATTCTCTGTGTTTGGTCATCTGAGCGTCAACATCGTGGCAGTTGGCAAGCAGACGACCATGAGCCCGATATTCCTTGGCCGTTCAGTGAATTCTGGGACCTGGACGTTGTCGAGGAATTTATCACCATGGTAATGACTGTGAATCAATGACGTGTATATCTACTAAAATGGTCACCATTACTGACTACTTCGGCAATTGGTGTGCTGCACCTCGATGGTCAAGTGAAATGATTTTGAGTCCCTGGGCTGGGGATTGTGCAGCAGGTTCTCCCTACAAACAAGGGCAAGGAGAAGTGGTCAGCGGCTTCCTTAGAACTCTTCCTTGCCAGACCACTTGCTACCTTCCATTGCGAACATAGTCAGTGCTATCTATTCTTTACCTTAACTCCCATTTCACGAAGACATCATGAATATTTTCCAGTACTAGTCAATGTATTCTGAGAAGACATTATCTCTGGGTTTGGCGGTCTCCGAGAAACGGAGTCCAGATATGTGTGTCGGACTATACGCAACCATATATCTCCTGCTTATGCAGTATGACCCAGACTGCCACCCGTCAATCCTGGGATCAACAAGGCCACACTGGCAATCTAACTCTACACTACTACTTAGTGAGTTATTAGCCATAGATCTTTGCAGATGTACACGCCTAGATGCGGATATACTCCCCACTCATCTGGATCATCCGATGCACATTGGAGAATCTCCTGATACGTCTGACCATCCACGTTCTTTGCTTGCTGATTTGCACCCAATTCACACAACTTTTGTATTGCCGTGTGGTGACGGTTTCGCGCTGCTTTGTGTAGAGGGGACTCGTGAAGAAGGCTATCTCTGGCATCGATGAACACATTATGTTCCATCAGAAGTTCAATTCCGGGGATCCAATTTGCAGCGGCAGCTAGATGTAAAGGCGTCACCCTTTCGATCATGAGTGCATTGGGATCAGCACCCCTCTCTAGGAGGATTTTCAAGGAATTGAGTCTCCGACATGTGACGGAAAAGTGGAGGGCGTTCTTTCCTTCGGGCTGTGTTGTGGGAGTTTCCAGGAAAGCTCCGTGGTCGAGCAACAGTTCCAGTATTTCTATAAAATCCCCACTGACTGCTCCATGTATAGGCGCGTAACCCTTGTTCCAGGAATCATTTAGCATTCGGAGCCTTCGGGGATCGCGTGAGGGCAAAGACTCACGTCGTGGTAATTCCGAGTATTCACATCCACCCCTTTCGATAGCAGTACTTTAACAATGTCGGTATACCCTTGCTGACACGCCGCCGACAGTGGAGTATTACCGCATGTCGTTCTCACTTGGGCGTTGGCTCCGCGCTCTAAAAGCAACTTGAGGATCTCTAGCTGGTTATACCTGGCTGCATACCACACCGGTGTCGCACCACTTTCTTTATAGGGGTTTCTACCGCCTTCCCAGCCACTGACACTCCACTGGCGAGCGGACACTGATGCACCACATTCCAGGAGAACTTTCACGATCTCCACTTGTCCCTTTTCAGCCGCATGGGACAGGGCCGTGCGGCCTTTCTTATCGCGTGCGTCCACGTGAGCATGTTGCAAGATGGCTCTTAAAAGCAACACTCCGCCATGGGAGACCGCGACCTTGATTTGCTCCGCTGCCTCGGGGCCAGAAGGCAGGTTCGCCGCGCGTGTTTCCGCGGAAGTTATGGAGTGCCGAGTAGACACAGTCAATCCATCGCTCGCGGTTCCAGCCACTATCGATGCAGCATAGTTGGTCAACGATGATCCAACGTCCGTATTAAACCCTTGGCTGTTTGGGTGAGGTGTCGCCGCGGAGCCTTTAATCAACTTGAGCGACAGAAGTCTGGATTCATTCATTAGTACCTGCAAAGTGATGGGTGGGAAAGGGCGAACGGAGATGTGCTCAGCTGCCCACATACAAATTCACGTTTCCCATGGCGTTGTCAAAAGTGGCCTTGGTACGTTCCAGCTCCATCGTCAATCCAAAGACTTCTTTTCGTCTCCACAACCACAACACTCTCCTTCGCCTGCCACCAGCAGGTGGGGAATCCACACCCTGCGTCTTGGGACCTGGGGATGATGCCTCGACTTTGAGATATGGTTCCATCTTCTGCATGATCCGATTCAACGCTTCATTGCAGTTCGCTATGGGGCTTTCCAGAGTCAGAATGGCGTCGCTTATCTCTGGATCCGCGTTGACAATATCAGAGACCGCGGTGCTGCTCAATGATGTCGCGAGTCTGTCCACTTGTGTTTGAAACGCTGCGATATCACGGTTGATCGCATTAATCTCGTTGGGAGCGTTTTGAATGATGGAAAAACAATCGTGGGCTTTGATAGCAGTTTGACCGGCCATCTGTGCCACTTGCAGTATGGCAGCTGCAGCGCTGAGCGGGTCCATCTTTTTTTTTTTTCGGTGCGCCCTTCTGCCTTCTCACAAAGCTGAAGTTTTGGTCCCGGGAAGATATAGAAATCCAAAGGTGGGAATTCTGAATTTAACCATCATTGTCGCGCTCCCGGAGGTGGGGAAGATTGCGAGTCAGTTGCCATCCGGCGAGGCGGTGCAGCAGGCAGTGATGATCGGAATCGACATATTGTTTACGTCTTACTGGTTCGCTCTCTATAGTATAAGCCCAACCCTCTGTAGCATCAGTGGTGAGGCGTACGAGGGCTGCAACCACGCACCGGGGAATGAATGTGAGAGGGTGATATGGAACATGTCGAACGAGGAGTGTATAATTCTCTGTGAGCACGACAATGATTCATCCTTCGGGCACGTCCATGACCATGACCTAAAATAGTTGGGCGAATCTTGGGGTCCTTCTCCCCAAATTAAAGTCACAACATCATGGTACTAAAATGGTCCTCAAACGTAACTGTCATTGCCAGGGGAAAACTGTATTTCAGACTACGCGGGGAACTGTGACACGTAAGACAATCATGGACTATCGAAGAATAGTTGGAACGAATAGTGATTATCGGTCTTCCTTCCCTTCTTCAGCCTTATTGTAATATCAATATCTTGGCACTGGGGGGCCCTCACGAGCAACTGGCCAATGCGAAACAATATAAAAACGGGCCGGATCACCCGGGAAGGGGTTCGAGCACCCGCTTGCCCGATGATCTTCAAATTAGGCCCTGGTGCTTTCCCCTTGACACGCAGCACCCGAGCGTTCATCAAAATATGCGATTAGAACAGGCTAGCAAAACACAGACAAGGAGATTGAACCACCACATCAGTAGGTATTTGAAGAATCACCATGGTAGTGCACAAGCGATCCATGAGAACAGTGACTACAGTCTAAGGACTAGTGTCCCGTTAAGCCACTAGTCCGACGGAGTATGTCCAATGTTGACGAGCTGTGGCTGTGGTGCAGGGATGAGGACCCTATGACGGGCTGAGCACAAAGCTCACAGTATGCAGCGCCAGTCCCTGATCCAAAGATACCCCTAAGCCTCACTCAACCGCATGGGATATGCCTGTCCTACGATGGATCATGGTCTCCCTACCTTCAACCTATCCTGCAACACTCTCATTCCTAGAATACTGCCCCCCTTCAGTGACAGACTACGATTCAGTTTCTTGTTAACCAGTAGATCATTACATTGATGTTAAGTACCATCCGCGTTTCCGAGTCTGATTTCACCCAATCGAAAGACAGTGCCCTGAGCTACTCCCCAAGCGACCCTCGGACGGGGAAAAAATACTTGATTCACCACTGAGTGATTTGATCTCAATGAGCGATGAGTAAAGACGGGTACAAGTGTACATCCTCGTGACCTTCGAGTGTTTGCAGCCACCCGGACTAGTCCTCTCGAATTCCTGTAACTGCTTTGACGAATGGCAATCTATCGTCCCAGAATTGTCTCTTAATTTCACTCTCCTGGGGATAAAAGGTGATGGCCGAACTGTATACCTGCAGAGGAGCTTGCTCGATTGTCGGTCTGTATGTGAGAGTCAGTCTCATGGCATTTTGCATCAACTTGAATAGCTGGCGGCCGAGTAATGACTGCAGTCTGTCAGAAACCTTGCTTATGCACACTGGGCTAACTTGCCTGACAATCCTGCAGCAGCATCTTGATAATCGAGATCCCGACTGCGATTTCTCGCATGAGGCCTCAACACTCCAACCAGTGCAGCAGGTGCTGACGTCTTTGCGAAGCTCGTCGATCACCAGTGCTACCCATAGAAATGTCCCATCAGACTTCCGACGCATTTTATCCTTGACCTGTTCCTGTATATCCAGATGACGTTGTAACGAGCCAAGCTGGGAGACTTTTGTATGAAGTTGTTCATGGCGCTAGAAATATTCTCTGGATTCAGTTCAAGACGAAGCTCATTTGTTATTTGACAGGCCCCCAATCGCTGTTCGATGTCAAGTCGATTGCGACTCGACATCACCCATTTAACCTTGGAGTGCGTCGTCGCTGTCTGTGAAATCACATCCAACAATTGGGGTAGTTCTGACTCACATTCATCGATGGCATCGAGAACCAGGTATATTTCTGGGAGACTTGGGTCTTGAAGTATCTCAAGGAAAATGTTCAGTAGGCTGTAAAACGCATTTGTGCCCTCGAACATCTGTCGACCGGCATGTTCATATTTAGGTCGTAAGAACCTTAGAAGGCTAGGTTGTTGGATGACAAGCAGCTATAGCAAGCCTCTCAGGATAGAAGCAGCGTTGTTGAGTCGCGAGTCTGTACCTTGGCATATAAAGTAAGACACTACGAGCGCAAATTCTGGTTCTTTTAACAGGGCTCCCTGCTTCGTCAGCTCATCGATAATGCCGATCATCAGCATCGTTTCCCCCTTGCCAGCATCACCTCGTATCCAAAGTACTCGGTGTTGAACATCATATCGCCACCGGTGAAAGACAGGGTGCTCAAGAACCCAGGAGAATGACTCTCTTAACAGACCACCTCTGGTCTTCTCGATGCGCAGCTTGTCATCTCGTGGATCGGTCAACAGAAGGTCACTGAGGCATCGTTTGTCGATATCAGGCATTCCTGTCCCATTCATTAGCGCCGCATTACATTAAACTGTATTACTTACCACTTGCAAGGCTTGGTCTCCAATGCTCCAAGAATGCCTTGACACCAGATGCCCCAGTAGCCGCAGCATAAGCCTGCCACCTCTTATCCTTATGGCTATCTGCGTAGTCACAAACGCCCTTGATGATCACACACGGGAGAATATCCCAGACTCCGGCGCCTTCCATCTCGAACCCAATCACTCCTTCTGCTTCTGCCAACTTATCACGGTGTTCCCCTGACTTCATCACAGTATCGCCACACGCCACCGGTCCAATATGCACACATGGAGCAGTGGACTCGGATTTCGTGTGTCGTTCGCGAATGACCGGATTTCCTGCACACATAAGACTCTTACAATCTTTCAGAAGGGCCTCTTCACACACGGGATCACTACCTGACCAACAGTCGGCACATACGCACGTAGTATCATTTTGATAGTGCCTATGGCGATAGGAAGCCTCAAACAGCACGTCATGTGCTGCTCCGGGATGCTGCCATATGGGATTCTGCGCCTGAAGACTCCGCAGATGGTGAGATAGGCGGTTCTCCAATTCCCTCCGTGTCTCGCGCAACTTCAGACTAGAGAGCACGGCTCGTATCTGGCGACTCGGTCGCCCCGGCACATCTTGTATGTTTCCCCTGAGCCGGAACCCATCTGGATACTGCCGTCCAAAGTCATACTCGACGATACAATCACTGACAACGACATCTCCCAGGATAACCTCTGCTCGGTTTGACGCCGTGCTAGTCGGAAACGGCACACCACCGCAGATTCCGACCACCAGAGCGAGCTTTATACCGGGAAAGCTGATGCACAAGTGAGATGCGACACCAGCCGCATTGACCTTGCCCATGCCGGGCATGTGGCTCAATACTACATTGTGCAGGCCAATTCTGCCATTGGCATATACGTTGACATCTCCAGGATGCTTCCCGTAGATTTGGCCCGATTTGTCGAAGGTCTCGTCGAATGACGCGAGGACCGCGTCGCACTCAACGGGGAGAGCGCAGACGATGGCGATCTCGAACTCATCGCGCGTGCTCGGCCGCATGTTAGTTTACGTCGTGCGCCTACTTTAGTCCAACATCAACCGCCCTTACCGTTCCTAAAGTCTAGTGGATGCCATTGCAAGGAGGGATATATCAAGGGTTCATCCGATCATTTCCAGAAGTCTACACGCAAGGCTGTCGATATATGTAACGCGTCATCAGTTAAGATTGTCAGCCTTGCAACCGCTTCGCTTACTAAGTAGAATTAGAGTTGTAATCGGGTCGGGTTCAAATCTGCGACCCGACCCAGCTCGGGTTTTCGGCCGGTACCCGATTCTAGGCTTAAATAGGCTTGGTACAGCTGACTAACCATGTTCCTTACCTATCTGGGTCTAGTAGGCGGGTTTACTTGGTTGAACTCCGTGCATCTTTACTTTACTATGGAATCACCAGTGGTATTAAATCATCCTTTTTATATAGAGATATAGATTGCATTAACTTTATAGACTGGTATATGTACTAAATCTGTACATTGAATATTCAACTTATCTAGAAACTAGGGACCCCGAGATCAGCAGAACTCTTTACCTCGATTTTTCACCGTGTACCCTAGATATATATTTTGTAGAGTGGCTGACCTAGACCTTCCTGAAGGCATCACCTACAGCAATTAGCAAAATGCTGGAAGCTAAAACATCAAATTGGGCAAGACAGAGAGTTCTCCGCGGTGAAGGACTGATTAGAGACACAGAGGAAAAGAGAGTCTGTATTTATCGTGCGTAGCGTTTGGAAAAAGTAGAGAGAAAGAAAGAGATGGCGCGAGAGAAACAAAACTATTTTGATATATGTACTAACGAGCAGGAGGTGTTCCCTTCAGTATGCATAGTGCGAGAAATCTACTTACCTATCCACTTCCAAGCACAAGGCCATTCTCGAGTGCCTTACCAGCATAGACTTCGGGGTCTCCCATTAACCTCTACAGAACTTATAAAACGGTAATACCCCGCGGGGTTTCCTGGTATATAAGAAGGTCGATCTTGCGGCATGCCATGGTTGGTGGAGGCAGTGATTTTATTTGCAACCCTGATGGTCTCCCATAGAGGTTGTTCACAGGTTGGATTCGGGTGGGGTTTAGCAGGCAATCCGATCAACTCTAGGTAGAATAGTGGTCCAAGATCGCACTGTGACACCGAGTTATGTCACGAATCCTGCTCCCTATTTACGGTGGGATGGGTACTATCACAAGATCAGCGCGTCAGCTGAGTGGCAGCCGCTGTGCTGGAGATACGATGGGTCTGCTGCTCTGGGATTGGCCCATCACATCGAGCTGAAGGTTGCATGCATATATTGCATCATATGCGCGATGTGACTAGGATTGCTGTGGCTCCAATGATACGTAGCTGAAGATGAGTGGGACTCTGGTTGTCAACCCGTGTTGACGTGGTCTATACCGCTTCACCCAATATTAAGCCAAACCACACATTGCTTCACATAGCAGACTTGTATACCGCCACCAAGTGATATGAATATTGGTCACAAAAGGACTGCTTCTTCTATTTATGACTGTTTTCACTTCTTCAGCCACCATATCAGGATGATCGTGGGATCGTGACCTTCGTGTTGGCGGGGTAGACGTAATAGCGTAATTTGCTCAGGACACCAAATGATAGAGTTGGCTCGTTGTGCATAAAGAACGGGTAGATCGCCAGCGCAGTAATCAGAGGAGATACGAAAAGCGTCCACGGCCAAAGAAGTCCTTACCACTTGGCATAATGGAGATACGTTGCCATGTAGATAGGTTTATTCACAATACATTGACTTGGTAGGAGTTCTGGTTATTTATTTTAGACCATACGATTAACGTCAGTGTAAAATCTCTATACACTATTGATCAGGATATGACATACATCAACACCGTGTCATGCATCTCAACCACACCGCTACATTCTTTTTTTCATTTCCCCACCCATAAGAAAGACTTAAGAACTGTCCATCATCCGCTGCAAAGTATTCTCGATGAAGATTCAACATATCGACCCACCCAATCCTACAACACGCCTGCTCAAAGCAACAGTCACCATGACTCAATCAACATCATTTCATCTTAACAGCTACCTGTCTGCTGGCCCAGATCCGCTCCGCAAACCGGCTCCCAACGCCCCGCACATCCTCGTCATCGGTGCCGGAGTCACTGGTCTAACGAATGCCTGGCATCTTCTCGACGCTGGCTATCAAGTAACCATTATATCGAAGGAATGGGCTAGCTATGGACGCACCCAGCGTCTCACTTCCCAGGTTGCTGGCGCATTATGGGAGCTTCCACCCACGCAATGCGGCGGAGTAAGACTTACCGACCAAGAGCTTAGCGAAGCGGATCTGAAGACGGCGCAGCGATGGGCACTGGAGAGCTATGCCATCTACGAGAAGCTGGCGGCGAATGCGGAGCTCGCGAGAGCGTTTGGGGTGCGGATGCCATTGTGTGCTTCGTTCCACACGTATCACGTCGAGGATGATGAGCCCACGCATGCCAAGATGGAGGTTGCACGAAAGCTGGCCCCAGGACAGTTTCATTGGGGGATGGAGCTGGCGGGTAAGTACGGAGTTGATGTTAGTTCGAATGGGGGAATGAAGGATGCGTATGAGCATCCTGCACCGGTGATCGATACAGATGTCGCGATGGCTTTCTTGATGCGGCTGGTTAGGAGTAAAGGGGCGAGGATGCAGACTGATAGCATCGTGGGGGATCTTCGTGGCCAAGAATCGCACCTGTTGAGAATGTATCGTGCCGATGCGATTGTGAATGCGAGTGGACTTGGAGCTCAAGAGATTGCCTCGGACCCAGGGGCCCATTCATTACGAGGAGGCATCTTGCGAGTCATCAACGATGGATCGGACTTTCCGAAGATTGAGAGCTCCATTATCGTTGCGGCGGATGAGGACGCGGATGGAAAATATATAGACATTGCATTCATCGTGCCACGAAGTGATAATATATTGGTGCTTGGTTCGATCGAGCAAGCCCATGAGATGAATCTCGATCTCACGCCCGACTCGCCTGTGATCAAGGCGATGCGCAGGCGATGCGAAGACCTGGTGCCTGTTCTGAAGAATGCGCGACTGGACCCTCAATATCCATTCGCACAGGGACTGCGGCCTTATCGAAACTCAAAGATTCAGGTCGAACGCGAAGGAAGAAAGACTCTGGGTGGACAGGACAGTCGGATCATTCATTGCTATGGACACGGTGGAGCAGGATGGTCGCTCGCATTTGGGACCAGCAAGGCGTGTATGGAGGTGGTCGAGGGTGTAGTGAGGAAGTATTCTTCTCGTCTTTAGTCTAGTATCCTCAGATGGAAATACCCAGGATACCAGTATATTTGATACTTGAGCGATGATTATTATAACAAAGTGCAGTGGCACACCAGCTGCAGCCAATGGTTGCCAACTACTGGTCTTAAATATCGTGTTATTCTCTCTAGAAAGAGCACTTTTAAATATTGTCCGTGATGTGTGTTGCTTTAATTGACCTAGCATCTTGCTTTGTATTGAAAGTAGCTTTTAATAGGCTTAGGTTTCAACGGTATTATGACTTCAGCATATGTCTATATATATAATAAGTTTAATCAGGCTAAAGCGCCTGAACAATACATGTGATATAGCCTTGCACTCCCCCTGCCTAAAACCCTCTTCCTCTCGTTAAAGAGAAGATTCGACATATACTGGCCGCGTGTTCTCTGACCATGTCGCTAAAGCGTGGTCTTCGGCATCCCACCCCCACAAAAGTTTCTGAGTTTCTGCATCAGCCCATTTGTCCGGGTTGGCTGCACTGCTCATGCTCGCAAGAAACTGTTCATCGCGAGCCTCTTGCTCGGGACCATCGGGAAGATGTAAAATGGTACGGTTGGCCATTCCCGATTGCTGGATCGCCTCGGCACGGGGTTTACGGGACATCTCATAGACACGAAGAGCCTCAGGAATGGCATGCCGAGAGGGTATAACCGATAGGAGAATAGCCAAGGCGGCCGCATCCTCAACAGCTTGAGCGGCACCTTGCGCAACATATGGTCTGGCTCTAGGTTAGCTTTCACGTTCTGGCTGAACAACTTCACAAAAGCGACGGTGCTCCAAGACTTACAGCATCGGATGACAGGCATCCCCAAGCAGCGCGACTCGGCCTCTCGTCCACGAATCGAGGCTGGGATAACTGCACAGCTTCCACTCTAGGATCTCATCTTCTTTGACGAGATCGAGAAGCTTCAGCACCGTTTTGTCCCAGCCATGATATTGACGCAACATACTCTGCTTGGACGCCGTAGTAGTCCAAGACTCTTCCGCGTCATGGTCGTCCGGATGAAGCAAGACAATATTGAACAGCTCATGGTTGCGCACGGGGTACGCGATAATATGACGATATGGCCCAACCCAGCGAGTAGCGATGGGACTATCGAGCAAGGCTTTCAACTCCGGTTCCTTCTCCATCACCTCTCGTGATAATAAGATGCGATACGCTGCATCCCCCGTCGGAATGGGCTCCATTGCCGACGACCCCAGGATCTCCCCGCGGAGCACCGATTTGATCCCGTCGGCTGCCACCACCACATCACCCGTGACCACCGTGTCATCAAGGAGTGTGACGGCAGCTGGGTGGTAGGATTGGATGCCGGCGACACGGGAGTTTACCTTTAGCTGAACATTCTCTAGCGCTAGAGCCTTGGTGATGAGCGCGGTATGCAGATCGGCACGATGCACCACAGTCTGGTGCCCGTAAGCCTTATTAACAGGCATTGTGCTTAGGACGCTACCATCCTTCCAGCGGCGAATAGTGATGCTTTCGAGTGCGATGTCCTTTGCATGTACCATGGAAGATACTCCCCATCCTAGCGGGAACCACCCCAGTCAAGAGGCGGAAAGTTTAGCCTCCTGATGTACTCAGGATACCTGCACGAAATGGACTTACGATCGAAAAGGCGTAGCATGTTAGGCGATGCTTGAATTCCGGCACCAACCTCCATCAACTAGAAGACTCCCATGATGTTGGCGATCAGTTCTACTACCAACATTTTCTGATCACATCATCTGCTGCAATGAGGGATACACACTTCTGGGGCCGATTCCAGGATCGTAACATGGTGGCCGCGCAAGCCTAAGGCCAGTGCTGCCGCCATACCACCGATCCCTAAATTTTATATCAGAAGATATTCGGCTGTGGGACTTAAAGAGACGCACCCGCTCTGGGTTCCGTGTCACATAGGAGTCAATGCAAGAACCAGAATCAAGGAAGCAGATGGTATCTTACCCAACAATAACAACTTCAAGAGTTGTTTTAGTTTGCGGTACAATCATGGCGGCAATCGAAGGGGGGAATAATTAATAATAGAAACTGTTAAGCCAGGCCTGGGAGATTGGAGGAAGAATTGATGCGTAGCAAGAGACCATCTACATTCTTCCAATTCAAGCATGCGGATAGGAATCTTATATACTGGAATTACCTTCCCATCAGCTTAGACTCCCTCCCTTTTTCTTTTTTGTTTTTTTTTTTTTTTTTTTTTTTTTTTTTTTTTTTTTTTTTTTTTTTTTTTTTTTTTTTTTTTTTTTTTATACCTTATTATTTTATTTTATATTTTTTTTTTTTTTTTTTTTTTTTTTCCTGGTCTCCTTTCCCCGTCAATTTTGGTCTTGTCGGCAATTTCTCCCTCCCGGAGCTGTAGTTGGTAGGAGTCACAAAGGATATCTAGCGTCGACTAGGCCGGGATAGCCCAAGCTATCGAGATGGTCTACTCTCCAGCATGATTTTAATCAATATCGACAATGGAATATCGGTATGGTTTGCAGTCTCTGCCGACGAGGGTTTATGGTAGGCTCGGAACCAGTCAACTGCCGAGAGATCCATTTTGTCCGACGTTATTGGACGGTTAAGCGACATTTCTTAGGGACGGCTCGCCGACGGGCCAGGAAGGGAGACCCACCAGCTAAAAGCCTAATTCGTATGGCTGGCAGCTGAAACAATGAGCCAATCGAAATACCTACTATAGTATAGCTGTATATGCAGCGATATGCTAGCGAGTTAACTTTCCTGGATCTCTGATTGGCTCTGCTTCCATTCCTCAACATCACCAATCTGAGGCTAATAGAAGTATGCAAATGTAGAGTGTGGTGCTGAACAGCCGCCAAGTCTCTCTGCTTCGTAGGACCTCTACTCTCGGCAAATGCTCAAGGCCAAGGGATCATATTTGCCGCAATATCAACCGTGAGTCTCGAGGTCTCCCGCTCAACTGCTAGCTAACGAGATGGACTATGCCTAGTCCAACAACAAAATGCATATTATCCAGAACCACTAGGATGATGGTTGCATCCTAGTCTAGTCATCCTAATCTTTCCAAGCGATCGGAACTAAACGACGGACCTACCTCGACGTCGGCGAAACCGTAAAGTATTTAAGCTGTTTCGTTGGAACGATGTGGTCAATGGCAGAGAGAAGACACACAGATTCCTGCGAGCGGTCTCAGAAATCCGAGTTTCACCTTCTGTTCTCGCAATGCCTCCTCTGATCCCATACCATGTCTCTGCCGGGAGCAATCCTGTTGTCAAGTGGGTTATTGCTTTGCCTCCTCCCACCACCCCATTCATTAGGGTTCCCGAACGAGGATTAACTTCTCACCTGCTAGGTTCGGAGGTGCCCTTGTTACCGAATTCCTGGAACCTCCGCCGGGTCGGTGCTTCTGCTTCCGTCAAAAGTACGCCCTGAAGCCTCCCATGGACGAAGGGGACCCGGACTATGAGCGTATCAATGCGGCGCTTAATCACCCTTCCGGTCCTCCCGTCCATTTCCACCCCTTCCAAAACGAGTATTTCCGAGTCGAACAAGGACGCATGTGCCTCGAAGTCAATGGTCAGACTCGCATCCTGACGCCCGAAGATGGGGAGGTCCAGGGCCGAGCCGGGTCCATCCACCGGTTCTACGTCGCCCCCGACAGCACCGAGGACATGGTGATTATTCTCAGTGCCTCCGATCCCGGTCTTGACTACCAACTCGATCGAGTGTTCTTCGAGAATTGGTATGGCTTGTGGCATGATTACCTGGTGCACGAGGGCAAGATGGATTTCATCCAATTACTTTGCGTATGCTTTCTTTTTCTTTTTCTTTCTGGACTGTATTGAGACCCAACCACCCC